GTGCGGAAGATATCAGAGCATAGACCACCACACGGTTCTATGTGTTGCCTAACTCCACATATATTTGTAACATATTATGAAGAGTTAAGAAAGGATTTTAGACATTACATTCCTGAAGAAAATAAATGGAAGGTAGTTGACGTGTGGCTTAACACAGGCTTAATATATTGCTCTAATTACCCAGCTACCGCGGATCCAAAATAAAACTTAATTGCGAGTGGCAGCATATACCACTATTTTTATAATATTTTTATTCAGTCTGTAACAGAACACATGAACGTAATTCTTTATGCCGGCTAAACTTTAAAAGTCCAAGGCCTGTTTTAAAGGTATGGTTCCAAATACGATGATTATCCATGCGATGCTAAGGATGACATGTTTTAATAATTCAAGTCAATTTAGAACATTAAATGGATTAGTATACCTTTATCTCAACAAATCCTTTAATTTTAAGGGCAAAAAAATTAAGTTATCGACCCTGAAGCGATTAAAGAGGAACAATAGAGTTAATACAGTTTATTAAAGCACTAAATTGTAATAATGTTTGAGATGACCTTGAAAGAACTTGTGTAAGTCACAAAAATCGCTGTGTAATATAATGAAACTCCCACTCAGTGAGCAAACCAAAGAGAAAGGTATACTTTTGACTGTTATATAATTAGGTACTCATTTATTATTTCAGTGCGTGATGGCGTCAAGTAGGGACCGAAATTTGCATGCTATTACCAATCTCAACAAAATCTAGACATTGTTAGAGGTCAAGTTCAAGTAATTTAAAGCGACGTTTTAAAATCTTATAAAACGACAAGGGCAAAAGTGTTTTCGCACAAATTTAAATTCAGTTATTGTTATGTGTAATTATATTTTGTTGTAGAATAAAACTGAAGAATGGTTTAGAATAGAACGAAATATATACAAACAATATTACCTATTACGAGTACAAAGTCCCACATTAATTTATACATCCGTGTGGCAAGCTGACGTGCTTATATCAGTAATACTATAGAACCCTAAGCGACATGTACCACGACTAATTTTACAAGGAGAACATTTCATCTGCTGTCAAGACAAAGAAAACACAATTTGCCACTAACACCATGACCTTAAAACCGTAAGGTCAAGCTTATGCGTTATAAGCATTGCAATCAATGCACCTGCCACCACCAGACCATAGATAGATCAAAGAATAGTGTCGTAAATTGGCTTCACATCAGCAGCGTTGCAGGGTGTAAGTGTTAAGGAGGGAAAATTATACAAAATATTTAAGCACTCTATTCCAGAACAAAACGTCTTTATGTGTATTCTACGCGTGGTCTTTTAGATAGCGAAAGTTTTATGAAGCAATCTGATTTTAGTTTAATAAACCTCCTCAGAAAATATTGATAATGGGTTTTATATTAATGCAGTACTTCAAATTTTTTTTCAAAAGGTTACATATTATTTCACGGTGTTAAAAAAGTTGTAACTAGTTCGTTATTTCATTTACTTTATAACGTTTTCGAGAATTTTAATTACATCTTTAAATAACATATTCTAAGAACCCTATACTAAAAATTACTTGACAGCAAACTTGGTCATATACTTTATCTGCATTTTAGGATTAGGTTTTGATATTGAATGACTTCATCACATCAATTACAAAAGCTTGCACTATTAACTTCTGCTAAAAATAAAGCATTAATAGTGAATTATGGGCCAGTGATATTTGGCGTAACTGCCGCCTGCAAGTTACGTCATATCTATATGAAACATGGCGTCGTTTATAATGACAGTTGTGAATTATAGAGCCATTATGATCTTAAATCTGTGGATAAAGTTCATTATGTCCATATTCCGCTTAATTGATTGCAAGTGAATGCATATCATTTTTTTATGTGACAAACGAGCTGGCTATTCAACTAATGTTAAGTGATAACCGCTGCCCATGGACATTTGCAATACCCGTAGGGTTGAATATGCTTTACCACGCAGAAGTGTAACACTTCTGCTTCACGCCGGTCTTCTGTGAGGTGGCAATAACTCGGACGGACCTGCCCATTCATTCAACGGCCAACGCTGTTGCGTGGCCGGACCACAGTAAAGATGGCGTTTCCAACTATTTTTTATTTTTTTGAAACATAAAAACAGCTGCCGTCTTGAACATCCCTAAGTTTTAACAACCCCGAAAATGGTCTGGCGAAACCTGATGCTACAGAGTTCATGTGCGGCAAATATCTGCTTAGTGTTGACCACCACACCACAATGTTGACCTCTGTAAATTTTCATAGCATTAATGGTAAGAATATTAAATTCTTTAGAACAGGACTCGTGGTAATAACAAAAATTGGAAAGGGCTTCGATTTCTTCTCGAGCTTAAAGAACTAAATCAATCAGAGAGAACTAATTGTTGACGTTTCTAGCGGCTAAGGTTCTTTCGTTGGACAAGGTTAATTAAAAAAAGTAATGGTTCATATGGACCCAGAAAAGTGATACTGTTCTTGGTGTAATTTTAACCGTAACACTAATCCATATTAGATCAGCAATAAAGTAAAATCTTTAGCTTTACCACTATCAAATACAATTTTTTTTAAATAAAGAATTTTCGTATTACATGTTTTTACTTAACTTCTTAGCCACATATGGAATCATCTTCTTCTACCATATTTAAAAATATTTAAAAATAATTATTGGTTGCCGTTAGTTTCTGTGGTTTTTGAAAATGTAAGCTATCAAACAGCCTCTCGATCAACAGTTCAGTTGATGCCACAAGAATAATCCGCCAATAAACACACAGCAATATATATTATAGCGACACATATTACGGATACCAATAGTAGGAATATTACTAGGTATTTTAAAGTGGCAGACATTAAAATACTGCAACATATAAAAATAGTAAAATGTTTGTAGCAATGTCAATCTATTTTAATATGTATCTATCAATAATTTATCGATTGACTTTAAGTAGAGTTTAATAGCGATCTAAATGAGAAATTGCAATTTGGTACTATTAAAATGAAAATAATATGATTAGTGTCTCCACTATTATTAAACAAGCACATCAATACATTTGAAATGATATATCATTTTAATATAAAAGGAACAACCAAAAGTATTGAATATAACATATAATAGGACTGACGAGAATAAACCCTGCAAATACGAACAGTTCTGCCAAACTACACGAAAGTTCAATGACATTTGGATCGGTGCAAAGAAAAGTATTTAATTATGCATGGAGGTTATTTCTCCCCGCTGTTCAAACGATTAAATCGATAAGATTATCGTCTAGAGCAATATCCAAACCTTGTTGTTTTATGTAATAATTGAACAAAACATACGTTTTTTTTTTTCGTCTTTAGATAGATAGTAAGAAAGTTCAAAGGCGTACCAAATTTGTGAACTTACGTTGATATAGAACATACGACTTTGACCTGCTGAAGGCTCTATCAATATGGTCGATTGCGACATTGATATTTTTACATACCTAAGGGGGCTTGTGTCACAGCCGTTAGTATTATTTTCGGACTTCTTTGTTTCACATAGTATTACAAATGTTTGGCTTGTTTAGAGTTGGCCTATACAATTTATTTTCGAAAGCAGACACCAAAAATTGAAAGGTCATATTGTCCAAAAGAGGATTGAAGTGTTGAAGAATATTCCATTTCGCCTTACTTACGTAGTTATGTGATCGCCTTCTAAAATGCATCAGACTCGCACTCGATAGGTTAAGTGAGCAGACTAGTATAGTATAGATCATGTATACATTGGAAAATATACAGAACAAACACGGAATTGAATTATGACATGAACTAAAACTGTCTTGGAAAAAAACCATCACGGAAGGTAGGAAGTTACACTGAGACATGAAAACAATTATTGCAAAGTTTATCAACCGAATTCAATAAAGGAGTACGTTCTCAATTCGATTGTTTTATTTTTTATTTTGTTACCTCAGCACTTTCAGCTGAGTGAACCGATTTTGATGATTCTTTTTTTATTTGAAATCTGGTATTTGAAATCTGGTATTTGAAATCTGGTATTTGCCATATGGTCCCGTATTAATTTCATTAGTCCCGAAAATCAATTATAAAATGAATACATAGCGAGATATTTAAAGTCGGTTTTGTTTTTCGTTGATAAAAATAAACTTGTATAAATACAAAATCAAATGTAATACAATATGAAATGTGAAGGTTTATTGAATGACACCCTGAAGGTTTTATTTAGATGAGCTGCCTGAAGTCAACGAAATAGAAAAGTTATGAAAGTGTTGCAACCATGTACGGTTTTCACAGGAGCTCGTCAGAATAATCGATAATGGTGAACGCGTGGTTTTTATAGCTCTAACAGCAGTAATTTTAACAAGTGCACCAAGTACACGGCCGGTCAAACACGCAATGGCGATGCATTTGTAAACAAGACAGTGGGAACGTCCGGAATTGTCTAGATTCTAGAGTCTAGAGCTTTGTTGTAAATAAATATCACTTATTCATTCTTTTATCGCTTTTTATTCACTATTATATATACAGATAATATAATAATACTGATACGTATAGTAATTGCGTCATCGATATTGCAATTTTTTAACGTTATGTTTAAAGACTTTACGGTTAAGATTAATAAAATATGAAGGGAGATTTATTTTTTCTCCGTGGCTATAAGAAACAGTTCTATTTCTATCCTTATTAGTCTCGTTCCGACAATTTGTATATTAGCACATTCCATCCACCAAGATCCATTTAAATAAAAAGTGTTAGTAACGTTAAACTATCTTTCTCGTGTAGTTTGTTCCACCACAGTAAATTTACCCACGATTTAGCATATCTTTACACACTAATGGACTTGTTGTTACTTGTACAAGATTTTTCCATAAGGCCATTCTAGGCGGGCAACTATTTCCATGTAAATAGCAGTGGTGGTGAGGGTGGCACGTGGGCAACGGTCAGTTTACGCCCCGCGGCCGCCCGCGTGGTCCGTGGATATGGCAAGCGCTTAGCGAGTATCCGAACGCGGCAGCCATGACTGACGACATTCCAGGTGTGCTGGTGTTCTATATTCAAATTGCATTTAAAAAGCAAAACCTATTTCACGACTTTCGATTTTTTTTTTTAGTCTGCGTAAAAGAAATAATTTTATTATTTTATTTTTAGCCCATTGATGTCAATCACGTAACACGTTCAATGTAGAACCCAAATGTACTTAACTCTTATTACTTTTTTAAAAAAGTTAATTAACTAATCTAATCTGTTCCTTTATTCCAAAGGACAAAGAAATTTGTTGTCATACAGAAGGTACAATGATTAATTGATGTTCATTTTTAGCCTAATCGTCATCAAATTCCTATTGATTCAATAATTTCAGTTACAATTGTATGTCGTTTATTTTAATAAAATCGATGTAAATAGATGAATACTTTCACAGTTCAAAATATCCTATTAAAAATTATAACCGACCCTAATTATACATTCTTGGCAATAAATTGGCAACAGCAACTATGGACCGTAGGAAAAAATAGGATTTAATTCTGACCATAAGTTTATCTTAACCATTAAACCAAGCTCACAGTGAACACTGGCACTGCATAAACTTTTGGTATATCCAAGTTTGGTTTCTTCTAAATTCAGTGTATTTAACCAATTATCATTTTTGTCTTTTAATTATTAGCAACTAATGAATATGACAAGTATGAATATTAGTTTTTCACCGGTGTGTTAGTTCTGGAAGCTTAGTGCCAACATCGTTTTATTAATTTTTTTTTTTTAAGTTTTAATAGAATCATTAATTTTTGACGTATAATATTTCCTAGGTAATATTTCCTTCCTAATATTTCCTATATTAGTAATATAGTCTTGCTTTTAGTATGTTTATGATGTGTGTATAAGGAGAGTTTATTGTGGTATTAACCACTATTAGTAATAATTATCCATTTGCTTCGCATTTTTAGCGTTTTCGCCTATTGGTTGAAATTCGACTGTTTATTCAATTTTCTCCTAGAAACTCTTTATCCATTAATTTATTCTATTAGGACAATTTGACATTTCTAAACATCTATGCGACCGAAAAATCGTCATTGACAGAATAAACTTAAAAAAATAATCTTCAATTTAATTTAAAATATTTTTAACACGTATTTGTCATTCGTCTGCCCTTATGCCATCTAGGTTGGTTCGGCACAACGTGAATCATGTTATTATCGGTTACTAGCGACCCGCCGCACCGGCTTCGCACGGGTGCAATGTATTATATACATCATATAAATCTTCCTCACGAATCACTCTATCTAGTAAAAAAACCGCATCAAGATTAGTTGCGTAGTTTTAAAGATCTAAGCATCCATAGGGATGGACAGACACGGGAACGACCTTTTTTTATACTATTATTGGTTATGTATAGTTTTTTTACGACCGTTCGCCTGCCTGACGTCAGCCCTCCTTGGCAACAGACCCTGACCCGGAACAATGATCTGTTGGTCACAAAAATAGTTGAGAGCCAATGACTTAGCAACTGTACCCAAGATTCATTGTAAAAAATAAAATAATATGATTTAATTAAAATTTTATTCTCTATCCCTAAATAAATTTTAATTATACTAGGTCTCAAAACAGTACTGACTACTGCCTTTGATCAGGGTAGAGACAGATTATCTTTCAGCGTTGTAGTCGGTGTTTTCGCTTCGCATAAATTGTACTTTGGCTTTATGTTTAACATGTAACAGTGATGAAGTTTGAACATTTTTTTTAAACTCAATTAGCTGTACTTACTATTTCCCTGCCACTTCAACATTGATAAAGTTTCTACCGCTGCATAATTAAATTGAAATTTTATGTAAATTTCAATTAGACACATATTCAATAGTAAAATCTGTTATCTATGTAGGTATTGTAATAACTTGTTGAAGAAAAACGTAATATCACATTAGTAATTGTTTCTTCTAAATCTTACGCACCTTTTTCTCGAGCTTTCAAAAAATTTTAATCGGTAGAGAAATGTTACTCATAAAATAATTCATAAGTTAAATTCGATGCAAATCGATCGAAATGATTTCTAGAAAAAAAATAAAACGATGTAAATCCGACATTTCATTTAATTTCCATTGCAACGCATCTACAACCCTGGATGGTACAAATGTCCATGGGCGGTGGTTTTAATTTAACCTCAGGTAAACCGCCAGTTCGCTTGCCAGTTCGTTTTCACATAAAAAGGTAGTTATTCGGTAAAGAAAAATCACTAGTGAAATAATCAACAGGCAAAATTATACTTTAAAATTCAAAATTACGCTTATAGTTTTCCAACAAAAATATTTAAAACTTGTTATTTTCACTAAGAAAGTCCGTCAGTTTACATCTAACTGTTGCTTTTGACTTTTTTTGGTATTAGTTTTTATAAATATCAAGGTTTTAAATTTCGATAAGTATCTGTTTGCGGGATTAACTATTTAGGAAAATTTTAAAAGTCTGTTATAAAGGGGATCGGTCTTTTAAGATATTTTTAACCGACTTCAAAAGGAAGATGTTCTCAAGTCGACTGTATTTTTTTTATGTTTGTTACCTCATAACTTTCGACTGGGTGAGCCGATTTTGATAATTCTTTATTTATTTGAAATTTGGTGCTTCACATATGGTCCCATATTATTTTAATTGGTATCGGATCTTGCGCTCCGGAAATACTTAGACAACTCCTGAAAATCAATTATAAAATGAATACAGAGCGAGATTTAATCCCTTGAAAGCTTATGAAATCAACACGCCGACTGGTGACTAGTCACTAAACTGTGTAGCTGATAACTGTGCTACCATTTGAAGGTCAAGTTATATGTTAAAAACGGTTAACTTATATAGGTAGTATATTCGCTTAGCACAATCCATCACAATTCATAGTAGCTATTTCCATCGCCTTAACTGATCCGGCGAGCGAAAGCCTTAGCAAGTCCTGGCCGCGATTATAATCTCAGGTCCCATTAAAGGGTTAGAATAATCTAAAGGTCAACGGATATTTCGTGCGCCGAAAGTAATAAAAGCCTCTATTTCTTTCTTAGAATTTCATTAGTAATTGTGCCGTTTCCTAGGACGCCGACGCAAATCCTCCTCTTTATTATGTTGATTTCCAGCCACGAGCCACGCAATGACGTCAATGCCAAATGCCGGTAAGGTCGTAGGATTATTTTAAACTGACCGGACAAACATGATCGTGATGAAACAACTAATTTTCTGATACTCAAACAACACTCTGGGTTATCAAAACTGGTGGGGTGAATGTAGTTAATACAAGTTTAGCCTATACTCCCAGTCATATGTCGTAACTGACAATAATAGCTTATTTCATTCACAACATTTCTATTAAAAAAAAAGTAAAGTAACAGCCTGCACCGGGGATCGAACTCAGGTTGCTCGAGTATATTGAATTAAAGGCGAGCGCCCGGACACTGAGCTATCACGGCTCTATACTTTTTTTTAATTATTGGATGAAAATTTATCTTGATCAATTTTCAAAACCATATTTTCTCTTCTCCCCCACCTAACGTTTTATTAAGGCCCTTGAGACATATGTTATTCTATTCATATTTAGGCGAAGAATATGATTTTTACATACCTATATTTGTTTAAACAGAAAAAATAGGAGGGGCACAAAAATAGGTTCATTCACCGCCACTTAAAAATAAACATTAAATCCCCCGGCAATAAAAGGAACTAGTGTAACGGATATTTTTTTATTTTACTTTCGGTTCGTAGGGTAAATTTGGAAAGAACTATGGCGTGGACTTAATATTGTACCTGGTTAGAGAGCTGGTTCTCTTGTCGCTGTTGTTAAAGGTTAAGTTATACTTAATAACCTCAGCAAGGAAATACATCTAGCGTTCATGGAACCATGCAGCGACAGTTAAGTTTATTAGAACGTCTAATTTACTCAGTATTTACCAGCACTATAAATACATTTTCTTGTTAATAAAAATGTGAAAAGAAATCAAAAATAATTCCCTACATTTCCAATATCTTGCAATGAACACTGTATGAATCTGAAAACTGGAACCACGCGCGTTTTAGATTTTTAGGCTCCATCGCTGGCAATTACTTAACACCTGCTCGTTAAGCAACTTCTACCGTAAAAATGGGCATTTGCATGCTTTAACTTCAATATTGCCTATTCACAGAGACCGGTGCCGTGTTCACATTCGGCAAATCGCGCTTCGCCGACAACGAGCCGAGCCATTTCTTCATCAAGAACGACCCCATCGTGGCCATCTCCTGCGGGGACGAGCACAGCGCCGTCATCTGCCGTAAGTTAGCTTAGGACTGCATTCACCCTTTTTTATGTGTCACGTCGTCAAGCGAGCCGGTGCGCGGCGATTCACCTGTTAAGCGATTGCCACCACCCGTGGACAAATACAACACCTGAGAACTGGCAGGTGCATTGACAACCTTTGAAAAGAGGGTGGCCCAGTTACCTCACTAACCAGAAGAACGTGAGTGTATCCAATTCATGCTAGTCAGTTCAGGATGCTGTGAGTTCCTGCCACTGTCGAACAAATCCACCCTGCCCATAACAAACAAGAAGGGCAAAAGATCGTATCCATAACGCCTATCAAATGTGGAGTGAATAATGTAAGCCGTATGGTAAGAATTCCGAGTGACTTTTATGCAGTTTTATGATGAATTTAAAAAGACGTCTCCTCCGAGACTCCTCCTGTACTTTTGATTATCTGGTTCATTCATCTCTGTTTACTATTACATTTATTCTAGCTGTTTCCAGAATACGAATTGATAAGTGAACCACAAATTCCTTAAATATAACTTACAAGAAATAAAATCCAATTTTGAACGTAGGGAAACATTTTTTTCTGTATCGTCGTATAGTTCCATATTCAAATTTAAATATAAATTGTTTCGTTAACCAAAAATTTACGTTTCCTTGCTTTTACAACAAAAATATTTACTTGAAGACACTACTTAAGCGATCGTATCATGTCCACATTAATCTTTTCTTTATTGCGTCCATCGGTGACTTCGACCTTTGAGAAGCAGTGACGTTTTAATTAGGTTTACACGACCTAAGTATTGTCGGGGTAATAAAATTAACATGACTGCACGAACTTCGACTAACAGTTTTTCTATTCAAAAGAAAAACTGACTCGAATCACTTTCAGAAAACGCTACAGCCAGGTCGAAGTGATACTTGGAAATCTTTATTATTTATTCCCTATTCTGCCATCTACCCCAGCAGCTGTCAACCTTTGCCGTTATAAGAATAACTTTTGTAAAATGCTCGTTTTTGAATTTTTCCTTTTTCTAGCTCGTGTTATTTACCATTTTCCGACTGATCTAATTTCTATTACTTCATTCTTTTTTGGCATAAACATTTTTGCTAAAATGCGTATTTGGTTTTCTTCAAATAGTAATTTTCTTGAAATAAGAATTTTTAAATTTAAATGGGCATATCGCTTTTTTTTTGTTACTTCATATCGGCAGGGCCGGATTAAGGGGAGGGCAACCGGGGCTACAGCCCCAGGGCCTCCACAAAAGATGGGCCCCACAATAGACACTTCGGAAAAAAAAATTCAAATTCAGACTGTAAACCAGTGATTCTCAACCTTTTTTTTATTGCGGCACATATTTAACGATTTCAAAATTTGGCGGCACACAAAGAAAAACATAAAAATTATTTACTTACTACAACACACTGCATAAATAGTTTATGACAAAAATTTTAAATATACCTAATAAACTAATATATAATACAATAATAACTAAACGTTTATTAAGGGATTAATTACAAGCTAATAATAAAAAATATTTTAATGCGAAATTTGAGCTTGATGTTTTTTGATAATTTCATGTACATTTGGTAGTAAAAATGACAATGCTACTCTCATATCGTCTTCTACATTTAACAATCTTGATCTTTTTTAAGTTTTAATGTTGGCTAATGCCAAAAAATATTTTTCTTTTTAAATGATATAATTTAATAATATTAACATTATTATATATTTGCAAAATTTGGCGGCACACTTTTGAAATTTGGCGGCACACAAAAGTGCCGCGGCAGACTGGTTGAGAATCACTGCTGTAAACACTAGTAAAAAATTTTTAATTTTACATAATTCTTGCTTTCTATTATATTTATATGTTCGTTAAATATAAAAATAGCGTATACTTGGTTTCACAATAAATTATTTATTGACAAACTGGACTGAATTTTTTTTTTTCATTTTATTTGGAAAATAATTTGGCGCCAAGGCCTCTATACGTTTTACGGTGGTAGGGCCACGCAACAGCCTCGGCTATTGCACGAATGGGCAGGCTTGTCCGGGTAAGTACCACGACATCACAGAACGGTAGCCGGAGCCCAATTTTCAAAAGGTTGTCAACGCATCTGCAAACCCTCGGGTGTAGCCGATGTCCATGGGCGGTGGTATTCACTTAACATCAGGTGAACCACCGGCTCGTTTGGCAACTTTTCACATAAAAAAAAATCTGGCCCTGCAGGCCGATGTGATGTGACCGTCACGAACGACCTTAGAAACGTATTGAATGGTGAGATCCTTCGCCTACTGTCTCGATGGGTAAGTGGTACGCCTACCCATAAATAACGCACGCGTGGGCACTCGTGTGGCCCTACCCAACGTTAAGGTATCAAGCACGGGGGTACTGGCTAACGAGTCCAAAGTTCAAAGACACTAATAGCCTACGGATTTGAAGCAAAAACATCAGTTACTAGTAAAAGTTCACCGCTGCTCAATATTAGTTACAAGTAAAAGAAAAGTTCACCGCTGCTCAATGAATGTCCTCAGAAAATGGTCGAGTCTTCGTTTTCGGTGGCAACGCCTGGGGCCAACTGGGCCTCGGCCATAAGGACGAAGTCACAAGACCCAGTTGCGTAAAGTGGCTGAAGCCCCACCGAGCGATGTTCGTCGCGTGCGGTCGCGCTCACACGATCTTCGTTACGGGTTCGTATTCTTCTAATTTATTTTTGTTGGTTTTACTACAGTGCTATATTAATAGCTTATATATACTCCTTAATATTATGATTATGCTTATGATTCAATTAGTATTTAAGTGAGCAGTGTCCATTAAGAAATTTACCGTGCCTGGATTTATCCAAGCTTATCAGAGCTTCTTTATTTTAAAACCAATTTATGTAATGTAGACTTATATGGCAAATAAACGATTGAATTGAATTATATGTAGTTATCGTGTTGTAAAATTTTTTTATGCAATTCGACTGCTACGGGTCCAATCCATTTTGTGTGCGATTTTAATACTAAATACTTTGTATGTTTAACCACTTTAGAGTTCATTTTCAACAATAAATATTAACGTATAAGTAGTGATATTGATTCTTACATACATTACCTATTTTCAATACGGCTTTGATGATACATCGTCATTCTTAAATATTAAATAGCCATCGGTCCACCGTCTTCAATGGAGAATATTTAAACTTTGGGGAATTAAAAATTAACACCCTAAATGGTAGCGAATAAAATGTCTATAGGTAAAATAACAATCGGATCCGGTCTACCACTGCAACACAAAGAATATTCGTGTCACCAGTGCCGTCTTTACCATAAGGACACACGGGGCCTGTGTCGTCACGGGGGCCTCACATGGCCTGGATACTAGGTTGAACTATAAATTCTCTTCTCTATTTTTGGTAGACATTTTCCGACAGAAGTTCATAGAGTAAGTAAAAAATATAAGATAATAGCAGAAAATTGTTTTCGACATTCACTTTGTTTACTTTCCATCGGGGCCCCAAAGGACATGGGCCAATTTCGGCCCAGCTACTGGTGCTCTCAAGGACAGTAATGAAATATCTATAGAAAAAAATTTAAAAAATAAAAATATCATTTTTACACACTTATTACAAAATTCAAGGGTATTTTAATGGTGGGATAGTTAAAATTATAAATAAAAAGAAATTAGCATGACTAAGCTACATTGATAATATTGAAGGAGTTGCCATAGGTAAAATATATCTTATCCTTTAAACGAGCAATTCTTGTATATATATATATATATATATATATATATATATATATATATATATACACAGCGTGTCGTTACCATCGCGACAATAAATGAACACACATATAGGGGATACCTTTTTAAAGTTGTATTAAACATTTAAATTCTTTAAACATCAATATTTACAGAGTTATTAAATTTTCCAAAACAAAGAATTTAATTAATTAAATTTAATTAAAGAATTTAAGAAATTAATTTAAAAGCGTAACGTAAAGTTCATTTGTAAAGGTCACAAAGCATATGAATGGATTGAATGAATTTAAAAGAGACAAAACATACTGTTAGAAGGAGAGGCTTGTAATACGACGCTGTGGTGCGAGTAGTATAGGTGTTACAAATTTTGTTTCTTTTTTACTTAATTAGTTTGTTTGAAAAATATTTTTTTTTAATTATGGATTTTGTTTTACGTTAATATTTTTTTATGATTATTGGCAAGTAGCGTTAGACGTGTGTTCATTTATTGTCGCGATGGTAACGACTCGCTGTATATATATATATATATATAATCGTAATCTCGGAAACGGCTCCAGCAATTTTCATGACATTTAGTATGTGCGTAGATTCGGGGGCGAAAAATCAATCTAGCTAGGTCTCATTTTTAGAAAATGTCCCTTTAATCCCTGTTTTCAGGGAATGAAAAATATCATTTGAATATGACAGTAAATTTAGCCGCAAAAAAAAATGTTATAATAGCTCGGTCGGTAATCGGGCGGCCCCAAAGCAGACGGCCGCGGTTTGTATCACGATCATTTACACACTTATTCTTTTTACTTTTTTTTTCTATATCAGATCATTTTTTTTTCCAAAATATATGATTTACCAAAAAAAACTCCTCCAGGTACTTTATATTTTAAACAAACAAATATATTTACATAAATAAATATATTTATATTTTAAACAACATCTAAATCATTTCTTTATTTGCGTAAACTATTCTTCAATGGTAGTGGTATTCCCATTTTTGTGTGATAACTATGATCCTTACATACATTCTCACCTCTTTAATTACACCTACCACACCATAAGTGGGTCACTAATTAGTTTTGCATGCACACAACTCAATGGTGGCAAATCTAGTTTAAGTGTGATCGGAGGTAATCTTTGGGCATTAGTATCACTTAGCAACTGAAGAACTGGCATCCCGTCTACTACCTCTACTGCGTATGATTTTTTATTACCTTTTTAAATCTATACTTAAACATTTATTTACACATTTTTTTAATGGGCGATTCAATAATATTTATCAACTCTGTTCCAGAGCTCTGTCCCTATAAAATAAGAGTGTAAAACTTTTTCGGTATTTAATTTAGTGTACCCAAAGCTTACAACTCTACGTAATAAATATGAGCAAATACTTTTCTATGATCGTCATCAAAGTCTTGACGTTAAGTGAATTAGTTCTGTGTCATAAAGTATAGTAATATAAATAATATTTAAGCTGATGATGATGTTCAAGTGTCAGTGTATTGAAAACAAAATCATATGATATAACCTAAAATTCTTATTTTTTAAAATATGTAGAAAAAGTGCGAAAAGATTGTCGCCGCTGTGGGAATCGAACCCACGTCTTCGGCATTCGCGGCCTAACGCTCTAGCCACTGAGCTAAACGGCTGATTACCACACCGACGAAAATCTTAACGCATTCTTCCACATTGTTTTCTTAGCATTTGAAGCAATGCTTGGCGCTAGTGGCTAGAGCGTCAGGCCGCGAATGCCGAAGACGTGGGTTCGATTCCCACAGCGGCGACAATCTTTTCGCACTTTTTCTACATATTTTAATGTTCAATCTTAAGTGCAAAGATTAGCACTATAAACAATTGAAATTTCTAAAAAAGCAATGGCGACATCTCTCGTTCGAATTATCGTTGTAAAACGATATTCGAAGTTGTTTGTATGCTGGAAAGGATATAACAATAGATGGCGCCAAGCATTGCTTCAAATGCTAAGAAAACAATGTGGAAGAATGCGTTAAGATTTTCGTCGGTGTGGTAATCAGTCGTTTAGCTCAGTGGCTAGAGCGTCAGGCCGCGAATGCCGAAGACGTGGGTTCGATTCCCACAGCGGCGACAATCTTTTCGCACTTTTTCTACATATTTTAATGTTCAATCTTAAGTGCAAAGATTAGCACTATAAACAATTGAAATTTCTAAAAAAGCAATGGCGACATCTCTCGTTCGAATTATCGTTGTAAAACGATATTCGAAGTTGTTTGTATGCTGGAAAGGATATAACAATAGATGGCGCCAAGCATTGCTTCAAATGCTAAGAAAACAATGTGGAAGAATGCGTTAAGATTTTCGTCGGTGTGGTAATCAGCCGTTTAGCTCAGTGGCTAGAGCGTCAGGCCGCGAATGCCGAAGACGTGGGTTCGATTCCCACAGCGGCGACAATCTTTTCGCACTTTTTCTACATATTTTAATGTTCAATCTTAAGTGCAAAGATTAGCACTATAAACAATTGAAATTTCTAAAAAAGCAATGGCGACATCTCTCGTTCGAATTATCGTTGTAAAACGATATTCGAAGTTGTTTGTATGCTGGAAAGGATATAACAATAGATGGCGCCAAGCATTGCTTCAAATGCTAAGAAAACAATGTGGAAGAATGCGTTAAGATTTTCGTCGGTGTGGTAATCAGCCGTTTAGCTCAGTGGCTAGAGCGTCAGGCCGCGAATGCCGAAGACGTGGGTTCGATTCCCACAGCGGCGACAATCTTTTCGCACTTTTTCTACATATTTTAATGTTCAATCTTAAGTGCAAAGATTAGCACTATAAACAATTGAAATTTCTAAAAAAGCAATGGCGACATCTCTCGTTCGAATTATCGTTGTAAAACGATATTCGAAGTTGTTTGTATGCTGGAAAGGATATAACAATAGATGGCGCCAAGCATTGCTTCAAATGCTAAGAAAACAATGTGGAAGAATGCGTTAAGATTTTCGTCGGTGTGGTAATCAGCCGTTTAGCTCAGTGGCTAGAGCGTCAGGCCGCGAATGCCGAAGACGTGGGTTCGATTCCCACAGCGGCGACAATCTTTTCGCACTTTTTCTACATATTTTAATGTTCAATCTTAAGTGCAAAGATTAGCACTATAAACAATTGAAATTTCTAAAAAAGCAATGGCGACATCTCGTTCGAATTATCGTTGTAAAACGATATTCGAAGTTGTTTGTATGCTGGAAAGGATATAACAATAGATGGCGCCAAGCATTGCTTCAAATGCTAAGAAAACAATGTGGAAGAATGCGTTAAGATTTTCGTCGGTGTGGTAATCAGCCGTTTAGCTCAGTGGCTAGAGCGTCAGGCCGCGAATGCCGAAGACGTGGGTTCGATTCCCACAGCGGCGACAATCTTTTCGCACTTTTTCTACATATTTTAATGTTCAATCTTAAGTGCAAAGATTAGCACTATAAACAATTGAAATATCTCTGTATCCCCATGAACAATATTGATTTTAATTTGTTTATAATATAAGGGATATACAGCGTGTCGTTACCATCGCGACAATAATTGAACAAACATGTAGGGGATAAGTTTTTAAAGTTGTATTAAACATTTAAATTCATTAAACATCAATATTTACAGAGTTATTAAATTTTCCAGAACAAAGAATTTTAGAACACCCTTACCTATAAAGGTAATTTTGTTTCTTTTTTACTTAATTAGTTTGTTTGAAAAATATTTTTTTTTAATTATGGATTTTGTTTAACGTTAATATTTTTTATGATTATTGGCACGTAGCGTTAGACGTGTGTTCATTTATTGTCGCGATGATAACGACACGCTGTATAGTCTGTTATTTAAACTTAATTTCATTACAGTCCTTGAACTTCGTTTAGTGGGCCGTGCAATGTTTGGAGAGTGGCCCATGTCCTTTGTGTGCTCCAGGGCTCCGACATATCCCCTGCCTGTCGTAAAAGGCAACTAAAATCGGACACGGATGGGCAGCACGAAGTGGTCTCGTGCTGCTGCAAGAGGTTGAGGGAATCGGAGAACGTTTATTCTTCTCTGAGGCGTGCTCAAGCGTAGTACCGAGGGACACCGGTGCGTTCCATTGGAGATCCCGGAGTCCCTCCAAATGTACAGAAGGTGGCCACCGAGGGGTTTTTAGTGGGTAAGAACCCCTCATAACCCTGTCATGTAAGGTGACAGGGTATCTTTCGAAGATTTCCCCCGATACCAAAAAAAGAAAAAAAGGCCCCGACATGGCCTAACGGCAAGGCGTGCTGGTGATATAAATAAATGTGGTACGCTGCGATCAGATACGAACGCTATCTACTCCGTGGGCTGCAACGAGGAGGGCCAGCTGGGCACTGGGGACACGGAGCCCAGGAGCGTGCCGCAGTACGTGGAGTTTGACTCGGTGCCCGTCAAGCAAGTGTCGGCCGGCAGCAACCACACCGCCATACTCACAGGTGCGTGCGAACATTCTTGTCGAAACAACAGTTTTAACATTTGTGGTATGTACTTGATTTTGTAGTATGTACCCATCTCTATCTACGGGAAAAAGTTCTTTTTTTTTGTAGGTGGTAAACTAGGAGACGGTGCACTAGATTTCATGTAGTTAACGCGACTGTCCGTGCAGTTGCACTTGCGTTGGCAACCTTTGGCCTAGTTACGACACGAAATGTAAATGTATAAGCTCCCCTACTTATCCCGCTTACGGCCGATTTCAATATCCTAACGACAGATAGATTTGGTTACCAGCTATAGGTATTTGACGTTAGCTCCATAATACTTATGCGAATATAACGAAAACGATAACTCAAAGGTTAATGACCCGATTCAAGTTTGGTATTTATAACCTTAATGAGTAGTTCTACTAGTGACTACCTGGATTAATTAAAAACCTGCTTAAACTACCCCCACTAACCCCTTCATTCTGCGAACTTTTTGACTGCTCCTCGCACATCTATTCTTGTGTATTCTGAGTGTAATAACAAATTTTGCATTGCTAATTTGTATTGGATATAGTTAATAAATGATTTATATCTATTGTTTCCTTATGCTGCATTATTGAATTAGATTAAGTGCCTAGAATGACAGTGTAAGGTCATATAAACAAATAAATAAATATCTAACATTGTATATCCAAGAAACTATCTAGTGTTATAGAGCATCGCAAAAGCTTAGTAAGTACGTAGTCGTATCCGGCGAAGTACTGCGGCCTTACGGCCGGTGGGGAGTATTAAACTGTCGCGTTTCGTCTGATGTGTGCAGTGTTTGCTGCTGTACGAATGGGCAGGTCGGTCCTGGTTAGTACCACGACCTCACAGGCGTGAAGTAGACGCGTTATACTTCTGCGTTTCATATGGTGAGTGAGTTAGCTTCAGTCACACACTTTAATAAAATGTGGCAATGCATCTGCAACCGCACGGGTGTCGCAAATGTCCATGGGCGGCGGAAACGCCAGCTCGTTTGCCACTTTGTCATATAACAAAAACGGGGGCACACCTTTTAAGTTGTCAACGCATCTACAAGCCGTCGGGTTTTATAGACGTGCATTAACCGCTATCACTTAGCGCAGGTGAACCGCCTACTTGTCGTTTCACAATAAAAAGTGCCGTTACGCAGAGGACGGCCGCGTGTTCGTGTGCGGCTCTAACTCCGAGGGCCAATTGGGGCTCGGCGAGGGCACCCGCTCCTGCCCCCAGTTCACCGAGCTCAAGTTCATGGAGAGGATCGCCTTCGTCGAGTGCGGCTACTATCACACCATATTCATAACCGGTACATAAGTGATTATAGCAAATCAACAGCCAAACACGTACGACTATATGAGACTTACCCCAAAGAATCTTCCTTCCTTCCGCGACTTATTACGCGATTTTAAAATAAACGAAATTTCTAAGATAAAAGTAGCCTTCACGCAGTTTCCGAAAGCGCAATCAATTTTAATTTACGATAAATCTCTTGTCAAACGTTGTTTAAAATGATCTGAGTTGCTAGAATGTCTGAAAACAACATTGATTTTGATTTGCAATTAGTCGCTGATTAACGGACAATCAACAGAAAATCGAGTTTCTGAAAGCGTTTTTCGGTGGTCAACGAGCTCTCAAAAGTTTTATTAAGTAATCGGTCAATTTTGACGATCAATCGTTGGTTAAAAATGTATTTTATTAAAAATCTTAGTTTTTGTTAGAAACTAGCTGACTCGGCAAACGTGGTTTTGCCATATAAAATTATTTCTAGAGGAATCGGAACGCACGCATAAAGTGTTTGAGAGGTTACACAAATATAGTTGACAGGTACAGTTTGTTTGGGAAAATAAAATTGTTGATATTTCGATTTTCCATGCAATTTTTCACTAATTTCACATCGTTTAAACCTTCCCTGGACTGCCACACATATTTCAAACCAAAAGTAGCCAAATCGGTCCAGCCGTTGTCGAGTTTTAGCGAGACTAACGAACAGCAATCCATTTTTATATATAAGGATAAACATAATTCCCTAATACGTTATAAGGTAATTCATGTGTTCTATTACCTATTTATTATTTATTATTATGCGAACATATCATGCGATTAGAAAAAATAGAAAATGCAATTCAAAATTTAATAAATAATATGGATTCTTTCTTTTTATAATACTTACTTGTTTATTATGGATAAAAGTTAATTTTTTTCACGTTCTGTAATGTTTTTTCTTGACATTTTGCATGTATTTATATAAATTGGCGATTATAAATTGATGATGTGACGTTAATTTAAGTTGTTTAAAAAGGGACAGCTATACAATAGAAAGAGTTAGTTGAAGTAAATCATTCATTTCATTCATTATCGTTGGTTATAGTGATTAGCTAATTTTTCTTGAACAAACCTTCCAGAAACCCAAGGCAGTTTAACAAGAGATTAACAGCTGATCATTTTTGACATAGTGTTATGTGATTGCTGCTTTGATTGGCCTTTCGGAAACTGGGCATTAGTTACTCCTTATCACATCTGCTATCTGCCAGTGAAAGTCCTTTCAAAATCGGTACAGCCGTTTTAGAGACTGGTCTGAACAGACAGAGAAAAGTTGCAAAAATTTTGCAACTTTTGTCTGTCTGTTTGGTATACGTACCGTGTATACGTGGTGCATATACATTTAATATTACAAATAGACACTCTAATTTAATTAATCTGTATAGATGTTTGTATGAGGCAAATGTTTACCGGCGACACGAAGCCGTGATAAAACAGCACTTGAAATCTATTTATCAACTGCATAGGAGATTTCAGTGAAGACTTAAATCACCTTTAATTTTAAATTATTACCAAACAGGCAACTAGGGCAAACAGAAAATCGTGTAAAATAATTTATGTAACAAGGTCAAACTCGAAAAATATTTATTGTCGAAGAATATTTAAAAGATATTTAAATTTTAGGTGAGGTATTCGATCGTGTCCAAACTGTTCGTCCTTATAAAAAAATACGGATAACGACTTAAGGACGATAATTACAACGCACGATAGAATAAAACTTTACAAGAAATACCCCACTTCGATCTATCGAAATAAATGTTTAATTTCGCAACTATTCAAATAACACCTTTAATTTGTTGTTGTTGCACGGATGGGCAGGTTCGTCCGGGGAAATACCACGAGCTCACAGAAGACCGGCGTGAAGTGAAATGTTACTTTGTTCTTGTTTACTAAAAAATGACAACACATTTACCACCCTACGAGTGTTGCAAATGTCTACGGGCGGCGGTCATCACTCAACATCAGATGAACCGCCAGCCCGCTCGCCATCTTTAAAAAAACCATCCCCACAAATCTCGCAGACAAAGGCGCGGTGTTCGCGACGGGCGACAACGAAAACCAGAGACTTGGCATACCCAATACGGCCACGACGATTTACTCACCGGAGGTGCTGCCAATAAACGTGCCGGTGAAGAGCGCATGCTGCGGCGCCGGCCACACGTTCCTGCTGTCGATGGACGAGAGCCAGATCCTGGCGTTCGGCTCGAACGAGAAGGGCCAACTGGGGCTGCCGGGGGACGTGGACCACGTCAGCACCCCCACCGAGATGGACATGGAGATGTTCGACGGGTACCAGCTGAAGCTGGTCGCTTGCGGCGCGATGCACACCGCTTTTGTTACAGGTAGGCTATATGGTGATAGGCCCCCCTGACAGTGAGCAACACAAAAATGAAACGCCGGTGCTACGTGGTCATTTATTGGACACCCATTCTGTCCGGGACTCCCACGTACCCCTGCCGCTACCCCGATCGGTGGCGGGGGATTTAAAAATCTAAAAACAAGGTACGCAAGACGTTTTGTGCTGAGCACGACTTCAGCTGCAAATTGGGTAGAAACTGAGATAGAAATTATTTGTTACTTAAGTTTTCGATCGAACAGGATCAGACAAAGCCAGGGCACCGATGATAGAAAAAACTTCATACGGGTTTTTCTTACAGACAATTCGATTGAAAAATAAAGTTTTTTCGTACCAGCATACTATGCAAATTATATTTTTACTTGCTACCCAAGTGTTATCAAAAACAAAATGCTGTGCATACATACATTTCTATTAAACTTTTATTTTTTTAAACCACTGTTTCTACTATTACAGGCATGTGTATTACACTATTGTACAGTATTTATAACCTTAACTAAGAAAAAGTATTTTTTACTTTGCTAGACCAACAACAGTTTATTGACGTCACATTGAAGTAACGAGAAGTCTAGAAGCGCCTTACCGCAGTTAATGAAAAATGTTGTGAAAGTCACAATTAGCGGAAACCCAAGTAGCGGAATTAATTCTGTATTAAAAACATATAATTCAATTTTATATAATGATTTTGATAGCATTAAAACTTTCAAATACATGGGTTCTAAATATGGAATGTTACACTTACGAAGTTTGCAAAAAAACATTCGATACCTGCATCTCATTCGTCAACGTCGCACTTCATTACAGATAACGGTCTGCTCTACACTTGCGGCGAGTCGAGACACAACAAACTCTGTTTGGAGGAGGCAGACGACGCCGACAACTCGAACGAGGCGGTGCCCAATCAATACACGCCGAAACGGGTCATTGCCATGGACGGTTACATCGTCGACAATGTCGCCTGCGGCGGATGCCACACCCTACTAACGGCCACCAAATGCCCAAACGACGATACCCTAATAGCCACTACAGACCAGGAGGAACGCAAGACATCGCTGATCGAACTGCCACCACTACAGAAAATACCAGGGCTCAATAAAACCGATGAAAAGGTCGAGAATGACGCGACGAAATCCAACAGCAACGAACCGCGGGCGGACGATATAAACGGCAACACTCATGAAGACGCCGGATCGATAGACTCGTTGGAGGCGAACGTCAGCGGCTCCCACATAGTAAACATAAACGAGCTCAGTGATAACGGTGGAACACGTGACGCGGCTGATGTGAACAAACTCGAGGAATCGCCGCGAGCGATTTCCAACGCGAACGAAGGTTCGATCCCGGTGTTCGCAATGGACACGGACGCCATTGACGAAGCAGTAAAAACAACTGACCTAGCTCAAAAGGAAATCGAAGATGCCGTGCACAGCTTAACGGTGGAAACTATGGTTAAAACAGAGGTCGTCGAGGACATCATACAGAAGACCGAAGCCAAAACAAGCCCTTTGTCTCCCGACGAGAAAGTGTCGCTCGATATACCGGACAAAGCGGCGGAGGTCGCAAACTCGCCGCCGCCGAAATCGCCGATCATTCAGGACCTGCTCGACATACCGGACATATCGCACATGAGCCCAGTTCCCAGTAAGCGTAGCGACGACGGCACGGGACAGTCCGAAAACGAGACCATCCCCTGCGCCTCAGACAAGTCAAGCCCACAAGCGGAGAAAACCGCAAAAACTCAAGCGGTACTGCCGATAGTGCGGAGCGAAGATCACATCGACTCGCATAATGTGCCGGCCAACTGTGAAGATACAGATGTTGTCGCTAATAAACTCGAGGAGAAAGGGCGCTTTGCCCGCATTTTTCAGTCCATCAAGGACAAGGAGACCTCGTGCATGGGTAAAGGAAAAGTTATAGAGGAGAGAATTGTTGGTAAGAAGATTTTATTCGTCATCAAAGCTTTTAAATGAACATTTGTCTTGCTCAAAAACGCGTGGTATTTTCTGTATACAGACAGTACAATTTCGACGTACAACTGAAATAATGGCACATAATAATTCATATGCTAATTAATATTTCGGTGTGTAATTCATTGAGATTATCTCTTAAGAAACCGAAGGAGTAAACGCTGAAATAAAAATTACGTATGGTTGTTTAAAATTGTAATATATATTCAGCTCCAAATTGATGACTCCTCGGCGCAGTTGCCAAGGTATTGTCTTCGGCGCCGGAGATCGTGGGTTCGATTCCCACATGGGACAACTATTCGTGATAATTATTTCGGGTCTGGATGTTTGTCCGTGTAAAATTTTTGTATGTAAAACGTCCTTACAAAATAGGGTAATGTTATCCTAAAGTAAGGGCAATGTATTTAATAATAATAAAAAAAAAGTTTCGTGTAACTCAATTCTGAATTAGAGTTAAGTCCATTCTAAACTTCGCTCGACCAACGCAAATACACTAACGGCAGATTTCAATATTCTATCTTTAGATTTGATTATTAGTGATAGTTATTTGACATTTCATAATACTTACGTTAAAATTCTATTTCCAGTAACCAAATCTACAGACAGATATTCCTAAAAAATAGAAAGTTAAGTAAGCCTTTTCAAGCAGAACTTTCGTGATCCCTACTTCCATATACGAACGTACAGAGAAGAACGCTACAGCCTCTGCCTATATATATACATATCTACTTATACATATCTTTGACTTTATCTAGAAACGGTACGTTAATAAAACACAATATTTTGTATTTATCTTACAGAGAATGTCCACAAAGGATTGGAAGATGCAGAGGAAACAGTAAACAAGGTAGAAGAAAGAGTTGAGACGGAAATCAGAAACCAAACGAACTCCAGAACTTGCACAATTTTGTAATTTTAAGAGCTTTGTCGCCCTCAATGTTTAGTCAATAATAAAACTTTTCTCTTTTATATTTTTAAATTAACTTTATTTGTATATTAATTAAATGTTCGATGTTAAAAAACATGTTGATTAAAGAAATGTTACTGCATTCAATTATTTAAATGCCCTAGAATTTTATAATTATACATTTTCTGATAATTTTCCATCACAATAACAATGTGTTCCCTTGTTATCGATCTAATCTTACTTTTTCATTAATATTTCACCAAAACTTTATATAAAAAATAATCAAATCTATATATCATTACCTATCTAGATCTATTAGTTATCTACACCTATAATGAATATATATTAATGCTTGAATTATGCGCGTGAAATAGTAATTTTACGTTTACTGGCAGTTGCTGCTGTAGCCGATGACCAATCTCCAAGTTTGCCTTTTCATTTTTTAAATTTTTGACCCAGATGCCTGAAAGGAAAACGTAGAAAAACGTATTTTGGGCATTGTAAAATTTGAACTTAAATTAGACATGATTTAATTAATATACGAATACGTTTTTCAAAAATGCAATCGTTATTTTTACAAGTTATATAATATAAGTTTTTAGAAATAATAAAGACATATATAACGTATACCAATTTATAAACTTTCAGTGAACCAACTTATTTCTTTCGTTAGAGAAAATTATTGCAGAACACTATAGAACTTTAAGACGGTAAATAAGATAAAAATTTCAAGGAAAATTTAACGAAAAATTTTAAAGGTAACCTACCCACTTTACTTTTTGGTCGAACGTTGACAACCACTCCGCTTATTTCGTCGGTATTCTCAAAGTTTTCCCCAATAAGACTGAGAACCTGAAATTATACAAAATGATTGTTTTGTCCGTAAACTATATAAAAGTCCACACATATCGGGGAAGGTTTACCCTTCTCCGAGGCGTGCTTACGCCCAGTACCGAGGGACACCGGTGCGTTCCATAGGAGATCCCGGAGTCCCTCCCAACGAACAGAAGGTGGCCACCGAGGGCGCTTTAGTGGGTATAACCCCACATAACCCTGTCATATTATAACCACAGGATATCTCGATTTTTCGAAGATTTCCCCCCGATACCAAAAAAAACTAAACTTCGTTGTACCGTATACAGCCAAACGTTGTCGAGGTCGGCCGTTCGCTTCTTGTCCAGCGTGATAAGCCACCGGCCGCCAGGTTTATTCACGCGGTCCTCCCACTTCGGCTGAATGCCCTTCTTGAATATCGCGTAGTCCTGCCCCAGTTGAAGCTCCGACGGCGTCTTCATGTGGTGGTACAAGCTGAGGACGTTATAAAGCTATCATAACGTTACTGCCACATGACATGTGCTATCTCTTCCCTTGACATTTTTCGTTGTAGACTCAAGATACACTATTTATCTACTTGACAACACATGTTTGTATGCATTTATACTGTACGTATTTTATTTTTATTTATTTATTTATTTATTCTTTATTGAAAACACCTCAAAAGGGTTACAAAGGGCGGACTTAATGTCTATTGGCATTCTCTACCAGTACACTACACGTATGTATTTATATAAATATTTTAGAAGTAAGTATTACCGAAATTTTGTTACCACGGAGAAAATATTAGGTATTTCTGTCGCCGCTGCCATTTCGTGTTAATGGCCTTATGGATTTTAATGAAACTTTACAATAACATAACTTGTACATCAGAATAACACATAAGCTATAATTTATATAGTAACTGTCTGTTACGCCTTCACGACTAAACCGCAGAACCAATTTTGATGAATTATTGTATAAAGATAGATAGGACCTTTGAGAAGTAAATCCTGAGCAGACGAAGTCGCGAGCACCAGCTAGTTCGCCAGCAGCTGTGAATGTCTCGCAGTAGCTTGGTACTAGAAAATATAGTATTTCTCACCACCAGTAATCTTCAACGGTGTTAAATGTTGTCATCTCCACCAGGTTTTCCTCCCAAATCTTCGAGGTGTTCGTGTACATCCAAAAGCTCCATGTATTCTGCAGGGGATGTTTTAGTGTTTCTAACTCCATTTCTTTGTTGACTTTCATCTACAACCGAACCAAGGTTCGTCATATTGTATTTCGGCCGACTGATATTTTCCATGAAGAACTTACCATATAACAAACAGGTTTCTAGTTGAGGTGGTACCTGTACCTTTTTCCAAGGAGTTATTGTATCACCTGAATAAGGTGTAGCGCTGTCTACTTCCGAAGTATTGAAAACACTATTTGAATAAAGTTACGATCCACTCACACACATATAACGTTTAACACCCATCGTACCTATCGGTAATCGACTGTATGTGAAACCGTAATGGATAATGCTTGTGTGTTGATACAACACGCATTACAATGGATACATAACAAAGCAAATGCACTTTGCACACGAACCGATTGTTCTAGCTAGCGTGATAACTATGACGAGTCACAGACCTAAACCAGACAAGAAAAATATGTACAATACATTTCTGTGCCTCCTGTGATCAGTGATACAAGTCGAAAATCAACATTTTACAGGAGAGCAAAAACAAGATTTAAAAAATTCTAGTTCATGAAGTGGATAGACTAGGACAAAACTTTGTACACACTCATATAGATTATAACATTCTCTTTCATCCTGTATTATTACAGTTTTGTTAAAAAATTATATAATTTATCAGTAACTCGAAAAAAACTTTTGAATTGTACCTCTGTAAAGTAAAATATTGGCAAAGAAGATGTGTTACATGATATGAGTAGATTTAAACCATGTTGCACCTTATTATAGTCTTTGTGAAAACTGATATACGTGTAGTATAAAAACAAAAATAACTTATTAGAACCTCTTCCTATCATAATTTTTTAACCAAATAAAAATAAATGAAACATCTAGATTCATTTTTTATAGTGTATATCCCCCTGTTGTGATAATTTCTTTGAATTGTATCAACTAGCTGAAATCCTCGTGATTTGAAACATGTGTTATATGATACAAGTCAAATTATACCTGACTTGAAAAATTATATTGATTGTGTAAATTAATACAACTATTAAAAAAATAATAAAAAATTTATTGTACTTCTCCTAAATTATTCTTATCTCATGATTCAATAAAAAATTATAAATTATATATCTAGGATCGGTCATAGCAGATATCACAATAGGTACCTTTCAGTACTTACAGGATATTATGATCATTATCTTAATCCTAAATAGATTAATAAATATAGAGAAATTAACAAACACAACAAAATCTTCTTATCTTTCTATAAGCACCCTATCTATGAGTAAAATCACCTTTAGACGTAAACCAAAAATAAAAGGAAACTATAACGACAAAATAAACGACAACTACTCGGAATCATCGTCATTGTCCGGAAGAGAGTCTTTAATGTTTTTTTTTTTTTATGGAAAAAGGAGGCAAACGAGCATGCGGGTCACCTGATGGTAAGTGATCACCGCCGCCCATGGACATTTGCAACATCAGTTGAGTCGCTATTGCGTTGCCGGCCTTTAAGGTAGGAATAAGCTCTCTTCTTGAAGGTCCCTAAGTCGTGTCGGTCTGGAAATACCGCTGGCGACAACTCTTTCCACAAAGTAGTTCATTCAAAATTTCGCGAAAAACTCACAGTGGTGGACCGCCAACCATCAAGGTGGTGTCGATGGTACTTGGCGGTTTGACGAGTTGTACGATGGTGAAGTTCACCTGCAGGTATCAACTGAAGAAAATGCAAAGGGATGCAACAACCCTTCGCAGGGCCAAAGAATCGAGACGATCGGACAGAATTTGGTCGTCGATTATTCGAGCAGGTCTTCGTTGGATGCGCTCAAGTAGTAGGAGCTGGTATTTCGGTGCCCCAGCCTAGAGGTGAGAACAGTATTCCATGTGCAGCCGAATCTGTGCTTTGTAAAGCTGCAAACGATGTGCCGGTAGGAAATACTGTCTCGCTCGGTTTAGGATACCGAGTTTTTTAGAAGCCAGCTTGGCTTTTCCTTCCAAATGACCGCGATATTGAACGTCACCGGTCACTCTTACAGTTTAGATTTCTATGAAATTCATGAGCTCTTTCATGGATAATAATTGTACTAGATCCTTCTTCTTTTCTGTTGAATTAGGAATCTTGGAATGGTAAGCTTTTGGTACGGTATAAATTTCTACCATATAGTACACTTATCCGCGTTTCGATAAATTCATTCATGTTCCCACCGTCTTTGAGTCCTTTTTTGTAAGAAATACAGGGAAGAAAAAAAACAGAAATACAGTTGCCTTAAAGATACATACTCGATATGACATCAGACTACAGAAACTTTTTAATGTCTGTAGTTGTTTTGGGAAGGAATTGTTTAAAAAAATACCGAAGTCGTTAAACATATTCAGAGTCATTTCGATCACAGTAAACTTTGCAGATGTATTTGAAGCTGTGCAGACCACTATCTACCAATCTCTTGGCAGGTGAATATCTATGCCCATGTGCTTCTTTTTATGCTCAATCAGCGCATGGTCACTCTCTGCTTCCATGTCAGTATGGCTAGGTACTAGAAATTTATGTTCGATGGATTGTAGTTGATATCAGGTATTAAGTTTTCTAAGTTTCTCGCATAAAGTCTGAAGATACTTGTGGTTTTAGTCAAAAGTCTTCAAAAAACATCCTTTACAAATTGCGTGTTTTGTTATGATCAAACCCGTGAAAGAAGTATCGAAAAAATCTAGCGTTCCGTTTTTTCTTGGGATATTTGGACGTCTTTTTTTTTGAAATTCCAAGACTCCAGTATGTTTTGAACAGAGTGTTCCTTAAATGAAACGGTAGTCTCTCTTTGCATTTCTGACATAGTTTTTTAGATCACGTAAGTCACGAGTTCTTCTTGTTTTTCCTGATGTTGTTGTATATTTCGAGGCAGTGTTACAAAATAGTTTATTTATGTGAGAAGGTGGCACGCGAGCTGTAGGTCCACGTTAAGTGATAGCCACCGGTCATGGACATTTGCAACTCCTGTAGTGTGGCAGATGCGTTGCAACCTTTTAATAAAGTGGGCTTAGTCAGTCACTTCACTCCCGCACATAACCGCCCCCTCACCTTGTTTTAATTTGTATCATTTTACACTATAGTTCGTAGTAAATACTTTTTAGAACATGTTTGCATTTCAGATATAACTCAATTTATTTTAGTGTTCAGATAAGAATAGATATTGTGTGAAATGATGCATGTTGAGATGTATCATTCAGCACATAATTAGGCGAAATTAATATTCAGATCGGTAAGTACATGTCAAGTTGTACCCTGCAAATAACAAAATAAACTTAGGTTCAAGTTGATGTAACTGGAATAAAATTATTATTCACGAAATATCATTAGAAAATCAAATGTGAAAATTGATATTATAGTAGTTATACCACAAAGTACGAAAAAAAATGTGTGGAGTGATACTTTACTGGTGCTATATCAAGACTAAAATCAAAATTCACGATTTTTTCATCCAAAATCCCATTAGTTATATCACTTTGCACAAAATTATCTCGATATCTATAGCAGATAGAAACACGTGAGTCAGACCCGAAAGCTAGCTTATTTTTTACTGATTGCTTATGTGTTAAAATCAGAAAAAGGGTACAACTCGAGTTGTATCACTGATCACAGGAGGCACAGATTTAAAACTCGAAAAGTACCATACTCATGTGCTCTTCGAGTTTTAAATTAATTCTACATTTGCTTTTCATTTTCCATTTTTAACCGAACAATAAAACAATTATTTCCAATGTCATTTCATAAAACTTGGGTAAATCATCTTCTACTAACAATGTATCGTTAACACAGTTCCGAAACGATTCATTTGTGCTAGGTACAGCTTCTGGGTAACGGGATCAATTCTCGCAGGGGAGTTAATATATTTGAACAACTATGGATACATATCATTTTTCTCCGGCGCTCGTAAGAGCTGAGAGAACTGTAATATAATATTCCCGTAAACATGTCCGGATATAATAATGTAATTTAACGTTATAGATTTTAATTTGCCTTACGGAAACAAATGTTTACTCACGCCCTGCAATGGATAAAACTGTACAAAATCAAGGCTATTGAAAGCCACTTATAAATCAATATAATTATGTAGATGTATGCACCGTGTTTCAACTATATTTCATATGTCATATAATATCTGCTTGTAAATATAACTATTACGATTCACGCTGTCGATATCATAATGATATCAGCATTCGAAAGACGAGTTTGACGAACACTAAAACAACACTAAAAACCTATCTATTCCAAACTTAGTATAGGTACATAAACATCGCCAATCTCATCGAGTTTCAAGATATGAATCATTCGCAACAAACAGCTAATTAATATAAATAATATATTATTTCATAAATGGTGTTAACAAATATCGAACAATATTTGTCAAATTAAGCTGCACTTTGTTCACAATTTTACGTAAGCAAATGAAGATCGTTAAATATACATTAGCAAGTCTGATAATGATAAATACGGTCTCATAAATGATACACAAAATTTAGAAATAAATGACTAAAATTAATGTCATTGGTATAATTATTTACATACCTTCGTCTCCTCCTCTTCCCGACAGTACAACATATTTTTTTTAATTATAAGTTCGTAAATAAATATTGCCTAACCCAATAAGACACCAACACGGCTGAACATTAATACTTTTTCTATTGAACTTGAAGTTGAACGGTATGAAGTGAAGTGTTAATCCCCGTAATTAACACAGTGTTGCCAAGTAAAACCAAAGATACGTTTTTAGAAGGTAATTTCAAATATATTTTTATTTTATTCCGTTCGTTTTTAGTAACAAATAAATATTTATTTTATTCTTTACTATTTTAAGTTATTTTAGTGTTTTTTTATTGGCCATTTACTTTTTTCCCCTCTAATCTGAATTAAAATAAGGTTAATATGTCTCCCTCCTGTACATTTATTATTCCCATACGGTCTGCACCATAGGGTCTGCATCGCTTTTCTTTCGTTTCCACTTCGCTCTATCCATTGTATCGTCACGGGTAACATTGCAGGCGTTGAGTCTTTTCTCAGTACCTATATCTTATTTTTGGTCTTCCTCGCCTCCGGGAACATCGTATGTCCTGGGAAGACGACGTTGCACATGCGACGTCACGCACTCAGAGACTGCCTCGAACGTACTAATCTTATCCTTTAAATGATCAATTCTTGTATATATATAATCGGAATCTCGGAAACGGCTCCAGCGATTTTCATGAAATTTAGTATGTGCGTAGATTCGGGGGCGAAAAATCGATCTAGCTAGGTTTCATTTTTAGAAAATGTCCTTCGAATATGACAGTAAATTTCGCCGCAAAATAAAATGTTATAATAGTTCCATTTCGCTCTAAGGAGAACTTTTTCATAACACTCAAAATTAAACAAGCATTATATAATTGCCATTGTGCTGGTATAGAAGTAGTTTTAGCATGGATCCCAAGTCACTGTGGTATTTCTGGAAATGAGCAAGCAGATTGTTGTGCCAAAGAAGCAATCCAGATGGGATGTTCCACCTATAATAAATGTTTTGTTCGTGATCTGCGGCTATCTTCTAAACAGGACATGAGAACTTGGAGTACTATGTGGCAATCAATTGGACATAGAAGGTGTAAATACTATGGCTTAATTCAACCATTTATCCCTACCAAACCTTGGTTCTTTAAATACCGCTGCTATAACAAAAATACCACATCTATTATCATCAGGTTAAGACTAGGACATATGTGCTCTCCAGTGTTCTTGGCTAAACTTCATATTCGAAACACTTCCTTGTGTGAATGTGGGCTAGATAAGGGTACACTTGACCATTTATTTTTCAATTGTCCTTTGTTAACTGTCTCTTTATATGATTTACTTCCATCCAATGTTGCTCGCCCTGTGAATGTTAAGTGTCTATTAACTCTTGTTTATACTCCATTTATTAAAACTCTAGTTAAATTTATAGAGATTAACAATATATGTCTTTAAGTTGTTGTCATCAATTTAAAAAAAAAATTATGGCCTGTTTTTATTTTTCATGTATTTGAGTGTTGTCTTCCATTATTAATTTGCATGTTACTAACGTTGTGTTGTTCCTTTGTTTACAGGTACACAAATGAAATAATTTTAAACAAAATAATATATATTTTCATTGTCCCAACCTTATCAAGTTGATCTCAAAGTTCTTAGTTATTGGCAAAATCACTGATGTATCAGTGGAGCCATAGTAGGAAAAAAAAATGTTATAATAGCTCGGTCGGTAATCGGGCGGCCTCAAAGCAGACGGCCGCGGTTCGTATCACGTTCATTTAAACACGTTATTTTTTTTACTTTTTTTTTCTATAGCACATTTTCTTTATTTTTTATTTTTTTTATTTCCAAAATACATGATTTACCAACAAAAAAAACCAGCAAAACTCGGTCCTCTGGTTAATATGACCCACGACTCTTGTATATTAACAAAAAATCCCAACGTAGGACGTATCCCAACATCCACTAAACAAGTTGGATCGCCTCCTTAATAACTGTATCAGGTTCATTTTCGGCTTACCACATATCCTCCTATCGATCTCAACTTAATTGGCTTACTATTCGGCAAAGGCGGCAGTCCAGAATTTTGCTTGTGCTTTTCTCCATTTTAAATGATTTTTCCTCCCCTTCTTACCTCAAAAACAAATTCTTGTATCTCTCCTCATCTCATGATAAGGTACTTCGGTCGTCTTACACGAATAAATTATGCATTCCAGCGCACTTTACCGGGTTCTCTGTCAACTCCTTTACTATCCAAGCTATACATCTTTGGAACTCCTTGCCCGATAACGTAAGAAACGCAAAAAGTAAGACATCTTTCAAAATATTGGTTCGTGAACACCTGTTAAAGACAAATTCGACCTAAGATATGGACTGTAGTTAAAAGTAGAAGCTAATTGTTATTTATTTATACAAGTATACATCTTTATATATATTTAAATGTTTGAATATATATATATATATATATATATATATATATATACACATATGTATATGTATATATATATGTATATAACTTAATATATGATTTGTATCCAATTATAATATTATTTTCATAATGGGCATTATTATATGACCCCCTTAACCAGATTTATTTGATTCGCCTATGTAATCCTAATATGTACGACGGAAATTTTTACTTCTTATTATTAAAAGCAAATGCTTCTTATAAAAATTAAATACTCAATTTTTCTATTAAGTTAAGCTGTGACACTTTTTTCCGTCAAGACTTCCAATTGATCCAGGAAACTTTCAATATCTTTACATATAATTCTGTTCAATTTCACTCACTTTCCTAATAATAATAATGTCATTAAATTTGTCGATTAATGCACACAAAACATAGGGCATCCTCATTTCGTGGTAGCTTTCGCTACGCTGCCACAAAATGCTGGAATAATATACCACCTCCAGTCAAAAACTGCACAACAGTAAAAAGTTTTAAAATAAAACTTATAGAACATCTGCTTAAGGCGCAAAAGCTACAGGGCTAAAATACGTGTGCATTTTATATAGTGTACATAGTTTATGTATTTTTGATTAGTGACTTGGTGTTTTCGTAGAGCTATATTTTATTGATGTCTGCATTTGTTTTTGGAAACAGTTTTCTTTTTTTTTTGTTCTGTTCACTACTTTTTACATATATATGTTAATTTTCATTAGTCGTTATTGTGTTACTGTCTTTAGAATAATGTACCAGATTTGTGTTATAATCAGTAGGTAGTGTTATTGTCCTTAAATTAATGTACCCGCTTTGTGTTAATCTTAGTCTAGTTTGTTATTTATAATTAAAGTTTTTGGTATGTACTGTAAATCGGCAAATCGTGTCGAGTACATACCTGTTTGGTTTCATGTCTTATATATATATTCTTTTAATTGTTAACATAACTGTGTTTGTTGTTGAAACTAAATAAATATTCATATTCATTCATTTATATTTGTTTGTATATAGATTCTTTTGTTTACACATGTAGGAAGCTAAGTTAAAGCTCACCTTTATTGGATTGAAAAGAGTTAAGGTGTTCTAAAAATGCATCTCTTGTAGAATCTTGGACAAGTAACTTGTACTTTTAATTTTTAACATAACTGTGTTTGTTGTTGAAACTAAATATGTATTCATTCATTCATTCATAAATATTCATTCATTTACCACTTTGCTAAATGACATTATTAAATGTGATAATATAAGAAGTTAAGTAGATAGCTCTTAATGTTCCACGTACCTAGAAAATATCATACTAAAATCTTCAATACACCTTCAGTTCGCACAAATCTTGGCTTAAACAGTCCATTAATTAGAATAAGTAATGAGTATAAAGTGCTTAATGCTAAATGTGACATCAACATTTTTCATTATTCACTTCCCATAATTAAAAACAAGATGCTGAAGATGTTGTTCCAACAAAATAATGAATAATACTAGTAATGAGCCGTGATAGCTCAGTGTCTGGGCGCTCGCCTTTAATTTAATATACTCTAGCAACCCGAGTTAGATCCCCGGTGCCGGCACCAAGTTTTTAACTTTTAATTGCTGACTTATCACGTGCTACGCGGTGAAGGAAAATATCGTGAGGAAAACTGCATATTTTCGAAATAATAACAAAAATAAATATATTCCGAAGATATGTGAAGTACGCCAATCCGCGGTGGGGCCGCGTGATGGACTATGCCCTGATACCCTCTGTACAGAGGAGGCTTTTGCAGTTTGCAAGGGCTTTGGCAGTGGGACATGTATAGGCTGTCACTTTACTTTTTTTTTACTAGTACCAACCTAAATTATTTCTAATTACCATTAATTTAGTTTTTTGATTTTTTCTTTTATAATTAGATTTTTTTATTAAGTATTTATGGTAATTTTAAAGTCTTTTCTAATAAACCTATGTGCCATATTATTTGTAAAGGTTGTACATACCTGTCATTGGTGTATATATAAGAACATCATTTATTATATCACTAAAATTTTCATTATGTATACTGTTGGTATGTCTAATAAATAAATAAATAAATTAGTCATATATTCTTGATTGTTACTAAGCGTAATATTTATGGGAAATAAATTAAAAAAAACATTATTTTTTTTATTTTAGTACTTTTTATACAAAATACCAAAATACTCTTCATCTTATAGACACAAACATCAACTTCAAACAATACAGCTTGTTACAGGCGCAAAACAGATACCATTAAAGGTTAAACATAAATTGCAATGTGCATCTAAAGCATGTGAATTCATATAAATATATATATGTGTATGTTATGACATAGACAAAAAACAGACTGCGAAATTAAATGTAAAATTTAGTACTCATTGGAGACCTACTTGGAGTAAATATAAACTTACATCTAGGTGACCATTTCAACAAACATACTCCAGTACCAAAGCTTTAGTACAAACATCCAGACTTTTGTTTAAAATAGTCAATTTGAGATGTTATTAGTACAAAGCTTTCGTTATGAGGCATAACATCAAGGTCAACATAATCACTACTTCTGTTAAATTAAGACATTTTTCTTTAATCAAGAACACAGCAACAGCTGGAGTAGGCTTAGAATAACTGCTTTTACACACAAACACTTGCAGCAACACTAAAAAGTTCCAACGCAATATTATAAACAAATATGTGGCTCATACTTGTATGAAATCTTCTCTGTTCATACATCTAAAATAATTTACAATGTAAACCTTACAATTGTATATAGTGCAAGGTATTGTGTGTGTCAAGCATACCATCTGTTAATTTTTAGGTGGTCCAGGCTGTTGATGCGTTAATACACAATTTAAAGTATCTAAACGGTATATAGATTCTTAGTAGCAGAGCTGTGCTTGACCATTGTGTCCCTGTGAAGTTGGAAACCAATCTTCCCATGGATACCAAGTTGCTCTTTGATCTTCCTGCCTATCTCAAGATTTGCTTGCTGCTTTGATGTGTCTGCTGTCCAAACACCTGATGAACGAAATATAATGTAACAACCCAACATAAAGAATGGCACAGTATTAACTAATTATAGGAATCTAAATAAACTTGACACATTATAAGTAATCACAACTTTTTTTCTTATCAACAACCTACTAATAAAGACAAGCTCATAAGATTCTTAGTTTAATATAGTTAATATGGTTATTAATTAATTGAATTTTATATGCATTACTAATGGAGATACATGAAAAATATGGCTGTAGTAAATATAATAAACATAATGCTTAAAATAAAAATTCTAAAAGAAAAAAATTATGTATATGCAAAACAACTTACCAATTTTATCAAGCTTAGCCCTAACATTCACAACTGCACCGCAGATTTCTTCAGCATGATCGAAATTTTCCCCAATTAACAGAAGAACCTAAAAATATTATTATACCACATATTATCTTAGACTCTAAAGTTCACATCATCATCATCATTTCAGCCTGTTTGAGTCCACTGCTGAACATAGGCCTCCCCATAGATTGCCACGAAGTACGATCCTGAGCCACCTGCATACATTGACTTTCCACACATTTGCACAGGTTGTCACTCCATTTAGAAGGGAGTAGTCCTACATTGCGCTGGCCAGTATGAGGCTGCCACAGAGTAAAGTTCACATAATCTATTATAATGAAAATTTGTAAATTTTTAATAAAGTAAAACTAAAAATATTTTTTTAAATATTAGTCATTACTTTTATCACACTAGCTGTACTCTCAATATTATAATAATTATTTATTGAATTATTAACTTACCACATCCAACCAGAATCGATCCAAGTCAGAGTTGCGTTGCTTTTTCTCTAAACTGATTAGCCACCGGCCACCCATTTTGTTGGCATCATCCTCCCACATTGGTCGTATGCCTTGCTTGAATACAGCATAATCATGTCCTTGACGTAGCTCAGAAGGCAGTTTGATGTGATGGTAAAGTCTATAATAAATCTATTAAGGTGAAATCTATTTTTTTATATATATACCTATGTGTGAAATAAATATTTGATATGCACTTTTGTCATTTTTCTTCCTTTAAGATAAAATGAGAGTGCATTTTATATTTTTTATGTATTATTTTTAACATCAGCAACAAAATACATAAACTCTGATTCTTGTGCAGAGATAATAACAGATGATATACAAATGCAAGAATAGAAATAGAAAAATGCACTTTTTATGTTTTAAAGTACAAATGTCGAGTGACATCGTTAGATTTCTTTTATAATCTTAATTTATTTGAATAATTGGGTATCTAATATCATAAAAATTACTCCTATCTAATACCAAAATAATTATTAATTACCTCCAGAAATCTTCCACAGAGTCAAATGTGGTTAATTCAATTAAGTTTTCCTCCCAAGTCTTCGTCCTATCATTGTCATAAAACCACAAACTCCAGGTGTTTTGCAATGGGTGCTTGATAAGGAATTCAGGTGGAATCTCCGCAGTTGTGTTAGTTTTACCGTCTGTGGTCGTAGTACCCTTGAAAATACAAGTCATTTTTTTATAAACCTAACCTATATTAATTAAGACAAATAGGAAAATAGTTTTAATATAATATTAAGAAAAATGAGACAATTTTCTTTTTAATTCGATATGCCAAGTATGTTTTCAAGCAATATATCAATTAATGAACATGAAACAAATGCAACAGTGAAAGTTGGTACAGCCACATCAGCATAGATCGTTGTAAATAAAGAAGGTATGTTGACATAACTTTTTAAAACAAGTAATTTACGTGTATAATTACGTTAATAATTGCATTCTACCCACCTCAACTTCTTCGGTATTATTTCCAGCCATGTCACAAAATCTTTTAGTCCCGGAGTTTTTTGCAAAAGACAGAAACACCTAATGTGTTACAAGACTATAATTGTTTCCCTTGAACAGATAATAAAATAGTTTGCCATGTTACATAGGAAAGCTTTTTATTTTTTATTAATAATGTTTTAATAGCATAGTTCATTTGCAGACTATTATATGTACATACATATTTACATCTACTCCCATTTTAGAATTTTTAAACATGTCTAATAAAACACCACTATTAATAGCAACACTAGTTTCAAAATGCCATATATTCCATCAAATTGGTCCTTCCTTTTGACTTCATCTTTTCCTTGTTGTACCAATAAAGTTTAAATTTGCCGGTGTCATCCGTCCGAATTTTGAGAATTTAACCAAAAACTATCTGCGTTAAGACAAAAAAATGTCAGTGCAAACATTGCTGTTAGATTTTTCAGTAGATCCTGCCCGACTAGGTGACGAGTGTGGGCAAAAAACAATATTCGGACAGCTTGAAACCGTGCTTAAAGATTACGTACCGAATCTTATATTGGCTGCTGATATTAAAGTGGACGGTGGGTCTTTGAAAATATTGACTGGAAAAAATGGTACTACGGTGTCGGTCAGACTATTTGACCGAGGCCTTGTTACTGTTAATATCGAATATTACAAGGAGGACAATGAAGAGCCACTAATCAGCTTCAAGGTGAACTTATAACACATTTATTGTTTCCACTATGCACTTATTTTACAAGGTGTGAATATAAACCTCTTGTTGGTAATTTTATCATCATCATCTATCAATATGATGAAAAGTACAAATGTGTACAGAAATTATTAGATTTTCTGGAGACTAATATACTCTAATGTATAGATATTCGAACATCATGGGGTCACGATCCTCAGCATTGAGGGACCGAGCAAAAAGAAGAGAGCTGGATATTCGTCAGTCAGGAAATAACCATTAAAACTAATTAATTTTAATTGTTACTATAAAGACAAAGGAAATTATTTTCTGAATAAAAACATACAGACAAATACTTAATCAAAATTAATATTCTATAATAAATTTATATATCAAGGGTAATTAACGTATAACAATATTTTTGATAAAATACAAGGCACCTGTATGTTGATTTGTTTCAATAAAATGGATCATAAGTAATAAAGCATGGATAAGCTTGCCCCTACAAAACAAATTTTTATGTATTTCTTCAATTGATTATTTATAAAACAAGAAATCGTATATAGTGATAATAATACAAATTTTGCAAGATAATATTGCTCACTCTATTTTACTATGGTAGGGCCACGCAATAGCCTCGGCTGTTGCACGAATGGGCAGGCTTGTCCAGGTAAGTACCACGAGCTCACAGAAGACCCTCGTAAAGTGGAAGTATAATACTTTCTCGTTTCGTCTGGTGAGTGAGGTAGCCAAAGCCCAATTTTAAAAAGGTTGTCAATGCATCTGTAACCCTTGGGTATAGCAGATGTTCATGGGTGGCAGTATTCACTTAGCATCAGGTGAACCGTCTGCTCACATGGCAACTTTTCACATAAAAAAAAACTCTTTGTCACAGTTCAATCTATTTGAATTTGGATGTGCCTAAGTGGGTTCAATTGATTGATAGGTGCTTCATAATTGTGTGCTACTTATCAACATTTTAAATGGCTACAGTCATGTTGTTATTTGTTCTTATTGACAGTTGTGGATACTTTCACAAACTTCTTACATTTTTCATTCATATATAATCAGTCTCATATTCTAATATCATAGCTAAGGTTGAGCGTAAGTTCTTTGGTTTTAGTGCTCTAAACTACTGGAAAGTTCAGTAAGGGTATCCCTGGACTGCACACGCCTTAAAATGTTGCCCACAATTAAAAGGGGCTATAAATTTGATGTTTACCTAACTAGTTCAGGTCAGCTGAAAATAAATGTTGATTGCAACTTTTTTCCCTTGTATCACCCATGTTGATCTTTGATTTGAATATACTTCAGTAGTTTGCAACAATGATGTGATTTACTAAGTAATGTAGCTTTTGTCTTACTGTAGTTAAAATTATATAATTACTAGTTTTACATATTTACATGTTATTTCCATGTCTAGATTATATTTCAGCTATCTTTCTATTTAACAGATACCAATGAATATGTTGACTATGGAACACCTATTTCTTGATGCTTAAAAAATTAATGAAGTTAAAAGTTCATATCTTAATTTCATGACCATCAATAAATATCTTAATATATATGTATATATATATATATATATATATATATAATTCTTCTGTATGTGTGTATGTCACAGAACTCATAAACGGCTGGACCGATTTTAATGAAATTTTTGTGTATCTTCAGGTTTATCCGAGAATGGTTTAGATTCTGAATTCGGTCCTCTACAATTTTTTTCATTTTATTTCGAAGTTGTCGAATTTAAGTCGTGTGTACAGGACAATGTCCGGTCCGTTAGTGTCATATATTTATTTATTTAAATACAATTTAATTAAATATTTTATTTTCATATGCTTATATAATGTATAGGAAATTTCATTAAACCTTTATATATATATATATATAATGAAGAAATATAAATTCACCCAAATTTTACTCACATTTTTGCATAAATGCATGTTTATGTTAGCACATTTCATTTGCTGTAGACATTTTTCTTAATTTATTATTTACTAACAAACCTTCCAGTAATTACCTGAGAAGACGCTCAACCTTATTCTTACAGTCCAATAAACCCATAGAAATGCATGTTAGAAAATTGTACCTGCATTTCCGTTTAATTTGTTTCACTATCCTATTTTAATGGTTTTTTTTAATAGTCGGCGAAGGTAATGGAAAGTCAGCTGAAAAAGTTCATCACATTCGTAAAATCTCAAGCTTATGCTCCCATAAAACGGTGCTTATTTAGCAGGTATTACCCAACATCAGGTGAGTTTTCTATATTTCTAAGATGTTATTGGCGTTTTTAGTTCTTTGATTTGTGCATGAGAAAGCAAAAGCTTAATATGTGCTGCTAAAATATTGCCTATTAAGTAAGCTAGTTTGTTGTCTCCTATATACCAGATATTGTATTGTCTAATTTTTAAAGACAATTACCAAAATGAATAATAATAGAACCCCTAAGGATTCTACATCTCGCGTAATTTCTAATTTCTGACCAGTATGTATAATGTACAATTTGAAGATTTTAATTTTTGTTTATAAAACTCTATGAAATGTAAATCTGTGACATTTGATATATTCCTGTGGGAGTTGTTTTTAATAAAAAACAATAAAGTATGTTGAAATGTGTAACAATTCCAGCCACCAGCATAGTCAATATTTCTTGTACAACTTTGTATATCACCTAATACTTGACACTACCCACCACCTTAATATATTAAAATTTCTTTACGGTTTCAGATGAAAGACTTCTTGAATATGACATTGATGGTGTTTTATTTGATGAACAATCTCCATTTCAAAGAGTCCAAATTGTGCACTCAAAGTCTCTTGGCAATATGTTGGTTTTGGACGACTTACAGAGTAAGTGAAATTGGTATGATAAGATTTGTATAAATTAGTAATCAACCCTGATGAAAAGTTTGATTGTTATAAATGATCAAATGATTTCCTCTAATTAAAGAGTTCATGTACAATGAAGAAACTTGGCAAAATATATTTTTGATGAATATGAACAAACACCAAGTCAAGCCTTCAGTGGCACCTTTACTACCTTTATCATAGAAATACCAGCATTTATCGCGGTGTTACTATTAAAAAAACGGCCAAGTGCGAGTCGCACTAAGGGTTTCGTAAAGTTATCTATAAAAACGGCAAAAAAAAATGTATGTTGTATGGGAGCTCCACTTAAAAACAGGTTCTTTAGTATTTGTTGTTATAGCGGCAACAGAAATACATCATCTGCGAAAATTTCAACTGTCTAACTATCACAGTTCATAAGATACAGCCTGGTGACATAAAAATTGAGTATGGAACTATAAAAATTTAATTGAATAATGTGCATGAACTTAAATAAATATTTTGTAAATAATAATATTAGCTTGATTCTAATCAATTTATAATTAAAAATAGCCAATTGTTCTAAGAATGATTTTATGAGGCATCAACTGTCCATTATATTATAATTTATACTGTTACTTTGTAGTAACAACATTTCTATGTCACTAATAAATCAAAAGGAGATGAACAAAACAGTTATTCATTATTAGTGAAAATTAATTATGAATCAATTAAAACAAGGATGTTTTTACTTACATATCTGCTAGTTAGTTCATGACAAACACAAAACTAGGTCTTGTAACTCAGCTGTAAGGCACTAATATAACAGGACTGTAACATATTTCGATTAGGTAGAAATTTAAATGATATTCTTTGTATAATAAATTTATATACAGGGAGATTTTTTGAGAAGTGCCCAAATTTACACAGGAGGTTCAGACTCGGTAGTATAATCGTTTATTGAAATAAAAACAAAGTTTTTTTTTTTTAAAATAATGCCAAAAATAATGCCATTCTATTCCCTAAAAAACAGAACGTGCTGACAATGCGGTAGTCATTCATAAATACCTAAATTTTACTGTGCACAAACTTGTGTGCAACACTCACTTAAACTTGTGTGCGTGTTATGAATGATCGCGCGTAAAAAAATGAACTGTGTAAAAATCACGCACTTTTAGAGATAAGTTCAAATGAATGTAATTAATTATTTACGAGTGATTTAAAAATATTTATCATATTTTATATAACATTATTTATGTCTAGAATTTAGTAAAAAAAATAGATACACTTAGAAAAGCCACCCTGTATATTATAACTTTGATAAAATGTTTTATTTCCTAACAGACATATCTGAAGCCGACCTTATCTACACAGAGACGCTCATGCAAAGGGGAAAAGAAAGTTATGAAGGGAAAGAAATAGTCATTTTAGGTAAGTTGAAACAGAATAAATCATACATAAACCAATAAATTTCATGTAAACCAGCCCATTCTTGTTATTTCGTGAAATTTAACCGCCGTGAGGAGCCGCCGATTAAGAAAAAAATACTTGTTTAACACTTTTAACATGCACTATTCTCTTCTTATTTATTTATTATGCAGAAATAGTTCAAGACAAAGGCAACCAGTCACCAGTCAACCTTGGGATGGTACAGAAGTTGTACATATGTTCTGTTTTCTACAGTAAACAACTTATTTACAAGCCAAAATTTGATTCTCACTTAGACCAATTAATTATTTTTTAAATTAATTGTAGATTTAGTTTTTCCCAAATACCGGATACTAATACTGCAATAAAACTGACCTTTGAAAAATTTAAAAACATTATGGGTTGTATTTGCATGAAATTATTAATATTAAAACTTTAGTGTACCTACAGTTTTTTTCCCAAAATACTTTTTTTTTTAATTATTATTCACTAAATGAATTTTGGAGACTTTTCGATATTGTAATGTAAAGATTTAGGGTATGAAAGAAATTGGTGAATGCAGAGGCAACTCAATGTAGCGTATTTCGATATCTATTCAAACATGTAACATTCTAAAACTCCACGCAGAAGAAACATCTTAGACAATTAGCGCCAGCTTACTGAAGTGACTGTGAATATTTATCGTATTCGCAACTGAGTCCACCTGCTTCCACTTCCTGACCTTATCCCGTGTAGGGGTTTTGAAGATGGGTGGCTCAACACGTGGTTCATGTTGTTCTATTGGCTAGGTTTTTTCAACCGGCTAACTTTCTGACCTTAAGGACGCGTTTACGAATTCACGCGCTTCAATTTTAGGTACAGAGGCGTACTACTACACGTGCACGGCTCACGCACACAGCGACAAGCGCGAAGCAGCGAAACTTTATGTAACTGACGCAACTTGATACTTTTATTTAATTTGAAGTCATTTATTTTTTAAGCTTACGTTAAATTTGTTTTCAACAAGTTTTTAAACTGAATATTTTTTTATATATTTAGGTATAATTTATTAAATTTCATTTAAAAGCTCGTAGCTGTTGATAATTTGCATTTTAATTAATTATGTATAAAATTTAATTTTATGTTTTAATTAATTTTTATGAAGTAAACGAAGCTTGTTTTATACATGTTTGATTATGCGTGCGGTAGGTAGATAGCTTGATAGGTAGGTAATGGTAGGGTACGTAGGAAGGTAGCTATGTAGGCAGATAATTAGGTTGAACCCGCTAACGAATTGAGTAAAATACTTTGTATGGTATTCTGAATGCATTTTGCTGATTCAATAATATTCATGCTAAATGTTAAAAAAAAAAAATTTCTGTAAATGAATTGTAAATAGCATGGCGTACGAAGCCGGGCTAGTATCTAGAAACTAAAAATGAAATAATAAAACGAAGGAAACAAACTAGTAAAAATAAAAAAACATTTTTATAAAAAAAAACCTGTCGCACTCGGCTCAGCTGGGGTAAAGCTATAGCATAGCGTCTTTTATCAACTTATGCGATTATAATTATTTAATTATGCAGTATTTTTTTCTTTGATATTTATATTTATGTTAATAAATAATAATATTTTAATAATATAATAATTAATATCTATTATAATTAATAATATATAATTAATTTATATTATTTACAAAAATAATAAGAACTACTAAGTCAGTCACTAAGCTCTGGATAGTTAAATTACAATATACTAACATTTTTAAACTTGTGATATCTTTCGAATGGAATGTCCGAATTTAATCATTCAAAAAGTTATATAAAGATATTGAAACAGTCTTAAATATAAAGTAATCTTATTTTTATAAGAATTAATACCAAGATACAAATAAAGAGCCTTTTCTAGCGGCGGCATTTCAATCAAAATTTTAAAGTAAAAGAATACTTATTGTGGCATAACTATAATAGTTAGACATATACTGTCGCAACACTTTTTATAAATAATGATGTGTTCTGCAAATTCGTAGTACATTATTTTATACAATTATCAATAGTTTTAGCAGCGCACGCGATGCAAACAATATTTTAGGTAATTTTTGTACACTTTGGTTTACATTATTCAAGTTTTAGTAAGGATTCCTAGTTTTTTTTTTTGAAAATTTAATATATCCTATGTCATCCGGGGATAATGTAGCTTCGAGACAGTGAAAGAAATTTTCAAATCTGTTCAGTGGTTTAGGAGCCTATTCAATGCATAAAAAACAATCAAATCTTTCCTCTTGCGTGGTAGGCGGAGTGGGTGGTGTTAGGTTTTATTTTCGTTACGGAATTTATTGATTCGTTCGCCGCGCTCAAAGCCCGCGATAAAAGCTGTGCAATAGCTTAAAAAATATTGTTTCATTTTTAATTTGACTCTTCCATGCTCTTCGCAGAACTGTGCTATGTCGATCCTGGGTGGAGCAAGCCCGCGAGGCCAATTTATACCTCCGACACGAGGTTCTGGCTCCGCCTTTTGATGTTCACTCTAGGGATAGGGAAGACCACACGGAGTCGGGGTGCTCTGTGTCGGATCTTTGTGATTTTTCTTTATAGTTCTCTATTATTTAATTATTTTTGTTATCTATATCGAAGTAGTAGCCTGCTAAAGTTTTATCGTTTTAGGCTATGGCATCTGAAACAACAATTGAGTTATAAGAGGTATAAATGTTGTATGTGATAACTGTGCCATAAAAATAAGTCTTTGATAATTTAAGTTGAGACCCACTACATTTTTACATAACTATTTTTTTTCGTGTTTTGCCTATTTTAAAGACGTTCTTACTTATTTTAAATTAAGTATTATTTTAGGCAGAATCCATGATCATAAAAGTTGATCAGTGCGAAACACGACAAAACAATAAACGATAAATGGGGTCATAAACGTGAAACAAAAAGTTTGCCACATAGCTGTCGTTCGAAACTTTTGAAGTACATGTTTATTACACCTATTCATTGAAACATACAAAAAAATGACCTTTTAGACATGCCTAATCTTACAATTTGCAAGTGTGCAAATTTGTTTTGTATTACTTGTATTTTTAATTATCCATACAACTTTTCTACATGTGGTGTACTTTTGGCCAACATTTGGCTGCATGGAAATAAGAATTTATAATAAAATACCAGATAGGTTCATAGGCCTCCCGGAGTATTTAAATTTAAACGAAAATTCTAAAATCTGTACACTGTCAAACTAGACATTTAAAATATTTAATCATGTCTAAGTAATGTAGAATGTTTATATTAAAATTCATTACTTTGACTTGTGATTTACTTTGACTTATATTTATACTCTATTGACTCATAATTATAATCTAAATTTCAATTTTTTTTTATATTAACATGTTTCACAAATATTTATACACAGAATTGATGTAGAATACGTAGTTCCATATTTTTAATAACTTTTTTACTGTATTCTTACACCTTCATGCCAATACATCAATTTCAAAGGTAAGGTCTCAAAAAAACTCACAAAACAAGACCAAACTCGACACACATAGCTCATCTCGTCTGTTAGTTCCAGTAGCAGTTCTCGAAGTACACCTTCAGGTCACTCCATCTAGTCAGAAGGCAAGATCTCACCATAACTAACAAAACAAGCCCAAACTCGACACACATAGCTCATCTCGTCTGTTAGTTCCAGTAGCAGTTCTCAAAGTACACCTTCAGGTCACTCCATCTAGTCAGAAGGCAAGGTCTCACCATACCTAACAAAACAAGCCCAAACTCGACACACATAGCTCATCTCGTCTGTTAGTTCCAGTAGCAGTTCTCGAAGTACACCTTCAGGTCACTCCATCTAGTCAGAAGGCAAGGTCTCACCATACCTAACAAAACAATCCCAAACTCGACACACATAGCTCATCTCGTCTGCTAGTTCCAGTAGCAGTTCTCAAAGTACACCTTCAGGTCACTCCATCAAGTCAGAAGGCAAGGTCTCACCATACCTAACAAAACAAGCCCAAGCTCGACACACATAGCTCATCTCGTCTGTTAGTTCCAGTAGCAGTTCTCAAAGTACACCTTCAGGTCACTCCATCAAGTCAGAAGGCAAGATCTCACCATACCTAACAAAACAAGCCCAAACTCGACACACATAACTCATCTCGTCTGTTAGTTCCAGTAGCAGTTCTCGAAGTTTCAGGTCACTCCAACAAATCAGAAGGCAAGGTCTCACCATACCTAACAAAACAAGCCCAAACTCGACACACATAGCTCATCTCGTCTGTTAGTTCCAGTAGCAGTTCTCGAAGTACACCTTCAGGTCACTCCATCAAGTCCGTAACGAAATATGAATTTTTAACCCCTACTAATTTCTAGTAAAAATATGACAAAGTGTGAATTATAGTTTACTTTTGTCGTTCGTAGTCCGAAGTCCGAACATGATGTGTAAAGTATCAACTTTGTTACGACAAATATTTTGTATTCGTACAGCGATCTTTTTCCTCACGAGCTGCTGTTTATAAGCGACATAGTGACCACTCATGACGGCAGCCGAGCGCCGACTAATATTTCTTTAAATATTTTTGTGGAATAAATCAAAAAAGTGACCAGTAAAATAACCTTTATGTCAATCACTTAAGATTCACGCGTAAGATATAAATGTGAAAGAAATAGATTTTAATCTTTATTTTTTTCTGAAACTAATTTCAACAATTTTGATACGTAATGTTGCTACCTTTTTGAGTTGAACATGTGTGCTTACATAAAATATTTTTAAATAAAAAAAAATATGTTATTAAATAAGAGAAAAATGTTCCTAAACCCAACAGGATATCGTCCATTTTGAGTGAAGTGGTCACGAAAATTCTCATTTACTATATTATAAACCAAAATTTTCGATTAAAAACTATCTACCATTTGAAGATGAAGGAGGGATCTATATGTGATAATTATTACTTACATTATATTCGTTTCGTTTTGCCGCAAAATGTACCTGAAAACCCCCTATTTTTGCAGATTTCGCGAGATTTCGCAAACACGCCCTTAAGCATTTATGGGAACAAACACCGTGTTACCCATAGACAATTTTGGCGGCTCTGTCAAAATTGGCTATGGATAACACAAATATTTATCCCGGAGAAGTGCCGAAGCCCATAGATTAGCAACTGTGCCACCAAATCGTTAGTCGCAAGCCCCATATATTTAGCTTCTCACAGTTGGCGGGGTTTCTTTAATAAACAGAATCGCTCTATTAAGACCCACCTATAGAGTCCGAAAACCACCTGTATACGGCTCATTTAAAAGTTATAATGATCCATGTATATAACATATTGCTAATAATGACGTAGTTTGAGGACAAGGTTCAAGGCGTATGAGTTTTATGCTATAGAAGAAATGTCTAAAGTTCCTGTTAAAATATAAAACAAGACGGGCATAGAGAAATTTAATGAATTATTTAACTACTAACTGTTAACCGCGGCTACACCCGCGCGGTCAAAGGAAATTAACAATTATTTTCTTATTATTTTATACACCAGAACAGCTCGCAGATTGCACAATTTTTTCCTACTTACTTGACACTTATTATATTTTCGACGATTCACACAACGGTTCATTACAGTGGTAGGGCCACGCAGCAGCCTCGGCTGTTGCACGAATGGGCAGGCCCGTCCGGGTAAGTACCACGACCTCACAGAACACCAGCGTAAAGTGGAAGTATGACAAATACTTTCGCGTTTCGTCTGGTGAGTGAGGTAGCCGGAGCCCAATTTTCAAAGTTGTCAACGAATCTGATCCCTCGGGGTGTAAGAGATGTCCATGGACGGCGGGCACTTACCATCAGGTGAACCGTCTGCTCGTTTGGCAACTTTTCACATAAAAAAAACAATACCTTTATAAATTACAGCATATATGTTATTCTGATGTACAAGCTATATTCAGTAATTTTTGCCTGAAAGAGTAAGTACACATAAGTAAGAATAAGGATAGTAAGGATCAGTATGTCCAGCCGTTTATGCCGTAGTAACGCTTGTGGGCTCTGGGCAGGCGGCGGCGACGGCGCGTTACTGTACGAGCTGCTGAAGGAGAAGCCGAAGTTCGTCTGGATGCTGGAGATCGACGAGATGGTGATGGACGCTTGCAACAAGCACCTGCGCCCGATCTGCGGCGAGGTGCTCGAGAGACGGAAGGGCGCCAACTACGAGGTGATGATTTCTCTCGCATGTTAGCAAGTCTTAACCTGGCAAGATAGCGTTGCTCAATGGATGCAGGTGGCTGAGGATCGTACTTCGTGGCGGTCCATGGGGCGCCTATGTTCAGCAGTGGACCCAAACGGGCCGAAATGACGATGATGATGAAGCTAGCGTCAATTAGCCTCCCATTCTCATCTACATATAACCTTATATTTTAACCTAGCAGTTGTTCTCTACAGGGAGATTTTTTGAGAAGTGCCCAAATTTACAAAAGAGGTTCAGATTCGGTAGTATAATCATTTATTGAAATATTTTTTTTTTAAATGCCGTTCTATTCCGTGGTGACAATGCGGTAGTCATTCATAAATACCCAAATTTTACTGTGCACGAACCTGTGTTCGTGTTAGTTATGAATGATCACACGTAAAATAAATGAGTTGCGTATAAATCACGCACTTTTTGAGATAAGTTCAAATGAATGTAATCAATTACTTACGAATGATTTTAAATACTTATCATTATTTATATAACATTATTTATGTCTAGAATTTAATAAAAAAAATGGATACACTTATAAAAGCTAACCAATATATTATTAACCAATAAAAAAGTATAAGTTTCAATTCTTCCCACAGATAATAGTCGAAGATTGCATGCTGACTGTAAACAAGTTCATAAGTGAAGGCAAGAAAGTTGACTACATATTCGGTGACCTCACCGATATACCCATCTCGGAGTCTGCGTGCGGTGAGCTCTGGGAGTTTATGATCACAATACTTCAAGCCGCTTTCAAGATACTCAAAACCACCGGGAAGTTTATGACCCATGTGAGTACTTTGAGAACAGTTTAAGCACATAAACCTTAAATCAACCCTTAAGTAAGCAAGGGTTTTTAAAAGGAAATGAATAAGTCAGTCTATCTTGGTAGTAACAAAAATTGTCTACATCAAAACAATTTCGATAGAAGACACAAAGGAAATTGAGAAATATGTTTTCTGATGGGACATGATACATAAATAACATCTTAGACAAAATTTTGTCTTGTGACAAATAAATAAGGCAAGCAATTTTAGGATCACTAAGTATTAAACATCATTGATTTTATAAACTATTAATTTTCAGGGTAATGGGGCAACATCTCCGGAATCTCTGGAGCTTTATGAACAAGAGCTGATGAAGCTGAAGCCAGCAGTAACATACACAAAGAGCAAGGCCTTTGTGCCCTCCTTCCTGGAAGACTGGATCTTCTACCAAATATCATTCAAAGACAATGACAATGGGGACGCTTAACATACCAAAGAGAGTAAACACATGTTCCTTCAAAGTATTCATACTAAGTCATAAAAATGCTATATACATAGGGCATTTTTAGTAATTGTACTTTAGAAATATTAAGTGTAAAAATATGTTTCTTACCACATTTTGTGTACAATTTACATTTTTATTGGTATATTCATAAATTGGACCACAGCCAGGACCTGATAGTTTTAAATACGATAAAACTTTGAGGAAATTCACGCAAATTGATGGTTGTTCCTCAATCAATTTGGAAAATCGTGTACTTTTTTGTAACTAATTTTCATACAATGTTTCAAATATCCGACTTTTGTAACATTTATAGATTCCACAAAGTGGATTTATTCTCAGTGGGACGATTTTAACAGTATTAAGCTATATAGTTGCTATAAATTTTAAGGATAAACTTAGATCAGCGTTTTTTGTGTTACTATTTTTAGTTGTAGCTTCTCTGTTGATTCTTTTGTTATTAGGTTTTGCTTGTTTCTTTTTTGTTTTAATAATAAAGGTATTTTAACATGTATCAAGTCTGTTATTACCAATAATACCTTTTGAATGGTATGTCTACCATGCAGCAAGTTTGGAAATCAATATATTTTTTTAAATTCATTCGTATCAATTAATTATTTTATTAGCGTAACTGTAGTAATCTCGTGGACAAAACACTGCAACATAAAATAGAAAGATTGAAATCCCAAGGCCTGTTAAGTTTTTTTTTTTAATTTTGGCATGTTTGTAAAAAAATATGAGTCAAATTTTTACGATGCGCACATCAGCCCCCAAAAAACGACATGATGAACTTGGTTGTCCAGCGATCGACTTCCCGGTATTAACATGGCAACCAATAACAAAGTGATGACAAATTTTTAGTTATTTTTCTTTTGTTATGTTAAAGAATCATAAATTCTTACGAGTGTGCATCAGTACATACACATTTTTTAAATTTGTTTCATATTTTTCTTGAAGAACAAAAATGCAATAAACAAGCAAGCAAGTATCTGGAATATATGCATGCGAAAATCATTTAACTGTCTACACATGTGAAATGAGATTCTAAAGAACAATGCCCACTTCCTATACCTACATTTAAAAACCTGATAATGAAAGTGTATGTATAGTTACAAGGTATAGCAGAAAGACTACCTTTAAGTTAGTAAATTAATATCATATAGTCATTTTTACGATTGCTGGTCTACGAAGTCCAAAAATTATAAAAAAATGTTACTTTTTAGGTTAGGATTTGCAGTTACCTAAAATAATATTAGCCTATCTAGTCTAAAACGTCTTTTTTACTTGTGAATTCCTAAAAACCGACTGCCCTTACGTCACTGCTTAGACTCGATTATTGTCACTATAAATTGAGTGAAGAGCATTATCTGCTATTTCAACAGCTCACATAAGTACTTACTAAAAAACGTAAGTTAAAAGTGATCATTTATCTGCCCTACACATTTCATTGGCCTGCACTACAATACATAATAATCGATAATTATAATACCTGATGAATAAAACGAGGGAAAAAATAAAACACTATGTTACAGTGGAATGCTTTATTAATTATCATCATCTTCACTTAAATGTCTTATAACTATATTATCCAGAAATTCTGCTATAACAGAGATATTTTCTTGATAGTTCATCCGAAGTACCACCTAGTCATAACATGAGTGCAACATCCTATGGTTCACCAACCAACTAAACAATTACAACAGTATTTGACTATACTAGCTCTGCCAGACACATTATTTTCTATTAAAATGTAGACAATATTGTTTTCTTTAAATGTGCCAGGACTTAATTTTTTTCCTCCTCTTATTAGTGTTATGTCACCACTTCCTCTCAGATTATCCCTAGAAAACTCCTGTGTCCCTACATATTTCTATTCTATATGATCCACGAAAGCGAATATGTTCGCCATAATAGGATTTGGCTTGCCTTATTTGGTATCTAATGCAAATAGTATAAGTTCACTAATAACTTAATCTCAGAAACATAAAAAATAAATTATCTTCAGTAGAAAAACACCACAAACTTCAGCAACATGCCTAATATGTGTGGCAGCACTCTTACAACTCATCCAGCATGAATGGCATATTCTATCAGATGATGATTATCTACAAAAGAAAAACTATCTGCAAAAGAAGTAATAAAGCAATAATTATTATTCATCTTAAAAATATATTTAAAAAAAAATCAATTATGTATTTATTTGTGGTTAAAATTATTACAACATCAGTCAATTAATAACAGATTAATTTACATCTAAAATACAAAAGAGAAATAATCTAGAGTAATAGTATCAAGTTTTATATTGGCAAATGATTAACAATGTAGAAACATGAATATGTGATGTTGTGAACTTGTTTGTATAATAGCATTTATCTGTCTTTGCTTTTCTGAAGGATTATCAAAAACTGTTCTTCGACCTGGTTGAGATAATCCTGAAGCTTGAGCAACATCACAGCTTGTTAATTCCTGGTTTATTATTCTCATAAAGAGTTCATTACAAGATTTACAAATATAATCTTCCTCAGTAATCTGAAATAAAAAACATATATTGAGTTTATAATACATATTTTGGATATATAGATCTTTTGAACAGTTGTTTGTGTTATGTCACAGGTATAATTTATAGGAGCTTTGTTAGTTTGATTATGACATGATTGAAATTTTTAGATTAAAAATAATAAACATAAATACTCACAATTACTGGCGAATACCGATGAGTATGAGTCACTCGCAGAACTGTCAAATGTCAAAAAAATCCATTTACGAGAGCCGTGCGACCTTTATTACATGCTGCATTAATAATTTATTATTTTATTTTTAATAAATCTATACTACTAATAAGATTGATCTTAATTTTTATACAAATACTGTTAATTACGTGCTTACTCACTTCTCTAACACGTAAAAACACGTACAAAACTCAGAAAAAGTTGAATACAGTCAATTATGTAGTGTGAAAAATGGAACGGCCTATGCAAAGGATTGTTAAGGTGCGTTCAAAACATGGTAATATGTTTACCCTTGAAGTAAAATAAGCGTAAAGAAATATCAAAAAATATTTTTTTCTCGACCTTCTTTTAACATTGTGATTAGTGTAATTACTATAAAATGAAATTAGCTAAATTTTAATATTTATTTCATCTCTATACACAATCAGGTCAAAAATGGGCATTGTTCTTTAAATTTAAACTTATATTGGATTATACTTGGATTCCCATATTGCAAAACAACCCCTGTGTAATGGGAGGTTACAAAAGCATGAAAATCATGAACACAGTACACCCAACAACAATTATTGACAAAAGGCTCATTCAACTATTAATATCAGCGCATTGTTCTAATGAAATAAATTAATTTCATTAAATGAATAATATCAGTCGTTGCTGACTTGCCCCATGGCGGAGAGGCATTGTAATGGAGGTTTTAGTCTCACTCTAATTCCAAAGCCATGATTCCCACATTTGTTCTGGACTATTTATTCTATCTTCAACTGCTCGGCGCCTCCAAAGATTGCCATAAAGAACAGTGTAGATGCATCAATCAACACCATACAACATCGTGAGTCAACCTTGACGATGTACAAAATAACAAAAAAATATGTTATATTTGTGAGGAACAAAAATGTTTTTATATATTATATTTTTTTTATGTAACATTTATTATTACTGTAAAATATATTATTTAGGCGTAATAATTATTTGCAGCAGTAGCACAAATAATAAAAATGACCTAATTGTAGTTTCTTCTTCCAGTGCTGTAGTTTTAATTAAATATTGCGAGAACACGTAACTAAATCATACTTTTGTGATCAACAGTTGGAATATATTAATTGATTTCTATACTGTAATACATTTTGCAAAAGCCTTATAATTTTCAATAATTCCAAAACACCAAAAGTGGAAGCGCCTGTTGGGTACTTTTCAGTCAGTACTTGACAGTTATTTCATGATAATAAAAAAAAACACTAACATTTCTGTGATTTATATAAGAAGTATTCTATTCTTCATCATAAAACAATTAACATAATGGTTATAACAAACATGTTTATACATAGCATACAACTTGGTGTAATTTGATATAACAGTTTCAGATTTTTTATAACCATATAACTCAATATATTAACTTTTATTTGTTGGGACAATTATTTACTGTTATTCATCAAATCCAAAATAAGTTATCTTTCTTATCAGTTGTTAAACTTAAATATAAATCAATTCATTAAAAAGTTGGTAGTTGCTTAGATTTGATATTTAATAATATGGCTGCAACAATAACCAAAATTTTGAAAATATAACAAAATTTTGATTGACTTGGAAATACTTTTGACATATTGTTTCAATTAAGAATTGAGCCCTTATCTAGTTTTTATAATAGATATTGCAAGACATTTTTACAAATCATTCTGTATTTTGTTTTTGTCACAAACACAAATATGAAGTCTGCATTATAAAATTATGTTTCATCTGTATTTCTGTACAATTAATGGGTGTTTTACTCTGCTTGCCTTAACCTAGCCAGTCTTTGGGTCAGCTCGTCCTGTTCTTGTGATACAACAGTAGCTGTACCTATTGACGTGCTAGGTACACCAGATGGCAGTTCCATATTCAATTCCAATCTGAAAAGTATTTCATTGAAATTAATGTAAATTGAAGATATTTAAATGGATACTCTTTATCATATATCCAAAACATACTCGAAGGAAGATTTAGCTGTTCTTGTAAAAATTATGAATTGCCATATATAAATTTCTCATATATAGAACCATTAAGCTAAATGGCTGACAGCCACACCAACGAAAATCTCAAAGTATTTTGTCGACATTGTTTTTCTTCACATTATAATGCTTTATGGGTTAAAGCAGATGGGCATGAACCTGGAAGACGTGGGTTTGTTCCCGCAGCGGCAAGAAACTTTTCGCTCAGTTTTGTACAAAATTTAAGTGCAGAGATTAGCACCATAAAAATTAAAATTGCCATATTATAACTTCTAACAAAGTAGGTAGTACTGCAAATAATTATGAAGGTTTATGTTGAGCCACTCCAATGAAAACAGATTTCTCGAAATTACTGAATGACATTGCATACAAAGCAGCATTAAAAATTTAACTTTCTACTACAAGAGATTCCAAAGTAGATAATACACACCCTGCTTCATCAGCAACCTGTTGTAGTAAATTGTCGACATCACCCTGCGGTACTGTTGTTGTTGTTGTTTGTGACATAGCATTCTCCATATATGATGATTGAACATCCAGATCTTCAAATTGACTCTCAAACTTGTCCATGAGAGTGGAAATCTTTTCGAGGTTCATGGACTTCATGGCTGCATCCATTGCTTTCACAACACCAGCCATAGAGTTGGTGACCTTCAAAAGTGATTGTATAAAATATAATTTGATGTATGAGAAATACTAAGTTTTAGTGATGACATATTTCAACATAGTAGAAGCATAACTTATTCAATACTACCTTCCTTGTAGTAAGTGCTGTCTGTACTCTACTAGAAACTGCATCCACTCTAGCCGACATACGTAGGTAATTCAAGGCTTGATTCTTTTGTCGTATTGCATTTTCTGCATGTATCCGTGCCCCTTCCATGTTACCCTTTTGAATTGCTTTCTTTGCTTTCTCCTTTTCTAGTTTTTCCTCCTTTTCACATTTTTTTGAATTACGTTCCAATTCTTTGACAGCAAATTTTAAATTAAATAAGTGCTCTGTTACAGTGTGACTCAAGGACATTAAACGAATAAAGTTATTTTTATGTAATATTATGTTTGTACAAACTACTGAACCGGAAATTATTCCAATACCAAATATCAATGCTCGATTCTTAATAAAATTGTTACAACAATAATCATACAACCAAAACTATGACTTCAGATGCTACAAAATTAAGTCAAATAGCTTTTTGTTTTGGTTCATTTACTTTGAAAACCTTTTCAAGCTATATATGCTCTTAGTATTGCCTATTGCCGCTCTTCACCCTTGTAATCACGTCCATATAGCTTTTAGAACCGATAACTGTTGGGTAAATAAGGTTCTGGAGTGGCAGCCTCGTACTGGCCATCGCAGTGTAGAACAACCCCCCACTAGATGGAGTGATGACCTGTGCATATGTGCGAGAAGTCGATAGATGCAGATGACTCAAGATCGTACTTCGTGGGAGTCTTTCAGCGGACTACGTTCAGCAGTGGATTCAAACAGGCATAAATGATGATGACGAACTTTGCCCATTTAAAAAATAAATAAACAAACAAAAAGTGGCTTACAATCAAAGTATAAGAACAAAAAAACCTTTAAACAAATTACCCAAACAACAATGATATTTTAAGTAATAAAGTATAGTTTCTAAATGTAACATACATATAGACCAACAAGCTGTTAAAACCATGAACCGAGGTACATACTACAGGGTTCATAATACTGCGAACAATTTTAATTAACCCATTCCTACATTAAAAAGGATACTTTCCATAGCAGATGATGACATTTCGTTCCCCAGTTTGACGGTTTATAAAAAATTTATTAAAAAAAAATTAAGGCTTATGCCCCTAAAATGGTATTAAAACAGCAAATGAGGGACAATTAGTTTTGTGCTGTGCAAAAATTCAATTATTTTGCTAAGGTGACTCACAATTCACACAATAAACGCGTATAATAGACAACTAATTGAGTTGAGCTGACAACTTGACAATCTTGACATTTGATTTTGACAATTACAATTAGTCATCAAGTTACTATTTGCTCAAATCAGTTTCCGTAGTATTACTTTACTCTATGGCTCAAAAGCAGAAAGCGGTGGCGGTGCTCCTCAATACCAAAAACGTAGTGATTACATTCTCTTTGCTCAATACCGCCCGCTGCCCGCAGCGTCCGCCGGTTTCTCTCCCTTTCACCCTAACCCTCGGCCATTTGGTCTCCTCTGCCGAGGGCTTCCGTCTGGTTGGGTCCTATTTATTTATGTGTTATACGTAATATTTATATTTATCTATATGTTTATTTTTATTTTTATAAATCCAACCAGTCGAGAAAACTAATAAATATCCCCATAATTATACTACAACAACGGCAGAAGATAGAAGAATAAGATTTAAACTCCGTACCTATTTGATTTTTGACTATTTACGGTTACATTGTTTCAGTATAACATTTCTATGACGTTATAGCCTCAAATAACGAACAAGTTAATTTCTGTTGTTACTTTCTCTAACTTGAGGCAAAATAAATTTACTAATTAAATAATTTATCAAGCACGATGAGAGCAACGTGAAACTTTTTAAATATGAATTTATCGCTTTTATTAATTTTATTTCCCAACGTTCCGAAGCCTTTTCAGTCTTCGTGGTATCCGTAAATATAATTAGTATTGTGTAATCGCGTTAATTTAAGATTTTTTTTAAGATTTAAAAGATTTCTTATGTAATAAGAATGGCCTTTGCACAAATCTTTTCCTGTAATTACATTTCTTTTTATATACATTGTATGCATATCCTTAAACAATTTTTTAATAATTTAGTTAGCTTTTGAATCAGCTTTGACAGCTTTATCTGAAGTGGTCCGCAGACAAACCTCCAAGTGAGAAGCCTCTGGATCATGATAGGACCCACCGTCGGGGGTCCCGCCGGATAACACTACACACACAGTTAGTGTAGCAACAAACACATTAGTTCGCCCTCGCCTCCGAGCACGGCGAGACCAACACAACGCGTACACAAGGTACTCCCGCGTTCCAGGGCGTTTCTCAGCTACAGCGGAGGGCCCAAACTCGTGGGTTCTGGCTAGCCCACCGGTTCTGCGTCAGATGAAGCTTTAATAGTCTCTGGACTGAAAGCACAAACATCAGTTAATACAAGATACAAGATCATGATAACAAAAAAGAGTCACACAGAGTGGAGCGAATGGCGTCATAGAGTCGACGTCGAACACCAGGTACGTTTCTTCCGAGTCCCAAGGGCTGCCTGCAGGGTGGAGTTTTTATACTATAATATATATCATGCTTCCTACTATATACTATCCATATCTAAGAATAGTACGGAAAAATACTATAATATCGCTAATTTAATAAAGATTTTTTTTTATTACTTTTTTAAATAATAGAAAGTGGATATTACTACGTATCAATATCAATTACTACCACGGATTATAAATAGTATTCATTATCAATGAACTATTTACGGGGACTTCCCGATAAATATATTTTTTTCTTTTGATATTTTGCTTGTTGAAAAGTAACTTTGCCTATATGGCGCTCACAGATAGTACCTCTAATTTATTATTTCCTAAATTAAGAGAAATAAACATAATCCTTAGACACCATTTCATTGTGTTGTGACGCTGTCAAATATGGTAACGAAAGTGGGAATTGTACTCATTTTGTTCCTGCTGAGAATATTATGTTAATAAGATTAAAGCCTGCAGTACGATGGACTGACGACTTAAGAAGGGTGGCGGACATCAGATGGATACGGGTTACCGAGGACCGGTATAGTTGGCGCACTTTGGGAAAGGTTTTCGTTCAGCGGTGGACGTCAATAGGCTGATATTAAAGATTAAATTCTAAGGATGAAACAAATTGATAAACTTTTTTAATAATCATAATTTGTTTTGGGGATTTTATCCTTATTTGGATATGTTAACCCCATGAATTAGTAAACTTGGAAGAGGAGTAAATTAATGCCTGTTAAAATAAAAGTTATATGTACTATATTTATTTTATAAAAACTATGCTTTTAAATTTTTTTGTACTATCTTTTTCATAATACCTAAATCCTATACTTGCCGTCTGCCTGCGGAGCTCTTGCGATTCCGATGAAGACGCTTGCCACCGAGTTAACAGCAAACAACTAATGTTGAAAAAAAAAATTCTTTATCTATGGTATAGTTTCTTCAGTTGTTATGTTGGTACTATGTTTTGTAATAACAAAACTGTCAAAATTGAAAGTCACAAAATCAAAAGACGAGTTTCGGATTTCGAAGAGAATTGAGCTGCGCGTAAATCAAAAATATTTTTAGAAATCGCTTACTATAGTAGAAAGCTTAATTTAGTATACGAATTGTAGTGTTAATTTTTGTTAAGTTTTGATAATATTTTTAATTTAGCTTGGTTTGTGACAAAAATTTTATCCAACGAATTGAGTAGGTAGGCGACATTCGCTGGGCGTAAAAAGAAAATGGCGTGCGCTACCCTTAAAAGAAATTTGGACTGGGAATCCATGGCGCAGTTACCTGCAAAAAGGCGAAGATTTACGCCATTTGCTGCAACGTCTAGTACCAGTCCCGGATATAAATTATCTGAAAATAGGCCTTCGACGTTTGGAGAAACCGTTAGTGCCTCTACAAAATTGACCCTAGGTTTGTTTATTTTTGTTATACCTATAATATCAATTGAAAAGCTTTAATTATTGAAGGAATACCATTGCATAGTACTTTAGTTTGTAAAACAAAGGAGTTTTCTCTTGCTACTTATTATCGCCATTGTTTTTGTGATATCAGGAATATTTTTATCATGTAAGAGTGAGACAGATGCGACAGGACCGTTGGGCGTTATTGGCTTTGTTTTTTTCTATTTCAAAAAAATTGACAATGGCCAAGCTTCGGAAATTCATGCTTTGGTCATTCTCTTCAAATGCTAAATGTTGAAAACCTTTACTTTTTGTCTACTATACCTGAGAACGACATAATGCAGTGTACGTAGCTGAAAGTGCATACAATAACAGAAAAAGCGCAGTGCATGCGTTGGTGTTGAAAAATTGATGCGGCGATTACGAATTTGTTGACCGTGCATAATTTTAAGTACTCATTACTGTATTGCGTGAAAATGTTACGTATTCAAAATCGATACAAATAGTTAAAATGACATGATAATGACTATAATTTACAAACAAAGATGCCATTTTTACTATTTTAACATACAATTTTGAAATAATTACGCAATATTGTAATCATTTATTATTATTAAAGTGAAAATATTGGTTTGGCAATAAATTTTTCAACAATGCTTTTAGGAAATAATAAAAGTTAAAATTTTTGAGTACCTAAACTTTAACAGCTTCAGAACAAATTAAGATTAATTTTATCAATCATCAAAGGTCAAGAGCAATCATTGTGTTTTGAATTTCAAATTGCTAGTCTATTGTTTGAAGAACTGAGGTAAAAGAATTATTAAATATTTATGACTATAAGATATCAATTGTTATTCTAGGTCATAACCATTACAAATAATTTTGAACAAGTTGCCATTTCTTTGAGAATGACCTTAGAATTGATTATTTTAACTAAACATTTTATTTATAATTTTAAATTCAGCTTCAAGCTTTTTTTTTAAATTCAATCAATAATTTAATTTGAGAGATATCAAGGAATTTAACCATATTTGCTCTCTAAAAATTGTAATCTGCCTTTTTTGTTCATTTATTATTCTTAAAGGCGTACATTACCCTGATGTTTATCTATATCTAGGACATCAATACTGACAATGTAAAACTGAATGATAAATCTGTGGCGCAGTTGCCACTAATTCGGCTTCGGCGTCGGGGGTTTTGGGTTCTATTCCCACATGAGACAACTATTTGTGCGGCCCTAAGATAGTTGTTTCCGATCTGGGTGTTTGTCCATGTGAAATTTATGTTTGTAAAATGTCCTTACAACAAAGGATAATGTTATCCTAAAGTAAGGGCAATGTTTAAAAACGAAATTATAAAAAAAAACCGATACAATATTTTAACTTATAACAATACAATATTTTTTTCTATGACTGCTTAGTTCCATAAATATCTTCCTTCCTCTTACTTCCATATATATATATAATATTTGCAGAACTTGTGCTTGAACATGTGTGCAGTACAGTATACATAAATAGTGTACAGTAACCTATTTGATTACATAAAGTAATAGTAAAGTTGTAATCAGGTGACCACTCCACAATGGTGTAAATGACAGTAGAAAGAGGAAGAAAAGAAAATTTGCCTCTAAATAAATGACACAGGAATGTTATGTTGACAGAACGCATGCCACAAGAGATATGGAATGAAATAAAGCGTCTTCAGCGACGGCGGCAGCTGCGACTGGCTGCAGGGGCGGCGTCCTGCTCTTCTTCCAGTGGCAGCGAGGGTGACGCCTCGCCTCCGCACAGGACACAACACACCTCACAGGACGCGCACAAGTTGCACAACCGCGCTCTCTTCACCTTCAAGCAGGTGTGTAATGTTTTAAAGTTGCTCTAGTCTGTTCACCTAGCCATTGGGTGCTGTGTTTTATGTTTCGTTCCCCATGCAAAACAAATGTAATTATTAAGAGTTGGAATAAGTCTCTATGTACCTGATTCTGTATATTTGTGTCATTGGAAGCCCCTTTGCAGGTGATTTAATAAAAATCTGAGATGAACTGTCTAAATGAGCCTCTTCTTTCTTAATTAGGACTTGATATTGGCTTTTATACTAAACTTAGTTGTTAATTTGTCCAGGAGAACAATTTTTGCGCAATTGAATGTTCCTTTGTGAAAAAAATTATTACATATTTACACCTGCAAGGTTGCCTGTAGGGACTAAACTAGGCTATCACAATTCAGGAAGCAATACTTATCTTGAACATTTTTTTAGTTTTATAGCTTTGCAAATAAAGATACAGTTTGGATGCACTAGTTTGCATATGCAGTTTCAAAATACAACAAAATGGCATAGTTGTTAGTGAACCTGTCTCTTGCTTCAGAAGGAGTCGGTTGAATCCCACTACTGGAAAAATATTGTGTAATGAACATAGTGTTTTTCTAGTGTCTGGGTGTTTATACAGAGTGTCGTTTCCATCGCCACAGTAAATGAACACACGTCTAACGCTACTTGCCAATAATCATAAAAAATATTAATGTTAAACAAAATCCATAATTAAAAAAAATATTTATCAAACAAACTAATTAAGTAAAAAAGAAACAAAATTTGTAACATCCTTTACAACTCGCGCCACAGCGTCACATTACAAGAACAGTATGTTTGGTCTCTTTTAAATTCATTCAACCCATTCATATGCTTTGTGACCTTTACAAATGAACTTTGTTACAGTTTTATACGTAAGGATGTTCTAAAATTTTTTTGTTTTAGAAAATTTAATAACTCTGCAAATATTGATGTTTAAAGAATGTAAATGTTTAATACAATTTTAAAAAGTTATCCCCTATATGTGTGTTCATTAATTGTCGCGATTGTAAAGACACGCTGTATATCTTACCCTTAGTATAAGATTTGCTTAGTTAGGGGCTAGATAACATTGTGTTTAAATATGTCCCAAAATATTTATTTATTGTATTAAAGAAATTAACAATGTTTACAGGTGCGCATGTTTTGCGAGAGAATGCTCCGTGAACAAGAGGCTGCTCTACGCGCTGAATACGAATCTGCACTCAGCAATAAGTTGGCTGAGCAATATGAAGCCTTTGTACGCTTCAACTTAGACCAAGTAAGACAATAAATCTTTGAAAATTGAACTATTCATATTTTACAATGATTTAAGGTTACAGTTTCCTCTTTCAGTGTACACCTATTTCTCTTTTTTTTTTGTTGTACCACTACCTAGTAAAGCTATATCCTTTTTTCTTTCATTGAATTTTTTTGTTTCATTGAATTACATCTTAAAACTTGTAAGCAGGCTAACCTGTATTCTCATGAAATCAAACATCATTATGGGAGTCATTGACACAATTTTTTTATGGTACATACACTTTGGTCTCTCTCTCTCCAGTTTATATTAAATTTTGAATAAATTTATATTTCAAGCAATGATTGTTATATAAAATACACCCTAAAAATATAACCAAAAAACAACCAATCGGAACCCTTTTGTAATAGCATGAAATCCCCCAACATTTTGTATACTTATGCTTATTTATATGTAATAACTGATAAAACTGGTGCAGGTACAACGCCGACCTCCACCAGCAACCTGCATGGATGCAGAACATCACATGAGTCAGGACCTAGTCCCCAGCTGTGAGTATATCTTTAACAGTACAATCAATTTAATCTTTGTTTTTTTTTTGTTTTTATTTTTTTAAAAACATTGCCCTCACTTTAGGATAACATTATCCTGTGTTGTAAGGACATTTTACAAACATAAATTACACGAGGACAAACATCCAGATGCGAAACAACTTTCTGTGGGTCGCACAAATATTTGTCCCGTGTGGGAATCGAACCCACGACCAATAAGCCGAAGCCAATAACTTGGCAAATGCGCCACAGAGTCAACAATCTAGTCCCGTATTGTATAACATATTAATAGTAATGATACAAATAGTAAATATAATTGTGCAGATTCACTAATAATTAAGATGGAGTGGTTTCAAAAAGCTCCAAGCAGAGATAATCTGAAAGTCTGATCTTGAAAGACTTATGTCTGAAGGAGGCAAGTGAACTGGTGGTTCTCCTGATAGTGAAGTGATAACCGCCCGCCATGGACATTTGTAACACCCATAGCGTTGCAGATAATTTGCCACCTTTTAAAGTGGGCCTTGGCTACCTCACTCGACACAAAATGCAGAAGTATAACTTCTTCCACTTCACGCCTGTCTTCTGTCGTACAACAGCAAATTGTTGAGTTGCCCTACCACAATTGAACTTACTGTTTATTATATCTAATACTTATTTTCATCTTTTCAGATCTGTCCTAATAACAATGAAGCCAGTTGTTCAGAGTGACACTGCAAATATATCAAGACAAACATATTTTGGTATATGTGAATATTATATGCGGGAATGTAGTGTCCCAATGATTGAAGACATTGTGATTACTGCTGGAATTTAGTTGTTATCAATATTGTGAAGTGTAACCCAACATGTAACACAGTATTTATGGATTTTATTACATTTGTTTTGATTTAAAGACAATGGTCATTAAGACAATATTGGTACAGTTAAGTTCCACAATTTTCATGCCACATAAACATAAATTAGCTTGTAATGCTTTAGATAAGATTTGCTGGATAATTGTGTTCATAGACTGAGGTTCGGAGCCGTGGAGAATGCTATGGCTTAATAATTACATGCCATGCTCTCCGAACAGGTCCACCAATAAAAGTGTTTTGGATAAGGTGATGTGAAACCGAGTGTTTAATTATTGTTTTTGTATATTTTCTAAAGAACATTATGAAGCATCATAGAGAATTAGAAGTAACAGGAATAATAAAATTCACAGAGTGCCTGCTAAGATTACATTGTCCTCATGAGTTGAATATTAGTTAGTCATAATTTTGATTGGTTTAGTTTTTTTAGTTACTTTTTAGTGTCGTCGAAATATAGATGTAGTTTTTAATTTATACATTTTTGTGTCAATTGTGTACTAAATAATTGTACATGTTATTTCTTATGACAGCCAGCCTTGTGTATTGGGCATTCGGTACAATTGCTTTGATTACATGTATTTATATTGTGATTTATACAAATTCTCTAACTTTCCTCTAAATTAACTAAACTGATACATATGGCTTTAGTAGATGATTGATTAGCTTTATTAAAATTGTTAAGTTATTATCTGTATCTTTGTTTGGCGGTGTTTCGCTCCCGCTGCAATGCCACTCTTTGAGCATAATTGGGACTTTGTTTTAAATCAATGTGTAGTTATGCCTTTTTATTGAATATGAACAGGATGTAATTTGTTACCAAGCATTATTCAATAAAAATAGGATAGGTCTTTTTTAAATTGTATTATCAGCTCATTTTATTAATAGGTTATCGGCGTTTAAGAACTGAAAATAAACTAGCTAAACACCCTTAAAACTGGCATTACCTTATTATTTTACCTTTCAAATTTCATGATAACATGGTACTACAAACAGTTAAGACAAATTTAACACAATCTGCTTAATTAAAACTATGGAACAATATTTATTCAATTTATGCTTGATTGTAGCTTTGTGGACTACAAAGCGTAGACTTAATGCAAAAGCATAACTTGGCTTATTCTACCAATAAATTCGGGCGTGATGATATTGTAGTATAGGGATCGAAATAGAATCTGAGCAAAAAGCGTAACAGCGAGCAAAAAAATTGCCCATGTCGACTTTGGTGTAACAAATTTTTGAATTCGGTGGTGTATTAAGATATGTAGAAAAAGTACGAAAAGATTATCGCCGCTGTTGGAATCGAACCCACGTCTTTAATCTTACTATCTTTTCGTACTTTTTCTACGATATGTAGAATTAATGTTCACTCTTAAGTGCAAAGATTAGCACTATAAACAATTTAAATTTCGGTGGTGTATATAAAACGTATTGGTTACACGAAGATTTCTTGTTCGTATTTATTGCGTTGTAATACAAATTTGAACTACATACTAATACAAAATTAACAGATGTGATTCTATTCTAAGTAAGGATTTCAATGACAAATAAATACGAAAATTTGATCTACCTTTTATGGTAACTACAACATTATATCAATCGTTAAGCCGTGTCTCCGTTATCGCCGAAATCATCATTGTGCATCAAAATTCATCATAAAATCATCAAAATTGTGAATCATAAATATGCGCTAGCGTTTTCATATTTATTGAGTACACTGTAAAAAAAATGTATCACCCGATCACATTCGTAAACGTCTTTATATAAATACTAGCTAGGTCAAATATTTATTTTTACCATTTTTATTTAAAGATAACATCAGATACCAACAAAATAATTTACGACAAAGATAGTAGTCAGAGACTTGGAAATGCATAGCATAAGCTATTCCCGCACGTGTGTCCACTATAAGTGTACTATAACGGTACTATATGCATTTTTCAATAAGGTTTCTATCAATATAAAATAGAAATTCTGTTTTACTTTTCCAATCGCGAGGCCTGGAAGGGTATGAACGGAATGCATCATCGGAGGTGTGCTGGCGTTTCGTCAATCCTGAGCAGAGATATGGCGTGCAAAGCTGTGAATTACTTCTGTGAGACTGATTGGCCAGAAAGCTACTGGACAGTGAACTCGAAAATGGGGCAACAAAATTGAGGCAGTTTCTCGCCACATTTCTTCAAATAGCGTGTACTATTAGAAAAATGGCCTCCTCAACGGCCATAGTTGATCGGGGTAAAGTATCAGCCTATACAACTATTTCATTGGTGCCGGCACCGGGGATCGAACTCAGGTTGCTCTTAATTACATATACTCGAAATGTTTCGAAGATCTGTAAAGTTTGCCAATCCACAGTGAGGCCGTGTGGTGAACTATGCCATAATATTCTATATACTCATAATACTCTCTGTACAGAGGATGCCTTTGCCTAGCAGTGGGACATATCTATGCTTCTGCCAACTGCCTTGTCTGTGAACATAGAGTAACTTATTATACGGGTTATGTCTGTGAATCACATTCGAACTGTTCTAGGAAGGTGTTACGATATAAATCTTAAATTTATTTCCCGTAACGCTTAAACATTTTTTAAAACCTTATTTTTTTTAAATTAGTGCTTCAGATAAAAAATTGAAAGGAATACTAAATTGAAATTCGCATTGAACTAGTGATGTTTATTTTGAAATCATATTAAAATTAATGTTCAATTGCAAAACAAAGGAGTCATTTACAGACTGGTAAAAGTACGCTTAATCTACTGGTAAAAGTAAAGTATTGAACATAGACTTGAATGAGATGAAAATGAAATATGACTGTATCAAGTAAAGCTTTAGATCAAGTTTCAAGTTCCTTATTTGCTACTAAATCGATTCTCGTGAAGTAAAAATCCTAGTCTTGGATTGAAAACCAAACTTTCTTTCCTCATATACATCCATCTATTGAAATGCTTGTAGTGATTGTACTTTTTGGAGAGTTCAATTTTAATTTGCTTAACAAATTAAAATTGTGTAAAGATCAAAATAAAACGGATAAATAACTAATACTTGCTTTGGCGCTTCCCTAAAAAATGTTCTGGTCTTGTCATTGCCTAACACCACAGATCGCATATTGTCAACTGTGTATTTATATTTTTACCATTATTCATTCACACGACATTAAAATGAGTTTTGAGACTTCTACTAATAATGGAAATAGCAAAGAAGAGCGTAAATATCATGACCGGACCAAATCTGACGACTTACAAATATCAAGAACAGACATGAATATGTTAATAATGAATTATTTAGTAACAGGTGACGTTCTTTTGTGTTTTCTCTTAATCATTTTAAATGTATATTATAAAGTATCTTATAAATGTATATTTATAAAGTATCTTTAAATCTTAAGTTATATGTGTATTGTTTACCAGCATGTAAATCGTGTTAAAACGACTATCTTATTTATTGCATTTTTACTCATATTTTAGTTAATTCCGTGACGTAGTTTTTCCCGTTAGATGCATGTTAGTATTTCATATTGACCGTTTATTTCAATTAAACGCTTTTTTAAGTTTATCTACTTATGTTTTGACCTTATTCACTAAGTAAAAGACAACTAGAGAATTTCTTGCCTATTTTACCATATACAAATTTTCTTTATATCAATGAAAATCATTGTTAACTTAATGTTTTTTGAGTTATCTAGTAAATGAGAGCAGCTTTTATCCATAACAATTAAAATTGTTGTTTATCACGGTTATTTTTTATGGTTAGCTGAATGTTTCATAGAAATATAAATGTATGACATATAGAAATATGTTTACTTGCAATTGTATTTGGATACTATTATCATTTTTCAATATAAAAACAAATATTTTCTTAATTACAATTTGACCAGTACATAACTATAATTCCTGTATGAATTATACAAATAACTCATGAACTAAACAGAAGCTCAGTTGTCTGAACTCAGATTCACTAATAAACGAATAATTAAGTTTATTATAGTGCAAAGTAAAAATATACATGTCTTTCCAATTATCAAATTGACAGTATTTTTTACAATTAGACTACAGCACAAGACAAAACAATATATCTTATAGTCCTCACACTAGGCCTAGCCTGTATTGTGAGAACCCACTCTAAAATATTTCTATATATGATTAACAGCAGTGTGCTTAACAATGATAATTTGTAATTTTAATAAAGCTGTAATTTAATTATTTGTATTTTAATTTTAATATTTTAATAAAGCTAAGAAGTATAATGTTTAGTGAAAGGTGATCTAAGTCTGGGCGTAGTAAGTCCGAATATATGCCTTTCTGAAAATTTTTATAGTCGTAGGAACTTAACATCTTCCTGTGTTGCATTAGGACTGTTTTTTAGATGAATAGATGTTGTATGTTCATGACCTGAAAATTGGAGTATGGTGCATTGGTAGGGTATATTTGGTTTTTTTAATAACACCTATAGTACTGCTCTTTACCAATGAATAATCTAAGATAATCAGTAGAATATTAAGATATATTTCTAACCATGTCACGATTACCAATAATTCTTTGCATTTGGACCAAGTGTCCAGTCTAGATACTTTAGCAAAACTTAGGCAGAACTGCCCTATGAGATTGCTCAGTTGCTCAATTAATAAGTAAAAAATTTTGTTTGCAGAAGGATTTAAAGAAGCGGCAATCAAGTTTCAGCAAGAAGCCGGCTTACAGGAGCCAGCACTCTGCAGTTCCCTGGATGAGCGAATAATGATCCGAGAAGCTGTCCAAAGTGGCCGTATTCCAGAAGCCATTGCAATGGTCAATGCACTCCATCCAGAACTTCTGGATAATGACAGATATCTCTACTTCCATTTGCAGGTTATATATAATTTTGAATAGAAAATAAATCATAAATTGTTAGATGTTTTTTGTGATTGGAGATTGGCCAAATATTATATATTTGTATATTTGTTACTATTTGAAAATTGGAAAATTATTTAAATGATAATTGGAATTTGAATAGAAGTAGCTTGCTTAATTGTTTTTTTTAGAATAATTTTAGTGCAGTAGCAGCGTGCCCTAATGAAAATCAAAAGTAATATTAGATCAAAAACATGTAGCAACTTCAATTGTTGGAGCTCATCCGTGCGGGCCGCGCCGAGGAGGCGCTGTCATTTGCGAGCGCAACGTTGGCGGAGGCAGGCGCGAGCGACCGGGCAGCGCTCGCCGAGCTGGAGCGTTCCTTGGCATTACTCGCTTTCCCTGACCCGCACGCCTCGCCCTTCGCCGACCTTCTGTTGCCCGCGCACAGCCAAAAGGTAAGAGAGCGACCTTGCATTGCTGGCTTTGAACCTTCCGAGAGCTAGCTACTACAACCGATTATTTTAATATAAGATGAGAATAACAGCTACGGCTGTGTCCCTTATTAGGAGAACTACCTAATCAGCTTAGTAATAGATTACACATGTTAAACGTTCTTGTTATGTTTTGAATAATTTTGCGTCCGAAAATAATGATAATAATTATTGTGCACATTAAAATGTTCAAAAACGCTAACATTTTATGGTAAAAAATTCACAGATTGCCAGTGAACTGAATGCAGCAATATTGAAAATGGAAAACCAAGAGTACACAAATCCAAAGCTATGCAGTCTCCTGAGGATGATCTTGTGGTCACAAAGTGAACTAGACAAACATAATGTCAAGTACCCAAAGATGACAGATTTAGCAAATGCTACTATAGAACAGCCAAAGTGAAAAATAGTTTTATTTAATAAATTAAACAAATAGGAGTGTTTTAATAAGGACTTTGTTTATAATAGACATTTAATGTGTGGCCCTGATTGAGATTTGTAATGAGATCCAATGGAGCATAGGAATTTTAAAAGATAACACTAGAATTTGATGTTTCGTTTGTTAAGTCTTTAATTTTAGTGATATCATGAATTTACGGTAATATTATGATTACAAAACCACAACCACTTTTTAAATATACTACATAGCAAGAGCCTCACTCATTTAAGCTTTGAAGTTTTCATACAGATTTATATATGAAATACACAACCAATATACAAACCCCTCCATTTTTCTACTTCTAATTCAGTAGTAGAAAAATTTGTTGCCCACAGGCTTAATATGAGTCATACATTTTCTTAAAAAGTTATATAACTATTATTATTCTATGGCAACAATCTTATAATTATATAAAAAAATTAGCTTCCGTGTCCACAAAATCGTAGTGCTTTTATATACTTTCCATTACAAAGTTCAAATGATGTTGGTCATGAAATTCATATACACCGTGTCGTTACAACCGCAACAATAAAATTAAAACACGTCTAAAGCTACTTGCCTATCTTTAAAAAATCTATAATTAAAAAAGTATATTTTTCAAACAAACTAATTAAATAATAAAGGAACAAAAGTTGTAACATCCTATACAACTACAACTGACTGATTCATACATTCAAAGAGAGAGAGACTTTTTCATTCGTTGCCGCAGCGTCGCACTACAAATCTCTCCTTCTAACAGTATGTTTGTATGTTTTATCTCTTTCAAATTCATTCAACCCAATCATATGCTTTGTGACCTTTACCGTTTTATATGTAAGTGTTCTAAAATTCAATTTTAAAAAGTTGTCCTCTATGTGTTCATTTATTGTCGCGGTTGTAACGAAAGCTGTATGAATATCTAATTTTTGAAAGGTATTATTTTTATTGGATTTTAAAATTAAAATTATCAAAATTATCTTTAAGGATGTTTGGATGTATTAAATAAGCAACAGTAAATATGACAGTGTATATTTGTATCATTAGTGCCGTGGCTTGTGATAACTTTTTAAAAGAATTAACTTTGATAAATGTACATCAATTCATGCAATTTGTATTTATTTATGACATTCACATTTTGTATGAGCACAGCGAAGTACAATGGAAAAAACACTTGTTTTATTGAAAATATGTAAGTAAATGAACAGGAACTTGATTGTCTCATAAACTTATACATTAAATTAACTCCATTAACAGCACCATTTACATGTCTTTATTGTAGATGGTACTTATTACATTCATCAAACATGCAGGTAACTAACAAAAAAACATTTAATCTTTTATATAGTGACAAGGAGAGAAAAAAAAACAAAAAATATTGTGATTGTTTCAATTGAACCATAACATTTCATTTTAAAAACTATCTGTTTAAAGATTTTAGAAAATATAGACAATATTTATGTTCACAATTGTATAGTTGTTAAAATATTGATTTTTAACGACTAAATTAGAATAATAATATCCCCATTGAATTAGATTTTGATGTAGCATTGGAAAATAAACAGTTACTAATTAATATTCAGCTTTTATTTCTTGTTTCTCATCTATATTAAAAGATTCGTCTTTTTATATGTACATATAGAAATCAGTCTGTTGTTTTTATTATTTGTTTAGCACTGCTTATTTACATGAACTTGCATGCTTCAGGAAATATATAGTGTTAAAAGCTTTTATCACCAACCCAATACATAGTCTAGGGCTTTGGCTATGATCCCATTTGACCTTTGTGGTACTGGTGCTGACGGGATAGGTGTTGGGCACAGGGATCTTGCAGTTATATGTCTGAAACCGATATTTTCATTAATATTATTTGATTGAGAACAGTCATCAACTTGTAATTATTACAAAGTGTTATGTAATATATAAAAGTTCAATAGAGAATACATACTCCAATATTTTTTAACAAAGATTGGGTTGCTGAATTTCTTGCATAAAGTACTCTATGAATGAAAAATGCTTACAGGCTGGACATTTTTTGTATATTTATAGTTTAATAGGCAGACTATTAATGGAAAATAACATAGCAACTAAAGTTCATTTATACCCAAAGTTTAGAGTTTAAGTTAAACTTAACTGCTATTCCAAAAACAGTCAATACAAATCAGATCAACTAAAAGCTTGTATGTTACTTCCCTTAAAACTATTATCTGGCAACCAATTGTTTATTCCTCAACATAAGAAACATACATTTCATCTATCGATAGTCAGTTTTTTTAATTTACCACTGTTTTGTAATGAGGTTCCTCTAACGGAGAAGAAACAGGCGAAAAAAACTCCGCAGATATCCTCTTTTCTGCCTTTTTTTAAATTTATTAAAATATACTTATTATAATTGTAATAGATATAGTAGATATACCTCTCAGGGGAAGTTATTCCAGGATTGGATGTAGTTCTTCTTAGTGGTTCCCTGCACTCCACTACTCCGACCATAATACCGGGTATAATTTGCCTTCCATTCAAAGCCATTGCTCGCTCTTTTTCTGCTCTGGTTGCGTATCTCACATGAGCCCAATTGCCTTGCGTAGGATACTGTTTCTCTGTTAAAAATTTATTAATCTTTTAGTTTTATCAAGTAAAGAAAATATTGAAAACCAATCCATTGAGTGGTTTTTGTCAACAGTATTAATATTGTAAACTAAAACTAATTATGGATATTCCATATTATATGTGATTTACAATGCTATTTTGAAATAACCTGCAATCCAACCAAATAAAGGCACACAGTGATACCTCAGTACCTGGATGATTTTACCCATAAAATTGTTGATTGCAATTTTAAGAGTTTATTTATCACATGTTTATCAGTGAGGTTACCCCCATATTTTTATATCTGCTTTGTTGGGATCCGCTCTCACTAATCTCTACTACCCATTGTTTAGGAGAGGCAGCCCTGCAGTGGGCAGCTGTTACTTTACTTTTTACGCACATAGGGTCACAAGACAGATGGTATGATGTGTCATGGCCTCATAACGTTAGTTAAATGAAGCTAAGCTTAGTTGTCCATGGGCTAAAGATTAGGGAACATAAATGGTGATAGCCATATAAGAAGCTCTCAAATAAATCTATTTTCAATATAATATATTCAAATATCATACCTAAAATCGCACCACAGTTGCTAAATCTTGCTAATATTGTATTTGCTACATTTGGTGGAAAACCAAATATAGTAATCCAGTACTCATCTTGCTCTTGGCAGCCATCTTGCCAGTTTGTTGTTAGTGACTGATTATTAAGTGATGTATTCACATATGAATTTTGCATCAATGAATTGTTGTTGCCATAGCCAAGGAAGCTGTGATCTTGGTACATAGATTTGTTGTTTGTAGGCTCATTACTTTTTATAGTATCGAATAGATCCTCTATTGGTGGACCATTAGGTTTACTTGAATAAGATATATTAGGTGATGTGGCCATGTTCGCAAACATGTTTTGTTGATTAAACAATGCTTGCTGATGTATTGAAACATTTGGTCGGTAAATTTTCTGGTCTGGTGTTGATGTTTGGCTAGGGCTAGATGGTGATCCTGTATTAAAATAAATTATTCACTGTCTTATATGATCAGTAAATGTTGTATATTCAGACTTTCAGACAAAATTTTATCTTAAATAAATAACAACACATAATAAAATTTATTATAACTTTTTATTTATTTAAACTTTTTATTATACATACCAAAAGCCGGTGATCCTGTATTAAAATAAATTATTCACTGTCTTATATGATCAGTAAATGTTGTACATTCAGACTTTCAGACAAAATTTTATCTTAAATAAATAACAACACATAATAAACTTTATTATAACTTTTTATTTATTTAAACTTTTTATTATACATACCAAAAGCCAAACTTCGGCCTTTCGTAGGTGACAAACTATTAGTACGAGGGGTTGTGGGAGGGTTAATTTCACCCAATAGGAAGGGGGGTAGATACCCCACATTTGGACTACCCGATGGCGAGTGAGTTGGACTCCCTAAAGTCATTGGCTCCATATCTTTAAATTAATTAACAGTTGTGTAATTGAAATATCGATTTAAAAAAGACGAAGCTATCGTTGTATATCTATAAATTCATACTTTATTAACAACCACAATTCTCACGAAAGCCGTTCCACCTGTGATATTTGATTTTGACGTTGACATTTCCCATGACATAATAATTATATTCTTAATAAAGATTTTATGGCCTGGTAGCAAAACCTTTAAGCCAAACACGTGACATTTTAGATTCATAGATTAAATATAAAGTGTAGGATGTTTCTATAACATTTTTATTTCTTTTTGTGTAAGTTTAAATGTCTATTATAACGGCAATTTTAACAGCTTCTTCGTAGTTCGTAGTCATTAGCATTTTTGGTTTTTAAGGTAAACCGATATTTATACAATTTCAATGCTCCGTGGTGAAGGAAAACATCGTGAGTGAAATAAGAAAAAAAAACATTTCGATGATATGTAAAGTCCGCCAATCCGCAGCGAGTTTGCGAAATCAATACGAATCGATTTGGCATTGTTGCATTGCCCTGTGGCATTTTTGACCCGAAGGTTTAACTTTGATCCCTTGGGAGAGAGTCAAAGCCCTATTTCAGGACGCCACTTGTGTAGACACTTTCGCTGCCTCTCATCTAACTGGGTACTTCGGTCAGGGCCTAGGCAGCATTAGAGGTAGTTGAAGTAAGTAAATGGCGCAAATATGAGTCTTTATGTTTAGATTATGTATTTGTGCCATTTGCTGTTGAAACTTTTTGTCCGTGTGGTCCCCGCCCATCAAAAGTTTTTAAAAGTTTATGTCCTAGGCTTAACGCCGCGGCTGGTGAGCTGGTTCTTTTCTCGCTCAAAGGTTAAGCATAATTATTCAGCGAGGAAATGCATCTAACGTTCTTGGCACCATGCCGCATGGATTAAGTTTAATATATAACATGTAATTTTAGACAAATTTAATCTTGTAAATATTAGATCAATAAACTGTATGTTCTATTTTAATCGGTTTATGTTTGAAATCGGATTTTAAAGCAGCAGACAGGTTCTGCTATCGATAGTGATTATAAGTAAAAAGTCAAAATTGCGATGTATTCACTAGATATATCTACGTCAAATCGATCGCTTAAGAAAACAATTAATTAACGAGGATTAAGCACTGACGGTGAGGCTGGCCCACCGATTACATGTCGTTCAGCGAGCTATGAAAAGATCTATGCTCAGTATTTCGTTAAGGGATAAAATCCGAAATGAAATTATCCGGCAGAGGACCAAAGTTGTCGACATAGTCCGTAAGTGAAGCAAGCTGAAGTGGCAGTGGGCTGGCCACATCTGTCGTAGAACCGATGAACGTTGGAGCAGACGGGTTCTCGAATGGAGACTACGTTTCGGAAAACGTAGTGTCGGACGTCTCCCTGCCAGATGGACCGATGACCTGAGAAACGTTGATGGTAGTGGCTGGATGAGGAAAGCGGAAGAACGTGCTCGTGCGTGCGTGGCGTGGCGTGCCCTTGGGGAGGCCTATGTCCAGCAGTGGACTGCAAAAGGCTGATTGGATTGGAATCACTGACAAGAAGTCAACGATGTTTACGAAAATATATAATTAACAATGGATGCGGCCAGTTTGCTAACAGCAAAGGAGTTTATGTGAACAAAAAGGTGACTAACTTCAAAAAGGGGACCATTCACAATCAAATCACAATACAAGAAACCTGTAAGCTCCGCCCACCTGATCAGAGTATCCTGCATAGTGAAATGCCGATTTCGCCACTCGACTTATGAATGTAGAAGGAAAGAAGTGCTGTGCAAACTGCACTTTGCTGAAAATTTCGCCTTACCACGTTGTGTTCTTATTTTTATTCAATAACGAGTCCGTATACGTTCGTTTGATCATCACGTAATTAATTATGAATTTCATATTTCCAAAGATTAATTGTTTCCGCGAATTGATTGTTACACCAAAAACGAAATAAATAAATAAATATGTAACGTCATAGGTACCCACCTGTATCATCTTAAATCATTATTTAAATTGACATTAAATGGCAACATTAATTGTTTTGTCAAAACTGCAGTCAAACAAACGAACATGGATTCTTTAGCTGAGGAGTCTGATAATTCTACACTATTAAGTGAAAATGAAGGCCTTAAATCCAATAATAATATTCCTAAGAGTATCGCAGGATATAGCAATAATATTGTTCATAAGTTATTTAATAGAGAAGTAAGTTACATTTATAATAAACACCTGTGCTGCTTGAAGCAATCGAACTCTTATTTTTTTCTTTTTATCATTTGATTTAAACGCCGGTTCTTTTAAGAAACTCACAGATTGCTTATATTTTGTATTGTTTTTACATTTTTATTCGTTTAATAGTGTTTAAATATTTAAAAATAGTTAAGAATACAACAATTCAAACAAAGTGCATTAGTTCAATTTGTACAATTCAACATTTCAGTGCCAATGAAGGTTATTATTTTTTTAAATATTTTAGATATTTGGAAGCACATCCAGGAAGGCAAATGATAGAAATCGTAAAATGTTCGAGAAAATCCCCCCACGGTTGCGTTTCTGCCTAATGGATATAGTTCCCATATCTTACCTCAGAGAACATGTCTTCATGGGTTTCTCACAGTGCGGACAGTTCCTGCTTAGTTTTACGTACAGTTGTAACACTCAAGTTTACTTCAGGGAGAGTTCTAAATTTACGTAAGTAATATAACATGAAAGCATTCACAACAATTCTGTACTGCTACTCTGTTTGCATCAACATTGCAAAACTTCAATAGAGAAAATGCTTTTTTTATGTTTATAAATATCCATGGCCAAGCTTGAGAGTTATTGTTACATTTGACATTTTCTTACCTTTTAGGCTTCATTTCTTATCCTGGGTACCTGGCAAAATTGTTAGACCTGTCCACAGTGTACCATTATTTGGTGATGACTGTGTGGATAGTAAAGTTACAATATCCATGGCCCAGTGGAAACATAATCCAGGAGTTCTTGTTGTATATGGTATTGCGTAAGTTACGAGTTACTTATTATTAATTACTTAGAATTGTTTTTACTAAATTATATTCTAAAACGCTATTTACTACTTATGTTACTATACTCATTTTAAAACATTCTTTGATATGTGCCATAAAACTTTGACTAAATACATAAGATTGTTGCTTTCCTGGAATGGTTTTTGATTAAACTTAAATAATTATGGTACCTAAATTAGAGTATTCTAAGGTAGTATTCTAAGGTAAGTATTCTTAGCTAGCATGATAATATGTGGACAAAAAAGGATATGATATATATATTAGTCTATATTGTGGATCTACAGAGACTCGTGTTCGGAACGATCCTACCTCAGTGTAATTGGTGTACCTCGTTTAGGATGTAAGAAATGTGCGGCATACTCAAAAGAAGAAGGTAATTATCGTATATGTTATATATATTGAAGTATTCATAATAAATCTGTTTCTAATAAACTTTTATGTACTTTCAGATGATTTGAATTGGGGCAAGAGATGTTTGGAACACAATTTTGCCATTCATACAAAGTTCTTTTGCACGTCAGACTCCAGCATATATGAGCCCGTTGTACAATTGGCTTACTCAAATCAAATAATCATCTACACGGACTTTATACACATACTGGAGATTGACATCGTGAAACCGGACCAAGACCGGACAGACACAAACGATGAAAATAAATCCTCGATAGACAGGGACGAGACAAGCTCAATGGACATGTACCCCTGTACACCTGCATCGGATGTATCGGCACCCTTCCAATCGCCGAAATATCAGAACAACGTAGTCCAGAACATCCTAGCGGACTTCTCCGATCTGGAGGCGGAGCCGTACCAAATGTCGCGGCCGGTCCACCTGGCGGACATGATGGGCCAGGAGTTGTGCATACAGGCGTCGTCGATATCGCACAACCTGGCCGAGGAGTGGGAGGGCCCTTCGCCCTCGATCAGGACCCTGATAAGCCCCCCGCTCCGCTCGCCGCGGAGACGGCCCGCCGAGAGCATGTCCCGCTTCAACGAGACGCACAGGACCATTGCGGAGAAGGCGTACGAGTTCGTCGAGGAGACGGAGACCAAGTGCGAGAAGCTCAGCATGTACCGGAAGCGGCGGCTGGCGGACAAGAAGTACGAGTTCTCGGAGGACAACAACGAGAACATCGTCCCGTTCAGGGTGCTGAGGAGCAACCGGAGGTACTACATCGGGTGCACCAGCAGGGGCCCCGGCCGGAGGGCCAAGTCGCCGCCCGCCGAGAGCGCAGTGCTCAGGGCGCACAACCAGATCGGCAGGCCTCCCTCGCCGACCGCCGCGGTAGGCCCGAAGGGCCCAGCGCTGTCGGTCCTCGACGCGGACAGGAACAGCGAGTCGGAGTACCGCGTGATGGAGATGCTGGACGACGGCTCGCTGAAAACCGTCGCGGTCCACGACAACACCTCCAAGACCCTGTCCGACGTGCCCGTCAGCCCCCAGGACCCTTACCTCGTGCACTCGGAGAACTCCAAGTGCAGCAAGTTCTTCACCCGCTACTTCATTGAGAGCGACGACGAGATAACGTCGATAATCACGGACTCCGAAGGTATGCATGATATGCATGATGATAAACGGTTTAAAGTCAATCATTTATACATTGTTTCCAGAGTGTTATCGTTTAAGTAATCACTAATTATGATAGTAGCCTTTAACATACAAGCGTTCCTTTTCAAGTTTTATAATTTAGCAACCGATTCATTTTCGGGTTTTGTCATAAAAACGTATACCTTGTCTCCATGAAAGATTTACTTATACTGCGCAATCTAGACGAGGGTAGAACTAATTTACGTTTGTTCCTACTGTTTATGTCGTGCACATGATTAAAATCTAGATGAGGGTAGAATTAATTTATGTTTCTACCTAGTGTATATCGTGCACATCGCTATATAATGTCGCGACAAACATAATTTTGTGCCTTATTAACTATATGTCGCGCACATCTATATATAAAGGGTGGCTTTTCTAAGTGTATCCATTTTTTTTATTAAATTCTAGACATAAATAATGTTATATAAAAATGATAAATATTTCAAGTAATTACATTCATTTGAACTTATCTCAAAAAGTGCGTGATTTATACGCAACTCATTTATTTTACGCGCGATCATTCATAACTAACACGCACACAAGTTCGTGCACAGTAAAATTTTGGTATTTATGAATGTCTACCGCAATGTCAACACGTTCTGTTTTTTAGGGAATGGAATGGCATTGTTTTTTTTGAAAAAAAAAAACGTAGTTTTTTATTTCAATAAACGATTATACTACCGAGTCTGAACCTCCTGTGTAAATTTGGGCACTTCTCAAAAAAATCTCCCTGTATGTTATAGATTTCCACCGATAATTGACTCATCACGATATCTCGGGAACCATAAGGCCTAGAAACTTGAAATTTGGTAGGAATATTCCTTTCGCCGAGTAGAGGTCAGCTATATAGAACGGATTTTACTAAATTCCACAAAACAACGTTTTGTGGAATTTAGTATCGGATCAGCCAGTTCATTGTATAGGTATCTATACAGTGTGTCGTTACAACCGCGACAATAAATGAACACACATATAGAGGATAACTTTTTAAAATTGTATTGAACATTTACATTCTTTAAACATAAATATTTACCGAGTTATAAAATTTTCCAAAACAAACAATTTTAGAACACCCTTACGTATAAAACGGTAAAGTAAAGTTCATTTGTAAAGGTCACAAAGCATATGATTGGGTTGAATGAATTTGAAAGAGATAAAACATACTGTTAGAAGGAGAGATTTGTAGTGCGATGCTGCGGCAACGAATGAAAAATTCTCTGAATGTATGAATCAGTCAGTTGATGTTGATTTTTTTAACGTTTTATATTTTTTTATGATTATTGGCAAGTAGCATTAGACGTGTTTTAATTTCTTGTCGCGGTTGTAACGACACGCTGTATATTGAGTACTAGCTTTTCGCCCGCGGCATCGCTCGCGTTAAAGCCCTTAAATAAATATCTATATCTAATTAAAAAATAGCCTATGTCCTTTCTCAGGCTCTAGACTATCTGTGTACCAAATTTCATTTAAATCGGTTCAGTAATTTTGGCGTGAAAGCGAGACAGACAGATAAACAGAGTTACTTTCGCATTTATCATTCCCTTCATTTTGCAGAAGAGAGCTGTTAGAGCAATTTATCAACTTCGCTAGGGACTCGCTTAAAAAAATAGTTAAGAGGATACAGATTTTCACGTTTCCATGTCAATATATTTTTGCGAATACTATGTATGTTAGGAAAAATATCCATGACTTTATTAAATATTCTGATATTCATGACCGTAATATAAGAAATAAGAATAATTTAGTTCTTCCTCGCTGTAGACTAGCCAAGCTAAGGACTTCATTCGTTCGGGGCTCTGTGTGCGCTACTACAACAAAATTCCTAATGATATTATAAATCTACCGGACAAAAAGTTAAAATTTATTGTAAAGCAGACACTGTTTAAAGAAGCTAGATGATATTAAAGTTAGATGATTATTTAAATGACGAAGAGGCTTGGTGTTCCGATACTCTTGCACATGACATGACATATATCATAGGACAAATTATAAGCCGTCGAACAACGGTTTGAAAAAATCTTACTTGGAATAACTGATTTTGATTTCTTTATAATATAAGTACGGATATTGTCGCGCAGACGACTGCATGTCGGGCTACCACGTGGCGCTGCACCTGACCGCGCACGGGGCCCGCTACGCGCCGCTGCAGGCGGTGGGCGCGGGCGCGTGGGAGCGGCTCCCGCCGGCGGCCAGGTAGGGTTGTGAAAAAAATAATCGATTATTTTTTCAGTAGTAACAATCGATTTTTGATAGATCGATTATATTGATACCCACTTTTTAAACGATTTTTGTAAACAGCCATCTGTATGTATGTATGTAAACAGATTTGATTCAAATAAAATGTTAAATGGCATTGAGTAATTGTGGAAAATTTATTTTAGTTTTTTTTTTATTGTTTATAGTTTAAAATCTAAAAAAAACTGTTACTTTGTATTTTATGTTATGAAGCCGGAAGGTTGCCGTTTAGTTTATTTTTTACACCACTCATTTCATTCGATTTTGATTCTGACAAACTGCGAACACTGTACTAACCTCATAATTATCGCTATACAGCATTTTTAGAATGATTGAAAATGATCGATTATTATTTGTTCTGATAAAATTTTGAATTAATCGAAAACAATCGATTATTGTTTTCGGATAAAATCATGAATGAATCGATTTTTGATCGGCGCGGGCAGGACGCGCACGGTGCGCGCCACGCAGCGCTCGCTCGACACGGAGCTGCTGTGCAACGAGGTGTGCGGCCGGCTGTGCCACCTGCGCGGCGTCAGCTTCGTCTACTGCTTCGACTGGGGCTGCCACGTGATAGACGTGTGCCACTCGAGCGGCTGCCTCTCCGGGGTGAGTGGCCGCGCTCAGGGAAACTCACAACGTCGTTATACAGCGTGTCGTTACAACCGCGACAATAAATGAACACACGTCTAACGCTACTTGCCAATAGTCATAAGAAAATATGAACGTTAAAAAAATCCGTAATTAAAAAAAATAAATTTTTCAAACAAACTAATCAAAATAAAAAAGAAACAATATTTGTAGCATCCTATACAACTACAACAGACTGATTCATAGATTCAGAGACTTTTTAATTCGTTGCCACAGCGTCGCATCGCAATTCTCTCCTTCTAACAGTATGTTTTATCTCTTTTAAATTCATTCAATCTATTCATATGCTTTGTGACCTTTACAAATGAACTTTACGTTACAGTTTTATACGTAAGAATGTTCTAAAATTGTTTGTTTTGGAAAATTTAATGACTCAGTAAATATTGATACTTAAAGAATGTACATTTTTAATACAATTTTAAAGAGTTATCCTCTATATGTTTGTTCATTTATTGTCGCGGTTGTAACGACACGCTGTATATACTTGTATATCATTTTCCAGTCACAGGTCTGCTGGAAGAGGTTTGTTAACAAATAAGCATGGCCTTTGGACGAATCTTTCCTTTATGTAATTACGTTTATTTTGTGTACACTGCGTACATAAGTTATTATTAATTAAGAAGCGTAGTTAAGAATCCTGCTAAAAGGACCATACTCTAAAGGGCTGGCTGTCCGGCGTCAGTGTTCACTGTTTCGCGATTGGGCAGGTCCGTCCTGGTAACACAGCCTCACAGAAGGCCGGTGTCAAGTAGAAGTGTTACATAATACACTTCAGCGTTTCGTCTTGTGTGCGAGATAGCCGCGGCCCACTTTCGTAACAGGTCGCAACGCATCTGTAACCCTACGGGCGAGAATCTCAATGGGAGGCGGTCATCGATTAACATCGGGTGTACCGCCAGCTCGCTTCCACCTTCTCTCATAAAAATAATTGAAATGTTTAATTTTTTTTAATCCAACACCGGCCATCACTTATCTGCCATCCCGCCTGAATGTAAGTGGCGATGCGGCCAAACGTGAGGTTATTGTGTGACATTCGAACCGTACCACGGCAGTTGTGCGCGATGTGGCTGTGGGCGAGCGAGGAGAGCGAGGCGGCGGCCGAGTGCGACGCCTGCAAGGACGTGAGCGCCGCCTGCCTGCCCCACCGGAGGCAGTACGCGGCAGAGGTACACAACATTTTTCTGTCTTCAACCGACTTCGAAAGGAGGGGGCTCGCGATTCGACTGCATTTTTTTATGTTTGTCACCTCAGAACTTTTGACTGAGTGATTTGATGATTCTTTTTTTTATTAGAAAGCTGGTGCTTCGGGTGTGGTCCCATATTACCAATGAAATCATTGGTTTTGCATACTGGTCCCAGAACTTAGCCACTTCGACTGTGACAATGACGATGAAATGTTTAAAAATAGTCTCATTTATTAATGCGCAGTATTAGCGTAAATACATGATTTAATAGTCATATTCTTTGTCAGTGCTTGTTCGTGTGGGACCTGGTGACTGGAGTGTACAGAACGGAGAGGGTCTCGATGACAGAAGACGACAGCCAAGAAGGCTCTAGAGGTAACTGATGGCATGTGAATCAATTACTACCGTCTGCTTTTGTTTTTATAACGATCAGGTTGAGTGCTTACCATGGACGTTTCCTCTATGATAAGACGAAATTCGAAATACTTCTGCTTTGCGCCGATCTTCTGCGAGGCTTCCCTTCTTCTACTTACCCCAGAAGTGAGTAAAAGGCGAACTAATATAATAACATAATAATTGTTTCATTTAGAACTGACTTTTTTAGTGAAAAGTTTATAAGAGAGCGAGCGGTTCACCTGATGTTAAGTGATTACCGCCGTTCATTTGCGTTCAACACTTGAGGGTTGTGTGTGCGTCGGGAACATTTTAAAATGTTGGCCCCGGCAACCACACACGCCAACAGATGCAACGCAAAATTATAACACCTCCACTCCAGTCTACTATGAGGCCGTGGCTAAGGTACCTGAAGGATCTAAATCTTAGGGTCACTCTATGGTTGTGCTTCTTCACGCAACCTCACGTGAGATTCACTGGCACCTCTAGTATGTTGTATATCGATTTTAACGTCATTGTTGTTACTCAACCAAAGAGGTGGTTAGCTCAACCGGATATATGTAATTGTCTACCTTCGATATGAAAGTCAATGTTACTGGCTAAATTTTATTACTAACTATGTTTTATTCAACCTTGACATTGTTAGAATCATTAAGGCATATATTGATTTAAACTAAAATTGGAATTGGAGGTGGTTCCTAATTATTTCGATTTATTGTCCTCCCTTTTATTGAGAGGTAAATGTGAACAGAGCTATTTTGATGTTGACCTCAAACAGCAAATGTCATAACAGTTTCAGGCGCGGACCGGGCTCGGGAGCTGGCGAAGCGTCTCGGCCCCATCAACATGCCGCCCGGCAACGAGAACAGACTTCTCACCACCCTCACCGGTTAGTACCCAGAGGCTTTTAAAAATTTGCCCAGTAGATGGCGTTGATATCAAACGTCGCGGTGACCTATTTCATGCTTCAACTACTAGAAATTATTGTCGTCAGTGGAGCCATAGTAAGGAAAATAATTATACTTTACTACCCTTACAGTCGATATATTGACTTAACTTTTTAACCGAAATTAAATTTTTCGCACTTCCTGCCTGTGAATAGTTACCGTTTACAAAACCCAAAACTCAATTTGACACAATCGATGAATAAATAATTATTAACGAACCATTTGATAAGCCATATAAGGATTTTTTTTATGTGAATAGTGGCTAAGCGCGCAGACGGTTCACCTGATGGTAAGTGAATACTGCCGCCCATGGACATCTGCTACACCCGAGGGTTGCAGATGCGTTGACAACCTTTTGAAAATTGGGCTCCAGCCACCTCACTCACCAGACGAAACGCAAAAGTATCATACTGCCCATAATTCAAGCCCATTCGTGCAACAGCCGAGGCTGCTGCGTGGCGCTACCACCGTGGATAAAAACAATTTGATGCTTTTCAAGTTTAAACACACTCTGATTCCTCAGGTCGATCGCTGAAGAGGCTGACCGACGTGGACAACTGCATTGAGATAACGAAGAACCACCCGGACAGTTCGGAGTCGGAGTCCTCTTCGGACGAGGACAGCGACTACGACTAGTTTGACGTAACTGGGGAGCTGACAGCATCCCACCTACAGACTGAGGCCGAAATCCCAAGCATCGTTAAGTGAGACGGATTCCGCCTTACCCGATCAAGTTCCTCAAACGCGCCAAGTGTATTGTGTTAAAAAATTGGCGGACGTGAAATGTTTATACGAAGTGAGATGCCGTCGATGGAGGTAACGTTGGCTCAAATGTGTACGATTTAGGAGAATATTTTACTAGTCTTTGTTGATATACTCTGCTAGAAATATTGTGGGCTGATAACTTGTTTTCTTCCGCTCTATATTAGAAAAAGAAATTGCAAAACTCAATCTCCATTCTAATAGTGTATATTGTAATGTGACAGACTGATTTATTTTCTCTATTTTAAGTCTATATATTATCTTTACTGAAGTAAACAACATCACAGCAGATGGTTCAGTTGCCAAATTGTTATTTTTTTATAGCTGAAGCTGTCATATCGTTATATTTTTACAGGCCTAATGTAGCAAACTACTTCATACCATCTGAAATTAATATTTAAGAAGTACTATTCTGCTAGAAGATTATTATTTGTAAAACAAAACACAGTAATAGTTTCCATTACCATATAAAACATGTTGGATATATTATTTTTCATCAGTATGTATGTATGTATTTATCTATAAATTACACTTGATATTATCGAAATTGACAAACAAAAGTTTTCAATTGTTTTCTTTGATTTTTATAAAATTGTATAATATGTAAGTATGTATTAACTAAACTAACTTCAGATTTAATGAATGCACCCATGGTATTAAAATTGAATTTCAAGTGCAGATAAAATTAAATATGAAAAATAAAAAGGTTTTTTAAAACAAGCATTAACAATTTTACGAATTTAAATTTCATAGTTTAGAAGTGCGTTTACTTTTTTCAGTTAAATTTTTTAGTCAAAAAAACTTATGTTGTACAGTATTAGATAAGACTAGTGTCTTGATATTATTTAAAGTTAATATTATGATATAAGAAACTAAGATCCCCTAGTGTAATGGATATCAACTTAATGTATATATTTATGAATGTTACTTATTTTGGCACAATTTCTGGGTTATTTTCAAATTCAAATCATCCCATTATGGTAAAAAATGATCATCAAGACTGTAATTACTTTTCTAATTTATAAACTTTACTGTGTTTAAATAACAAAGATTTCAATAAATGAGATGCATCAATGTTAGATAATAACTGAAATGTGAAACAAACATTATATTTTTCATATTAATAATAAATATTTAGACGGCATAATTTCTATATAGCAAACCTATTCTAAAGTCAGTTTTTAAAGTACATCCTTAGTACTTCCACTTTATTTAAGTAATAAGCCCAGTAGTTTATTTAAGTAATTGTCCATTCTATTTTAAAACAATTATATATTTTTATAAGTTTACTGTGAGATATGAAATATATTTCAGTGTATTTGACTCTGTTTAGAGACTCAATACTTCACTCATCATCTATTGTTTTGCATTGTAAATATAAATTTCTCATTCGATATTATGATGAAGCAACACCTTGAATTGACAACAAGTTTTTATCTAAGTTTATATATTAATATAAATTCTTATCGCATTGTGACATTGTCTCAGTTGTATGTATATAAATATGGTTGTGAAAGTATGTAATAAAGGAAATTGGTAATGGATAATGTAAATTGATACCATTGTATCAAGTTATCAAGATTAGATATTAACATATTGAACAGGTCACACTGCCAATAGTAAAAACACCACAATAACACCTGGTGACTTCTGTCTGAAACACGGTCTCGCATACAGCTCTTGCGATTCTAGGTTTCGGCGTGGCTTAATAAACTAAGCTGTTTTTTTCGCTCCTTTTTTTTTAATAAAACCAATGAGTACATTACACTTTATAATATTTAAAAAATGTTGATTATGTTGACAAATCCCTTAATTGAAGCGCCAACTGGAATTTAGACAATCAAGTCAGTCCTTATTATTCTACTGAATTGCAATACCTGTCGTCTGAAAACAGTGGTTATAGTTATGGCCTTGTGAGTATTATGTAATAAGCAATATCTGTAACGGATAATTTTTAAAAACAGTGAAAGAAAAAACACTCACCAGTAAAAGATTTAAACTTTGATATTACATATACAGTCTTCTACTGATACGAGTTTTTAACATTATGTTGAAATGTATGCATAATTTTAAATTTTGGATGAAATACGAAATTTATTACGGCACTGTTTAAAGGTAAAAATACTTAGAACACTTGACTGGAAAATACTCGATGCTATATATTGGCCTTTCTCGTAAATATTATATCAATATATAGCATCTGTCATTTAATCAAAATTCATGAAATATTATTTAAAATGTTCACGAACTTTTGTGAGACTTGAAACATGTAATAGAATATGCCACTTTGAAAGTTAACTATTTTACCGTAGATAACAAATCTTAATACAATGTGAAATAGCATGATGATAATGCATTTAATGAACTGATAATGGAGTCTTTGAACTTGCCATTACTATTTTAGTTGTGACATTTTATTTGCATTATTAATAATAAAGGATGATGACTAATATTATCAATTTCGTTTAAATGTAATCATTACCTGTAACCTTTATTAAAGTAAAGATCAACATTTCTGGAGAAGTCAGAGAATAAGTGTTACACTGATATTTCACTCAATAATATAAAATTAATTCATTTCATGGAGCAGACTGCAAATATTATACAATTTCTGATAGGCATACATAAACTCACCAAAACAAACTTATTGTATAATATGTTATTTAAAAAATACTTTTTAATGTTACTTGTTGGTGGGCTAAGTCTTAATAAAATAATGACAGTCATTTGATAAGATGTAAATAATTTATTTAAAAGAAAATTATTTATTATCAGATAATATGCTTCACCCACAACTGATTAAAATACACACAAACAATAAAAAAAAATTTGTGTCATTCAAATTAGTCTTCCAGTTCATTTGCCACTGTATTGAAAGAAGACAACAATTACAAGTAAAAAAAAAAGTGTTTCATCTATATTAACAAACAATGTGGTAAGTGTGGCAATATGGTAAGGTAAGGTAAAAGAAAATAAAAATAGATTTATGTATTTAAACTTCTAATTCTTTGCACATCATTGTCAGCATTGCTGCATTGCTCCTAAAAGTACTTACAATTCTATTACTGTTCCAGATGATAGGTATTCACTGACCTTGCTCATTAACAATATCTTTAAAACAAAATGAAAAAATTACAACACAAATATGGTTGGAATACATCTATTTTTTATATTGTTCAAAACATTGTAACAATATAAAAAGTAACATAAAAAGTCACAATTCAAAAATTTTATTATGACTCACAATACAACATAATAAAAAATTCTTGATCTAGATTTTAAGTTTTTCTTTTTTTATCTTTCTTGGTGGTTTTTTTCAATCTTATGTTTTTGAAAATATTAATGTCTAGTTTTTGGACATGGTTACTCATCATCGCTTAAAATGTTTTTTTGCTAGAAGATATTAAACACATGGGATTTGTAAAATTGATTATGGTACAATCTGTAAAAATATATAACTTGATGTAAAAGAAAGTAATAGGTTAAGATAACCTTAATTTTATATACCACAACAAAAATTAATTCTGGCAATTGTTCAGCAAATTTCAAAGTTGACATTACAATTAAAAAAAAATTTTAACGATATACAAAAAACTGTAATTCATTAATCAACAAGCAGAATTTGTTGGTGGTGTGGTGCAGAACCTATAGTTGTCGAAAAAACAATAATTAAATTTTGTTATTTTCACTAAAGATTCATTATTATTCATTCACATATAATATTGTTATTATATGTGAATGAATAATAATGATTTGAATGATTATGATGAACATGCTACATATATAATCTTAATTCTATATAATGAATATTTATGAACTAATCGTGGACAAAAAAAATGGTATCATGTTATTTTACAAATGTGCTAATTTTTCATGGAATAAATCTTAAAAGTATTACAAATTTACAGTTTTTCTAAATGTGCATATTAATGCATATGTCAACATATAAAAAAACATTTTTGCATTATTCAACCTGAAAAACCAAACATCACAATTCATATGAAACATTTAATGAATTATAATTAATTCTTCTTAAATGGTCACAATGTACACATGTCCTCAGAATCTGTATCCTTCTCCACTACTGGCCTATGCTGGCCTTTTATATCCATTAAACAATCTAAAGACAGCTTTTCCACATCATCCCATGACAATTTATTGAACTTGCTTTGAATTATTTTGAGCAATCTGTTTGCACTATTTGCAGCATCTGAATCATTCATCCCTTGCTTTTTGAAATATTTCAAAGAGACTTCGTAAAGACCCTCGGGCTTTTTAACGACTAGGTTTAATTTGGTTCCATCTTTAATTGATGGATAAGATGCAACTGTTTGTTCGTCATTTAATGTTCTGCCAAGCAAGAGTAATTTTTGTTGTTCTACTGAAATACCTAATTTCTTGAAAACTTGTTGTTTTATTGCAATTATTCGTGTATCTGGTTCTACCTGCAATTTTATAGTGTTAATGTTATAGGAAATAATTTCTTCTACACTGTTATCAATATGTACATTTGAAAAACTTACGTCTAAAATACACTCGGCTCCTTGTAATTTTTTAACTGTTATTTTCATTTTGATATTTGAAAGTCTTTTTAAATATACTTTTTTTTTCTATGATTGTGAAATATACTTTTATAGGTAATCAAAGTAAATCAAATCATTTATTGATTATGAGTTTTATGAGTATGACGATATGAGTATGAAATATGAGTTATGATTTTAAGTATGACTATGACATTGACATTACGCAGTCACAGCAAGCCACAGAACACTAATACAGTCATGAGTCACAGCACAGTCTATAATAGTTATTAAAATTTACCACATGAAATAAGATTGACGCCCGGTTTCTGAAACACTGATCATCGTAGAAGTTAGACCAGCCGTGAGTCTTTCGGCCAAAATGATAAAAATATTATGCAACCGTTTCGTTACTATCGGCAACTTGCTAAGTTTTTATTTGATCTTAATTTTTACTTTTAACTCCCATTAATAATAATAGATCAATTTTCTCCGATCAATCGTCCTTGCCTCGTATATCCTCAACAATGCTGAAGATCGTGATCTCTGTGATTGAGAGTTTTCTATCGGACTAAGTCACGGCACCTAGATCAGTCGGCGTGAATTGTCTTGCATACGGTAGTATTTAGAATATTTAAAGTATCTTAATGGTATTGGTTCAAATTAGATAATTCTTACAAATTTGGCATAACAATAACAGTTGATACGAACGACGAATCTAGTTTGTTACTATTTCAAATATAAATATTATTATAATATTTAATTTCTCCACCACAACTTAATACCTATATCTTTTTCCTTTTTACTGCTTTGACTTTAACTGCTTCAAGCTATCCAATTGTCATTTTCGAAATTTAAATAAAACCAATATTTTAAAATAAGAAACTGCTTTGTGCTTAATTGTTATTCCATCTGATGGTAAGTGGCTAGAACTTAAATACTATTTTATAAAAATCCACATAAATTGGTGCCATTTTTCCTCATTCAGGACGTTGAAGCACATCGCCTAGTGGCGTAGCTAGGTGGACTAGGTCCCCGGTACATAGTGTAAAAAGCGGCTACTCTTCTCTCTCTTTCTACGTAGCTTGAACTAATATTGACCGATTGGCCCTTATAGACTAACTAATAGATAGGAATAAGAAAATAATATAGTGGTATTAATTTGTTTGTACTAGAATAATTCTATATGTAGGGCTAGAATCGTGTTTAATGAAGAAAAATGGTTAATAAATAAACGAAGATGCACATGACAATATAGAAAATATTTATTATACAGGAAAGACATTAATTTTTAGAGAAAAAGAAATCCGGAAGAAGTAAATTATATACAGATGATTTATTTAAACGGGAAAAAAAAATCAAAAATTTCAAGTCAAACTTTAATTTTTCGTCTACAACTTTGGCATCAAACTCTCACTCAAATCCACAAACTATTGGATTGAGTGAGAGTTTAATGCCGCCTTGCTTTCTATTGCAATTAATGTTGAATATCGATGTTGATCTTGTCCAATTTTGTTCTTAAATAATTCGTGATAGTCTTTAGCTTACTGAAAGGTCTTTCTGCTGACGCGGAAGTATCCGGAATTGTGTAAAATTGTAGCATTGTTGTATACATTTCCATAAGGTCACATTCAAGCATGCCAATTTTCAAAGGCTTAAGGAATACTAAAAAAATTGGATTATTAAAACATGTATGGATGGATGTTTGTTACTCTTTCACGCAAAAACTACTGAATAGATTTTAATGAAATTTTCAATAATATAGTTTACACATCATAATAACACATTGGCTATAATTTATAAAGATTGTGTGCATTGTCCAAGCCATCTGCGAGATATTCTGGTGTATAATAAAAAACTCATTGTTAATTCCTTTATTCCACGCGGGCAAAGCCGCGGTTCACAGCTAGTACATTATAAATTTAGCAACTGAACTTGTCATTTCTTATCGATGAGATGCCTAACATCTCCAAAATTTGACGCAAGATGTGATTGTATCTAGGAAAAAAATGTACAATTGAAAAAAAAATTCCGTGGTTTCTTTCCTCACTCATATCCCTCGATGTCCCTTCAAATCCAAAAAAAACTCTTGGCAAGAGTAATTGCCATGTCGCATAATCTCCGAAGACTTGTCACCAAAATGATGCATTTCTGCAAAATTCATCTTGAAATTCCTTGTCAATTGTCGAAAATTTTTGCGACGCTTCATATACAACACATACCTCTGTTTGTGTTTTCGATCAATTAAGTTGCTTAACTCTATCTGATAAACGCCAGCAGTCCTGTATACCCGAGCACTATATATATTTATATATTGGCTTCCACATAGAAGGTAGATATATGCTGTCGCGGACTTTTATTAAGAACTGTTTAAGACACAGAATTCCAAGATACATCTTCTTGTATCTCGAACGGCTTAGGAAAGGCACGCCAAGATACCTCTCAGAGGGCAGAATTTTTTCTTAATACTTATCGTAATTTTATGGCCAAATTACACAAAAACTTTCTAAATTGTAGCTGTATGTATTATTCTACTATAACTTACATGAACTATGATCGTCCGTCTCAAAGAGTTCTATACATTACAATGAATATCATACATAGATGAGAGCACATGCAAGGTAAATGTAATTAGTACCGTTATTGGTTATATAACATTAAAAAAAACCTTGTGGGCATCCTCGATGTTTGCTAGATTCGAGAGTTAGCTGTTCCTTTCTTTTCAAAGCTTAGGGGGCCCTCTGAGCCTCGAGGCCCTGTTGTACTGCACCCACGATAGCTACGCTACCGACATCGACGGATCTGGGTTACTTTTAGCTTTTAGGGGACAACGTTAATTGTTGGAACGACCAGATTTGACGTAGCAAAGTTTTGTTACTTTTCTCTAATTAGGGATAATTATGTTTATAATTATCCCTAATTAGAGAATTACGAACGAAAAAGTATTAACGTAAATAATTTAAAATAAAAATTGTGTCTGGCCATCGAGATTCACGTTAACAACTTGTAGTTTCAAGTCAGCAACGTCAGTTAGTGGCTTTGTAAGATTTCATAAATAAATTAATTACCTAGGAGATAAATGCTGTGCATATTTCCATAACAATGGATTCAAAAAACTTTGCAAAAATTCCAAACTTACATGTTGGAACAGCAAACGAATTACAGAAAGATTTTTCATACAGAACCTTAAGTAGTCCAGTTATAATTTTTGAAGCAAGTGATATTAAGGGTAATAATCAGAATTTAATAAAATAAATTATATATTTAAATACTATATTATATAAAAATTCGGACCAATCAATAAATAAAGTGAAGTTTGAATGATTTGTGAATATTATGAAGATGAATAATTTCAATGAATTTATGTAGGAAACTTCATATTAATAATTCGAGATTTTAAAAGGAGCAAGACCGCCTGTAAAAATAGTGAATTATAACTTTCTTAACTTGAGTTTGTTTACTTGTCGAAAAAAGATTTCAAGTGTTATTCATGTTTTGACGTGGATTGGCAAAAGTACAAAAAGTAGGTAATGATACAGTATTGGCTTTTTGTTGGCAGCGCCACCTATTGTCTGCTGTCAAAGGCTGAACTTTTAGACTTGGCCCGGATCGGTAGCCTAGGAAACGGGTGTAGCTACAGACAACAACACTGAATACCGTGTTACATAAAAATTGCAAGAAATTGGCTCAGAAACTGCGTTTTAAGCTAAAAAATAACTCTTAAATAATCTACATTTTCTTAAATTTGTGCAAGCATTGCTTTAGAGTGATGATAAATTTGACAGTTTAGTCTCACTGGCACTGTCTCGGTTTTATACGTTCTTATCCAGACGGAATAAGGTAATGTACCTTCTATAATCGCAATAGAATGTAGATAATTCAGGGATCGCCGAGCGGCCGGGCGTCCTTCCCAGTCCCCTCGCCTCGCCTGTTTGTGTCCCGAAAAAACGATTAGGTATCAATTTTATCATCGCCGTCGGAGCGGGAGGGCTGGGACGGCGGTGCCAGTCACTGCCATCCCGGGCTTATTTACATCAGTTACCGATTAAATACAAGTATTGGCGGCCTTTCGTCAATATCGCAATAGTATTATGAACAACATTACGCTACAACGTTCCCCTTTATTCAAGGCATTCATTTTCGAAAATCAAGTCGAGATTTCTTATGATATTATATTTTCTGTAACTATATAAAGGAGCTATATTTTACCAAAATAAATGTATTGCGATGAAATGTATTGCTTTTAAAATGCACTCTTATCATGGGGGTTAATTAAATTTGAACAAGTTTCAATATTTTTTCCAAGATTGTACATATACTCTTAAATACCTTATCATTTTACGAAATATCACATAACACTCATGAACAGAACATAAATGTGTAGACTCTTTAATTTTCACAGTGGAAACAACACAAAATCAACAGCCACATAAGCTGTAAGATTAGTAATTACAACATAGTAAAGAAAAAATATGAACAAATGAACAAAGTAGCTAAAATTATCAATAACATGCGGGTAATGCTGTTCAACAAAGCATATTGCACACTAAACAGCAGGTGTCGTCACTGAGGCATGACATGCCACCTGCCCTCCCCCTCCAACAAAGCTAACGCACCACTCACCTCAGTTCATAGTCAAATTAAAAGTAAACTAGAGAGGACAAGATACACAGTAATCTGTACTATAGCAACGGTTTGATCAATACCCCAGTTGGTGTACGTCAGTGGAGGCACAATAATGTGTTGTTGAACAAAGTTGATGTCTAGTGTTGAAGTTTAAATTAAATTGTTGTGAAAATGTCTGAAATGGGTTTCGAGAATGTGTTCTATTTAGAAAGTGAGTGTTGTACATAGTCTAAAATGAAAGTAAAGGTGAAACGGAGGGATGAGGTGTTGCCAGGATACGCTCCCCAGATACTCTCCGCACCCCGAGCTCCGGGCAAATCAATAACATCTCTTTTGCTTGGGATAGTGTTATGCAATGATATTTTTATTTAATCTATTTAAATTATTAAATATTTTAATGTTCATATAATATAACCATATTAATCAAACATTGCTGAAACTTATGATTATGTGTTGATTTATATTTTTTTTGTATTGAATAGTATAATTTGAAAAATATGTTGGACATGTTTAATATGATTTCTATAGTAATAAATGTTATTAAATGATAAAAAATGTGAAATGAAATCTAATGTTAATTAAAACAGTTGTGGTTTGCTGAATTTTTACTTACATCTTTTTAAGGACTTGTTTGCTTTTGGGGAATGACTGCTATTTTTTTGTTTTAAAATATGCAAGTTAAAAGTTAACTAGTTTGATCTATTAGTTTGGGATGAAACATCGATTTTCCGTTTGGGGTCTAAAGATGTCGAGTCTGTTTTTCACAGATTTCGAGTGCGCGGGCGACGAGGTGCTGGTCGAGTCATCGCCGCCCGCCTCGCCGGATATGGCGGCGAGGCTAGCCGCCCCTACCCAGGTTTGTATTGTTGGGATATCACCTTAATGGCATACGATTTTTTTTAATTTGAGACGGTGGAAAGCTTACCGTTCGCCGCCTGCGGCCCCACACCGCCATCCGCCGCCGATGGACATTTGCCACACCCGTGGGGCTGCAGATGCGTTGCCACCTTTTAATAAAGTGGGCCCCGGCTACCTCACTCACCAGACGAAACGCAGAAGTATGACACTTCCACTTCACGCCGCTCCTCTGTGAGATCGTGTTACTTATCCGGATGGACCTGCCCATTCGTGTAACAGCCTATGGTGTTGCGTGGCCCTACCACGGTACAATGTTGTTCCTTTCAACCACACTGTATCTACAGCCTTCAGGTTTTCATGGGCGGTAACTACTATTGGGCTGTTCCGTTCGCCAGAATCACCAAATTAAGAAGGCGTACATTGTAAATGAGTGTTTTCACGGCTCGAGATTTACGTGATCCCCAGGATCGGAAGCTACGACGTCGCCCAATAAAGATAAGAAATAGGAAATCAAAGTCACATTAAACAAATGGTACGAAATGCGATGTCGGATCTTCTCAAATATTTTCAGTGTGTATTGTGTCCATTGCTAAATATAAGTCTAATATTTTCAAATGTCAATCAGCGCATAAAGTGCCTTTCGACTGAGTCATACAATGTGTACGTGTACGTTGATTGGGCGTGCCTCAAATAACCTGATACTTTCAAGTCCAAATTGACGTTCAACGTCTCGAGCATACGTATATACCTATCTATCCTATCGACTTCCCATATAAAAAATACTTTAGCTGGTAATATTACTTAGCGTTTAGCTTAAAATTCCTACTCCTACAAGGGTCTATTTAAGCAGGGATGCAACACAGTCACCATCTAGACTTGGTGTCTGATTTTTTATGTGAGAAGGTGACAAAAGAGCTGGTGGTTTACCTGATGTTAAGCGATAACCGCCACCTATGATGTTTGCAACACCCGCAGGGTTGCAGACGCGTTGCCACCTTCTAAAAAAGTGGGTCCCGGCTAACTCACTCACCAGACGAAACGCAGAAGTATTCACGCCGGTCGTACAATCGCGTAGACGATGTGGTGGCCCCACCACTTTTGGGACTGTTGGTTTTGTGAACGCTGTGCCTACTCACGAGAGCCGGTGTGGTGTAGGGCGCCGCCACGTCGGCTGGGGACACCTCCCCTACCACCGTGCGGGAGCTCATCGTGATCCCGGAGCTGCCGAGTTCCATACACCTGCAGCACGCCATTCAGCAGGTATGGGGTAGCTGCTGCAAGATTGGGCCCTAATAAATTGCTAGGGAAAAGAGTCGGTAGCTTTGATTTTTGTATCCCATTTCGCAGAAGGTTGTTTCTCTAAGAAGAGAAAAGTTGACGCTTTGCACAGCACAATTAAGTGCAGCCTTGATCATTGATGCTATTATCTCGTCTCCTTTTTCTGATTAAGATGCCGTGTAGTTTAGATTTATAAGTTACTGCGACATCATATAATGTAATTGTGTGATTTTTATAACGTTATTTGTATTCGTAACGATACTGATTTTAATTATCATCTTTAGTTCCTCAATATCTTCTTAAGTTTATTGAATTATTCACATCGACAGTTCTGAATTAACGAGGTGTGAAATTTCACGGATATTACTCTGAATCCCGTTGTTATTATTAAAACTTTCCGAATCTAGGATGAATGTAGCCGTAACACGTCGCCAAGAAGAATTAACCGAAGGTAACAGAACAGGGTGTTTATGTTCAAATTCTGAAGTGACCATGTTGACGTTTTTATTGTCCTCGAGTTATCATCATCATTTCAGCCTATTTGTCCACTGCTGAACATAGGACTCTGCCACAGAGTGCCAAGAAACATGTGGCCACGTCGACGGATGCAGGTGGCTCAAAATCGTGCTCTCATGCTGTAGACAATCTCTAAAAAGAAATCATGTATCTGAAACAGCACCGTTCGGTTTTGCAGGTCTCCAACAACGTGGTGGAGGTGAACGGTGACAGCTCCGGCCAGTCCAGCCCGAATGCGGAACAGCATACGTACATCGCTGTGACAAGTGAGTAGCTACTCTATCACCACGTCCCACCCGCATGGCGCATTAGTTGCTGTTTAGATATCGTCTTTTTTTTTTAATTTCCAAACTGGCCGAAATTCGACCAGGTATTTTTTAGGTCACGGTGTTCACAAGAGCTTCAAACGAGTCTCAGTTATAAACACGAATTTGGCTTCGATTTTGTTAAGTACCGCAACAATTGTAGACGTAAAAAGGAAATATTTTTCAATTTCCGAGTTGCCTACGATGAGTTCGATCATAAACACAATTTTGGGTTATTTTGTTTGTTATCCAACGTAACATTTATAAATAGACCTATTATAATTAAACTTCTTTTATCCGCGAAGCTGTTATGTAATTGAACCACGTGTTTCGATTCTTCACAAATATCTTTGAATACAGTTTTTAAATTAGACTGCACTCTCATTTCTAAAAATTTCGCTTTCCTTAATACCGGTTGAATTCGATTCGAGGCGTTTGAATTTACTCCAATGAATATAAGGAATTACAATAGTGGCTGTAGTTGTGTGCACGTAATTTAGTGGTGTGTCGTGAGCACAATTTCGCACAAGTCTTTATGTGTCTGTGTTGTGGCGTGCACAGTGCAGGGGGCATGGAAGGACGGTGACGCTTCCCAAGTCAAGGCGGAGGACCTCAGCGACCAGGAAAGCAAGTGTTTTTTTTTTCTTTTCATTCTTCCCTTTTTCTTTTCATTCCTATCTTCTATTACAGCTTTGCATGCTGAGTGTTTTGTTGACGGAATGTTTTGTGTTCTATTTGTAATGTTTATTTGTAACACACAACACGTAGAACTTCGATGTATGTTTGATCGTATTGTAGTTTCGGATCCTAGACTTTTCGAATTTTGTTGTTCATCGCATTGTTTTATTACGGGAGCCTTTTATACTATTAGGCTTGTTATTTATTAATGGTGACTTGGATTGCGTAAAAATTGATAGAGTTACGACGGGGCCTGCTTTTAACAACGTGGTCATATTGTGTTGAATGATACTTTTGCCTTCAGTTCACTTTGTAAAGAGGCTCAGAGCTCGTCGAGAAGCTATTATAGCGTAAACGCCGTCAGATAGCGGTTTTTTTTATCATATAATCGGGAGAATATATACATTTAGACTGCAATATCCTTAATTTAGATTAATCTTAAAGTTGTGGGGATATAGCACTACCTTGTGAAACGCATTTTCCGTTTCCAGGTTTAAAAACTCCTAGAAAACCCACACGCATGTAAAACCCTGTATCCTGACAGACATATTGAGTGAATACTATATAGTATAAAATTGAGCAGATTAGCAGAGTCTGAGGGAATTTAAGCTGTTTGCATTCCAATGAGATGTTCGGGTAGTGGTGTTTGTGGCTTTTTGACTCTTCATCTTATTCTTTCATTAACGACACTTAATTTTATATTAACCATTGGTGTTAAAAAAAAACTAATCTGAACTCACCATTTATCGCAACGACAACTGCAACTAATAACTGAGCTTTTGGAAGTTGGGAACATTGAACCTTTTAGGCGCTTGGTTTTTAACTTCTATTTCACTTTTTTAAGCTGACAATGTTAAAACACCTATCGAACTTGAATAGTTCACCGCGAATGAACTTTGAACGGTATTTTATTATGCGGCCCCACATCGTCCGATCTACCTGCTCTCGGTGGGAGAGATTTAGAGTGCTCATTATAAAGAGGGCAGACGTTGCGAATACAGGCTCAGCTTCCACCACGGAAGCCCGACGCGGGCTTTTCAATTAGAGAAATACATTGCAAATCTCACCCCTTGACGTATCATATCGGGGATTTCATTCCACCTGTTAAAGCTGTTCAGGGACGCGGTAATTTGTACCCTCCCCATTCGTAATTAGGTCGCGAATCGGATAGCGCACGGGCGATAGGATAAAAACTTGATAATACCGGATAATTGTTGATGCCCCATCGGATTATTCAGGTGGATGCGCCTAAATGGTGCATTGTGAGGGGACGCGATACCCCCATTGTGATATGCGATAGTCCACCTGCGTTGCTTACCTTTGATATGGCACGTGCCGCCCGTTTTATTGGACTCACCGTCTAATGTGTGTGGCACACGCGTAACGCGCGAGGTACATAGTGAGGTATATGCGCCGTTTGCTCGTGTGTGTGTGTGTTGACGACATTGATTTGTTTCGTCGAAAATCATGCGCGGACCTGTTTCCGGCCATTGTTTTGGCGTTTTGATTTTTTGTAAGAGCTCCTTTTTTATTTATTTTTTATTTTTGTGTTCCGAATTCATTCGGATGGCGGTCCATCGATAGAGTTCTTTAGAGGTTTTATGAAAAATTTAGTTTTTAAAATCAATTCTGATAGTTTTGGTATGATTTTAGTATTACCTACGTATACCAATAATAAAATTGTAGTCTCCGTCTGTGATTTCAGAAAGAAAGAAAGAAAGGAGAAAGTTTTATACGATGAAACGAAAATTGTATACGATGCCTTTAATGACTATTTATAGAATTTTTGTCTTTTTGAGCCTACCTTTAAAAAACTTCCGTTTAACAAATTTTAATGGAAATTATAGGGTTTTTTTACTTAAATTTTCGAGTATAGTATACATTTCAAATGTCTATATCTTGCAGGGCCTACATGATAATTTTTTATAATTAATGTAGGTAATTTTTTTTTTTCATTTATATCGATTAATTCTAAGGTGGTAAAATTCGCGGGTATAAGCTGGCTTAATAAATTTTAAACATTGATAATTAAAGTATATGTTTACTACTATCCTTATGTCGTTACATACGTACAGTAAAATAATATTGCCTCTTTTGGATGCCTACAAACTTTACCCGAATTGATTCAATTGATTGTATGTTGCTCTGGCTGCCATTTCTTGTTAATTTCTACAGATACAATCATATATTATTTCGAAAATATGCAGGTTTCCTCACGATATTTTCCTTCACCGCGGAGCAAGTGATAAGTCAGCACTTAAAGTTAAAAACTTCATTAGTGCCGGCACCGGGGATCGAACTCAGGTTGCTCGAGTATATTGAAGTAAAGGCGAGCGCCCGGACACTGAGCTATCACGTCTCTAAAAAAAAATCACCAAGATTGTAATAAATATTACTCTAAATAACTTGTATGAATTTCATTTCTCATTTCATTCTATACATTTTTCTATACATTTACACGGAAAGCGATAGCTCTAATGAAATTACTAAAATTCGTTTTATTAATGTAAATGCCACAAGTTATTTAGCGTCAATATCCTCCTCCGTGGCGCAGTGGCCAAGGTGTTGGCTTCGGCGTCGGGGCTCGTGGGTTCGATTCCCACACGGGACAACTATTTGTGTGACCCACAGATAGTTGTTGCGTATCTGGGTGTTTGTCCGCGTGAAATTTATGTTTGTAAAACGTCCTTACAACACAGGATAAAGTTATCCTAAAGTTAGGGCATTTTTTTTTAAATATAGATAAAAAAAAATTAACTTGACTGCTAATTTACCGTAATTTACTTTTTTGGTGTGTAACTTGGAGTGGAGGCTGGAACTTAATAATTAGTATTGCCAGCTGCTTCTGTTGTTGGGCGACTCGCGCCTGTGAAAAAGTGAAAATGTTTTCGTGGGCCCAAAAAATCTCATTAAACCAAATTTGTTCTTTAACTTAATCGTGGTTTTTCAATCGATAATTTAATTTCTTCTAAAACGTTTCGCTGATTGAGTTAAACATTGATTTACAACCCATGATCATGTAGATATGTAGTGATGGAAAACTGGAATTCTTAATTTTGGTACCGCTACGCGGCAGCTTCTAGAATTGATATGCTTTTATAATTTAATTCATATTATTTTAGCGTTTTTGTTTTGTTCCAGTGACGTAATTGTAAGTTACGTCTGTTAAAGTATTGTCGAATCCACAACACAAGATTTTTTTTATTTATTACTAGCGGAACCGACGGACGATGTCCTGTAAACACGACTGAAATCCGAAAACTACTTACAAATAATAAAAAAAAATTGTAGTGGACCGAATTGTGAATCTAAACCATTCTCGCATCGACCTGAAGACATACACAAAATTTCATTAAAATCAGTCCAGCCGTTTAGGAGGAGTTCAATGACATACACACGTACAGAAGAATTATTATAGATAAACTTAATGTCAAAACTATTGCGGCTTACGTATGTATGTGTTAAAAGAGTTTACATATTGTAATGAAAATAGTAGTTCAGATTATTACAGTATAATAGTAAATATTGTAAAAACTCGTCTTCGAATAACAAAAATTGAAACGAGTAAACTGTGTTTCTAAAATTAATAAAGTAGCTATTTTACATACATTTAATAAAACATATTGGTTAATATAACTTATAAAAAAATTAAAAGTATTATTGACAAATATGTTTTATTTTATTATGTAGGAACCGTGCAACTGTATTTCTCATTATAAGTGATCGGTTTTTATGTGCAATAAATTCTTTAAACCTAAATATTAAGATTAATAAAAAGTAGCACTAAAACGTTCTGTTATTCATTTTTGTTCAAGTATTGTTAGGAAATCTTCAGTAAAACCAACATTGACCTTTAATCATGTCAATTCTTATTTAAAATCGGAATTAAATCTGAGATCGAAGGAATTAATAATGCTATATAGGAGAGAGCATAATTATTCATTCGATTATTGCGTAACTTTGTAACTCGACAGTTTTGAGACGACTGCTTTTGCGTAACGTTTGCGAGTTCCGAGCGAAAGAGAAAAACAAACTCGTTGTAAGCTGAGAACACGGGTGCTGGGTAAAGCGAAAATCGTGATAGTAATTTACCGGGAACTGTGTACCGGGCCGGTCGCAAATTAGTATATAAATCCGGGGAGGGGGGGGGGGGGGGTGCACTGTTTGTGTATCGCAAGGTGGCTACGGCCGCTACAGGTGGGGTGGCATGGCGGTGGGGGAGGGGGGCGGGAGGGGTGAGGTCGCGGGGTAGAGGGGGAGGGATGCTGGCGTCCGCGGACGAGTTGCCCGGGAGATCTCCGTCGGTATGGAGGTGCCTCGATACCGCTCCTATTACCCATGTGAGTGCTCCCCCCTCTGTCTACCCTGGCACGGATCGTATGCCGTCTTCGGGCTGAAAACCGTTTGAATTTAGAGCGGCCGTCGCGTTCTTTGTTCTTTCGTGTCGCCTAGGCAACGGCGGTGTCACTCTGGATTGCCGCAAAGTCGGAGCCGCCGCATGTATCGATTGCTTTAATGAGATACGCGGTTTTTAGGCGATTTATTCACTTGAACTATGACGTCACTTCCTGCTATGAGTATCTTCGATCGTTTCTTTGATTTGCTCGCCAAGGGCTGTGTTAGTCTCTTGCACGTGAAACTCCCGCGTGTTGGTATCGGCGCTAACCTCTAACGCTCACGCGATACTAACCGATTGTTCATCTGTTATCCGTGTACCTTTTGGTGACGTCCGTTTGTTTCCACGTTACAGGCGAGGGTGGTAACGGTGTCAACTACCACGTGCAGTATGTGGAGCCGCAGGAGATATACACTCAAGGCGCGCAGGGCCACATGTAAGCGAATCACAACTACGTATGTCTGTCTGTGTATGTCTGTGTATATTTAGGTCTTTAGTTCAGTGCGGTAGGGCCACGTAGCTTCTATCGTGGAGGTCAAGATCATGAGTATCATGAATGGGCAATGGGCAGGCTCGTCCGAGGAATTATAAAGGCCACGCAGAAGACCAGACTGAAGTGGAAGAATTATACTTTCGAGTTTCTTCTAGTGAGGTAACCGGGGCTCATTTTTTTTAATGTTGGCAACCATCAGTGTTGCAGATATCCAATTCCGATTTTAATATAATGGCTCCATCGAGGAATAACTTGATGATTCTGCCAATGTCAAGGTTGTATAAAACAGATAGTAGAAGTGAGATTAGCCAGTAATAATAGCTTTTGTACTTTAGGTAGACTATTGCACGGATCCAGTTGAGTTTGCAGATATCCATGGCTGGCGGTGATCACACTTGACACTAGGTGAGCCGTCCGCTCGCTTGGTAACAATTCACTTTTAAAAAATCTGAAATTCCACATAATTCTAAAACTGCGTTTCTATCTGTACCTTTGGAAAAGTCGTGAAATTAATAACACAAGGATTCAAAAAAACCGACAATATCGTTTTGTTATAAAGTAAAAGTAAAGTAACTGTAACTGCATATATGACTGCGGCTTGGCAGACTTCACATATCTTCGAAATAATTTTTATTTTATTACTTCTAAAATATGCAGTTTTCCTCACGATGTATTCAGCGCTGAGCACTTGATATGTCAGTGGTGCCGGCACCAATGATATGTAAAATTAACATTTCATTGGTGCCGGCACCCGGGATCGAACTCAGGTTGCTCGAGTATATTGAATTAAAAACGAGCGCCCGGACACTGAACTTGGTGTTAGAACAGGAGCGATTTTAGATTATTTTACATGTATGTTTGGAGTTGAAATCTCACATATATTGTTTCCATGGTATGCGTGACCCACGGAAAAATGTAGCGTGGTTGCGGACCAAAAACGTTAAAATTTGTGGGAAAATGGACGTAAAGTTTATGAAGACGGGAATCGAACCCGCTTCTATCGGATTCGCGCCCAGACGCTTTAAAAACTAAGCTGACCTCGTGATTGCCACACCGACAAAAATCTCATCGTATTTCATCTAAGCTGTTTTCAAGCAATGCTTGGCGGCGGATCTATTGTTATTTTCTCAAACATTTTCAATATCAAAAATCTTTTTACAACTATAATTTGAACGAGAGATCTGACCATTGCTATTTGAAATTTTAAATATACGTTAAAGTTTGTGGATAGATGGACGTAAATTTTTCGCCGCCGCCGAAATAGAAACCGCGTGTTTCGGATTCGCGCCCAGACGCTTTAACTACTAAGCTAAACGGACGATTGCCGCGCCACCGAAAATATCAAAGTATTTTGTCTACTTTGTTTTTTTTTCGCATTTTTTTCAAACACGCGAGTGTATACTTATATAAATGTGTTCGAGCGGTTGAAGTTTGAGAGTGTTCTCCATATTTATAAGAAAAAATTATTATAAAGAGTAGGATATCTCCATCATGAGACGTAGCCATGATGTGCACTAAGTAACATTTTTTTATAACAAATGGGGATGTTCAAAATGAGTGGACATTGCGAGATCATAAGAGTGGCGAGTGTGTTGGCAATATTATAATGTGCCTTGGATGCTTAGGTGCCGTGATAGCTCACTGTCTTGACGCTCGCTTTTAATTCAATAAATATACTCCAGCATCCTGATTTCGATCCTCGGTGCCAGGCACCAATAATTTTAAGTGCTGACTTATCGCGCGCTCAAGGGTGAAGGTAAACATCTTAAGGAAACCTGCATATTTTACAAAGTTATAACGAAAAAAATATTTCCAAAGTACGTGAACTCCGCAGTATACCTAAAATAAATAATTTCTTGTTTTTCATACATTAATATGTGTTTCGTACATTTGGCAAGCATTATATTCTGTTGAATTTCTATACTTATAATAAAACTAATTACAATAAAATGTTCGCACATGGCAACAATATGTAACTAGCAATGTCTTGTAGAATTTAAACTAATGAATGCTGAATTTGTGGGGGAGGCCTATGCCCACCACTATTAAAATTCACGAGGAGCACCGATGAAGTCTTATTCTGAAAGAACGTTATTGCAATTTTGTTTGCAACTTTATAATGCTGAATCTCTGACATGTTATACGAACCCGTGGCGACCTATCGCTTGCGGTAAATCTTAGAAAACGTTTAAACTTCCTGATAAAGATAACACTTTTTAATATTTACCACTGCGGCTTCGCATGTGCAATGTATTTTATATACGTATAAACCTTCCTCTTGAATCTAGTAAAAAAACTGCATCAAGATTCGAAGCGCCGTTTTTGATTATATCCTCTCGTATCTACCCTTATCGCGTATGTGTACTGCGTACCTAGAATACACTTAATGAACAAAATGTATATGCATTCTCCTCTCAACGTAGACTAGGGCTCAAGCAAAAAGCCAATAAGCCAGATAGGGCCTACGCTCAAAAAGATTGGCGACCCTTGACCGCGACTTCGACCGCAACAGTCGACGGCCCTTAGATGACATACCATAGTTAAACGCACGCATGAGCACATGCGCGGCCCAACCTGCGTCAGATGAAGCTTTAATAGTCTCGGGACTGACTCTGCGGCCTCGAATCCGTGTCCGTGTCCAGGGAGCCGCTGCGCACGTACCCCGTGTACGGCGTGGCGAGCGTGGCGAACGGGTCCGTGGCCGGCGTGGGCGTGGCCGTGGAGGGCGTGGCCGTGGAGGGCGCCGCGGAGGGCGCGTGGGCGGGCGAGTTCGCCTTCAGCGGCGCCTCCGGGGAACCGGACGCGCCCACCTCGCCCGGCCCCTCGCCCCGCATGCCCCCCGCCACCGTGCAGTGGCTGCTCGACCACTACGAGACGGCCGAAGGTGAGTAAGCGGAGTCTTCGCTTTAAGTGTGGCAGAGCCACGCAACAGACGGGTTCGCACATCACGGTGTACATACGTACCACATCTTACATAAAAATACCCCCTCCCCCCATAATCCTCAATTCGTCGGTCTTGACTTTTCACGGTTATATCACTCTTTGTTTCCATACAAGGAACATTTTTTTTTTGTTTGATTGTGATGCGGTCTTAGCATTCTGCTTGCTTGGCATTTACTAGGACAACTATCATGAAATCTAATAGCACAGCATGATTCAAATCTAGCGAGTTTGCTTTGAGTTAAATCGTCTCGTCTGAGGCGTGCTTTAAGTGATTACCGCCCCCAATGGAATAGTTGACGGCTTGTCACAGGTGCGTTGATAAAATTTAGACGAAGAGACCTAGTTATATCACTCACTCGAAGAAATTCAACGTATAACACTTACAATCTATATCAGTTCTCTGACCTGACCTGAACCATAACAACAAGAGCTGCTTCGATTCAGACGTATCTACATAAGATCTGTATAGAGAATCAGGGACCCAGAGAATGTGAGCTCATGGAAACTGCGGGTCCGATGAAACTACAAATATATATTTACGCGATTACACATTACAAAATGAAACAATTTTTTACGGGTTTATCGCGTTCATTTTCAGTTTAAGTTTTTGACGTCGGCATTAATGGTCACGTGATATACTGTTATAGTTGGCACGGGCTACCGTCCGATTTTGAATTATCAATCAAAACTCATCTACCGGCCGACTTTCGAATTGGACCTTCGCTTCGGCCTTAGGCGTCTCGTTGCCCCGTTCGACTCTGTACGCCCACTACTTGCGGCACTGCACCGCGCACCGGCTGGAGCCGGTGAACGCGGCGTCGTTCGGCAAGCTGATCCGCTCGGTGTTCGTCGGCCTGCGCACGCGCCGCCTCGGCACGCGCGGCAACTCCAAGTACCACTACTACGGGATACGCGCCAAGCCGGGCCACGAGCCCGCGCCCTCGCCCGCCGACAAGCACGACCTCTCCGAACACGATTCGCAGGTGACCACCCCCACCACTAAACGCCCCCCAACACCCCAGCCGCTAGTGCTATTTTCCACTTAACCTGCATAGATCTCTATTGGTTTACGAGAGTATACATACTCTCCTAGAAGTCTAGACTGTATGTGCTATTGTGAGACAACTGAGTAACAGTCTTTATTTTGTTTATACTGATTACACAAAATCGGGCTTTATCACGTGACTGTAATAGGAATGCAAAGAGAAGCAATCTATCACTGCCGGCAAAGGGAGGTGGCAGGATAAATTGAAGCAATCGCTAGAAACGGTGAAGTATGACGCTTCCACTTGACGCCGGTCTTCTGGAGGAGGTCGTGGTACTTGAGAGGACTAGCTCACAGCCGCATTAGAACAGAGAAGCCGCTTGAACACAGGAGGAGCGCGAGCCGGAGCCGTCGGTGGGCGCGGGCCCGGTGGGCGGGATCGGGATGCACCGGCAGTACCTCGGCTGCGCGACGCCGCCGGACCCGCCGCCGCTGCGCCTCGACCACCTGCCGCCCGACGTGCCCCCCGAGGCGGCCGAGGCGCTGCGCAGGCACCACCGGTAAGCGGGCGCCGCCGTGACTGTGCCCACTGCGGCAACTTGTAACACCAGCGTAACTGGTAACGCTACCGTAACTTTAAAACATGTAGAAAAAGTACGAGAAGATTGTCGCCGCTGCGGGAATCGTACCCACGTCTTCGGCATTCGCGGCCTGACGCTCTAGCTTCTGAAAATCTTAACGCCTTCTTTCTACATTGTTATTTAGCATTTGAAGCAATGCTTGGCGCAGCTATTGTTATATTCTTTCCAGCATACCTACCGTAACTGTTAACATTATCACAGCTGGTAACACGTGATCACACACAGCTAGTAACATTACCACGGCTGGTAACATTACGATAGCCACTGACACTATCGCACACAGCTAGCAACACTACGACAGCTACTGACACTGCTATAACTGGTAATAACTCCTACATTGGTGACAGCAGCACAAAGCTGTGAACGGCTAAAAAGCTTCTGCCAGGCGCGTGGTAGTCTCCAACGGGGAAGAACCGCAGTGTCTGTGTGAATAATTCACGACAGCATTTCATCTGGCGCACTCCCTTACACGCTTATAGCCGTGATAGCCCAGTGTCCGGGCACTCGCCTTTAATTCAATATACTCGACATTAGTGAAGTTGTTTCATTGCCGAATTATAACGTGATCAGCGGTGAATATGCAGGTTTCCTCACGGTGTTTCCGTGAGGATAATATTTTTCGAAATAATAATAAAAAAATATATATTTCTAAGATATGTGAAGTCCGTCAATCCGCAGCGGGGCGCGTGGTGGACTATTCCCCTCAAACCTCTACACAGGACAGCCCTTTGCCCTGCAGTGGGACATGTATAGGTTTACGCTTTACTCGCCACCTTAAGCTGACCTCTTACATCGGCGCAGCGAGCACGGCGCCGAGTTCCTCGCGGCGGTGGCGGCGCTGGACGTGGGCGCGGTGGAGCGCGCGCGGCGCGCCTTCTGGCGCCGCCCGCTGGCGCTCTGCCGGCGCACGCTGCTCAAGCTGTTCGCGCGCGACGACGTGGCCCACTGGCTGCGGCGCGCCGACCTGCAGCTGCACCAGCGCGCCGTCGACCTGCTGCTGCCGGACGTGCTGCGCCCCATACCCTCGCAGCTCACGCAGGTGCGTTTTGGAAAGAGGGGGACGGACGCTCGACAGTCGAGTAGACACGGTTGAGCGTTGTCGGTTGGTCGCGTCTTGCAAGTCCCGTCGAGCGCCAAAGTTTAAAATTTGTTAGTGGAAGGTAGTGGCTGGATGAGGAAAGCGGAAAATTGTGCATGTGGCGTGCCCTTGGGGAGCCAATAGGCTGACTAATGCTTCAAACAAGTTGTCCACTGTCGTCCAACGTCCCGTGCCGCTAAGAGACCTCGAGCAAGTTGCGCGTGCCCGCAGTCGATCCGCAACTTCGCGAAGAACGTGGAGTGCGCGCTGTCGGAGGGGGGCGGCGCGGCGGCGGGGGCGGCGGGGCGCGCGCAGGCCGCCGCCGCGGGCGCGCTCTCGGCCGCGCTGCGCCGCTACACCTCGCTCAACCACCTGGCGCAGGCGGCGCGCGCCGTGCTCACCAACCACACGCAGATACAGCAGGTGGGTGGCCGATGGTCCGCTCGACGCTCTAGCTCCGCGTTTCTAATCAATCAATCAAAAATCTTTATTCAAATAGACGCTTGCGCTTTCTTATGAATCGTCAAATTTTACATAAAACATTATACATAGAGGTTCGTAAGGTACCACCGGTTCGGAAAGCAGTTTCTGTTGAGAAGAGACCGGCAAGAAACTCAACAGTTGCTCTTTTTCAAAGATATCAGTTTACAATATAAAATACCGGTATAATAGTCTTATTCTACCCTACGTGAGTATCAACAGTATTAACTCTACACATTGGCGTCGTGGAGATATTCCGCAATAGTGTAATATGCTTTAACCATAAGTTGACTATTGATTTTACGTTTAAATTGATCAAGCGGCAGACTTAATATCGACTGTGGGTTTTATTATAAATGCGCACATCTTGCCCCATGAACGATGATGATAATGTAGCACACCGCGTGAGTCGTGCTCATAAACCAAACGCAGATCCACCGGGTCAGTGATCCGGTGACGAGGACCAATGATCCGCTCGACGATTTATCTCCGCATTTGTAATGTGGCACGCTGCACGCGGCATACCCGCAAACCGCACGGAGATACAGCAGGTGGGTGATCCGGTGACGAGGACCAATTAACGCTTAGCTCTGCGTTTGTAATGTAGCACAACGCGCGCGCCGTGCTCACCACCTGACGGTGGTAGGGCCACACAGCAGCCTCGGCTATTGCACGAATGGGCCGGCTCGTCCGGGTAAGTACCACGACTTCACAGAAGACCGGCGTAAAGCAATTTTGAACAGCGGATGATCCGGCAGCGAGGACCATTGATTCGCTCATTGCTTTAGCTCCGTGTCTGTGAAATAGCACGCCGCTCGCGCCGTGCTCACCGACCACACGAAGATACAGCAGGTGATCCGACCGCGAAGACCATTGACTTTCTCAACGCTTTAGCTCCGCGTTTGTAAAATAGCACGCCGCGCGCGCCGTGCTCACCAACCACACGCATACATATACAGCAGCTGATCCGGCAGCTAGGACCAATGACCCACTCAATGATTTTGCTGAGAGTTTGGCCGGCCGATAATTACTGCTGAGATCGTAAGATAATTTAAATTTTAAATTAAAACTTTTTTTTATTGCTTCCCGATGATTGATTCCCTATTGTATATTTGTGAACAACAGGTGAAATTGTCTTGGATATGGATTTTTGTTCATGTGAAATTTCACATGTGTGCGTAAAAGGCTCTTACAACATAGAATAATATGAACATAGAAGAATACGGGGACGAGAAAGACGGGTGCACCAAAAATTTGTTCTCTTACGCTAAACTCATCATCATCATTTCGACCTGTTAGAGTACATTGCTGAACATGGGACCCCCCCCCCCCCCCCCCCCACCTTCCCTACAGACTTCCTGCGCATTTGTCACTGTTACATGGTTTTATTTGACACTAACTTTAAATGTACTGGGGTTTTGCGAGTAGTTGCGAGTGAGCTCACGAGGAAGCGATAGATCTCTATATAATAATTTTATTTTATTTTGTAATAATAATTTTTAACAAAAAAAAACTGACTTCAAACAGAAAACTAAAAACATTGTGTAACGTAAGTGATGCCATCATCAGATCCGGGTTCCCTTATCATGGTATCACTCTTGGGATATCTCCTCTCCAACAAAAAAAGAATCATCAAAATAGGTTCATAAACGACGAATTTATCCGCGAACACACATAAAAAAATAAAAATATATACGGTCCAATTGAGAAACCTCCGTCTTTTTTGAAGTCGGTTAAAAAATAGGACGCAAAGTTTTTCGTCGTTGCGGGAATCAAAGCCACGTCTTCTGTATTCGACGCCAGACACTTTAACCACTAAGTTAAAAAGCTGATTGCTACAGCGAAGAAAATCCCGACATATTTTATCAACATTATTTTTTTGCATTTAAGCAATGTTTGTCACATCTTTTGTTATTTCCCTAACAACTTACAAACAATTTCAAATATCATTTTACATTAATAACGATATGTCGATGGTAACCGATTTAATTTTTCAAAAAACTTAATAAAAAAAAATTATAATATCTTTATCTTATATGTTTGGAGGTATGGTTTATTTCCATTTATTACATGAGGACACACCTTTCATCTCAGTCGTTCAGCGAAAAAATATTAATACTTTTGTTCAGTTTTATAAACGCTCAAAATAAATTGTTTAAAATTTTCAAACGACCCAAATTTGGGGCTAAATATTTAATTTGTTTTACGTATGATGTACCTAAAATAATTTTAGCGTATGACTGTATTGCATTTCATTACTTTTAGTATAGATATATAGTATAGATCGATACCATTTAAATTTCTTTATTTATGTAATCGTTAAGCACAAACATAAGTCAGACGTAAAGACATAACCGAAGATCATAAGATTTAATAAAACGAGGAGACAAACTTGAGTGATTAAGCCATTTTGATGACAATTCATCGATATTAATTGAGCGCTTTTGCCGTCGAAAATTGAGAACCATTCCAGCACTTTATCTGAAACCATAACGTGGGAGAGGATGGTTAAAACGATGTCCGTCAGCCCTATTATCGCTAGACACTTAAAAGGGTGCGGTGGTGGACTGGTGGTACATTGTCCAGGCCTTAATCTAGATTGCAGTGGACTTATAAGATTATTACTAAAGTCGTTTAAGAAAGTAATCGTGGATGGGAATAATCATACGTCGGCCGGTATTGTCACATACGAATGCATTTCACTTAATATCAATGATGAGTTTTTTTGGTTTCAATGAATACTACTACGGGTTCATCAATTCAATCCATTTAAATAAGAAATAGTGACACAAATAAAAGAACCAATCTAGGCGAAATTATTGATGGAGCAGAATTACCTGCTGTCCTACTCACCAGCGCGAAACATGTTTGAAAGAAAAAAAAAACATTGAACACAAAAAAAAGATATAAAACTAACGAACAAATCAGAAATGAAGAAAACATTAATACAAATCTTTCTGAAGAGAAATCACGTAGATAGCAGTAGAAACGGAACGCTCACAAGGTCTTGACATAACGAGTATCGACAATTCGACATAAACGTCCGTCATAGTTATACGTCAAAGAGTCGGAATTAGAAATTGATTGCATTTAAAACATTTTTAATACATTATTATCGAAAAATATGATGATACAAAGCTAAATTTGAAACAATTATTTATAAAGTGATAAAAAGAGGCCCAACATAAGAAAAAAACTTATTAAATATGTGAGTGCGATCGATCCAATATAATTAATACGAAGTATAGATGGTAGGATGTATTATTTTACTTATTTATTATCACAGCTATCAATATAAAACACAATAAAAAATCAAGTAATACTCTGCAATAACCAGATTACGAGAAAGGGCAAAAGGAAATATTTCACTTTATGTTATTATAAATATAAAGAGGCGTATCCGAAGGCGCAAGGGAATACCTTGCGCCAATACTTGTTCATCTGCGGTGATCCTATGGGTGGATCCACTTGGTGTTTTATTGACTATAATGCGACTTTGTGCCCAAACAGAATACATTCCAAAGTCGCAACGCGATTTACTGAACACAGCTTGCCTAGCTTTCGTAAGCAACTTTGCACATTCTCTTATTTGTTTCTGGAGAAGACTGAGGATATCAAAATATTTATTCCTGAATGATTTCTTCTCTAACTTTTGTTGCTGTATCATTCAACAATCCAGCATTTGCAATCTGTACTTGGAATTAATTTTAAGACTATTATACCTATGTTAACTTGCAAGTGTTTGTTTAAATAGAGATATTTTGAATTTTGATTCTTTTAGAGATGTTTTCTGTGAACCTGTTCTGAGTGGTGATAATAATTGATAGATTGGATATTTTGTAGATTGTGATAATATAACTGTAGTATTATCCAAGTGAAAAGCTGGTAGGTGTTAAATATATTTATACAAAGTTACATGAAATGTACTTTTGATGTAAATAACATAGAATCACTAATAGAACACTTAATTTTGACTCATAAATATCAATATCATATATCAATTTGACTCAAAAATATAAATTTGTATATATTTCAAATAATTTATAAAGAGCTGATTTTGAAAATTATGTCCATGCTTTTTACACTTAACGCTGAAATAAGTTTATTTGCCTGTTCATTTTCCAAAATTTCTAATATCTCATTTGTGAGCCACTGATATAAAAGACAACAGGGATGCTGCTTTTGTTAACTTAATGTGATATATTGCATTCATTTGTTTTTGTGAATTGCATAAGTCTTTTAGACAGAAAAAAATTTCAGTCCATGATTTATTACAACTGTATATATTACTGTGTCTGTATGTATGTGCCTTACTCAACAACAAAGCTATGATAGACTTTGTGCTTACTATTGGATTAATGGGCTTAAGTGAGTGTAGCAATTTCAGTGATGATTTGCATGTGCAGCATCCTTTAACAGCGACATCTGAGAATAACATTGGTGCTGTGAGACGCATGATAGAGAAAGATAAGAGATAGGTGTTAGGAATTATTCCCCAAACTTTGACAGAAACGCAGAAACGCCTTCGCATGGATTGGTGTCGCGAAATGTTAAAAAAGTTTAATGGAGGTGTCTAATGCTGTATGCGTTGAGTGGGTTCGTTAATGTACTAGAAGGGACCCCTAAGGAATGTATGGCCCAATGGCAATCTAGTAACATAGAAAAGTTTAAAAATCTACAATTGTATTTCGTTGTTTTGTTGTTGCGTTTATGAATAAATATGCTCAACAGTAATAGCAATCAGTAGGAATCAACTTCTATTGTTCAAGATTTGAGCTTGTTTTGAAGTACGTAATAATGGATATGTCAGTGGGAGCGTTATATCTGAGATTGTTGGGCGGATTTATTCACTTACTAGTTTTTCGCCCGCGGTTTCGCTCGCGTTGAATTCTTCAATTAAATATCTTTTTTTTTAATAAAAAATAATCTTGTCCCCTTTTATGCCTCTCAAGAATATGTGTACAAAGTTTGAAGATAATCGGTTTAGTACTTTTTGCGTCAAAGCGTAACAGACAAATTTACATTCACATTTATAATATTAGTGGGGATTAGGGATTTATTACATTTATCAGTAATTACATTAGAAACAGATTCATATGACAATATGAATTAATATTACATGTCAATGTATAATTATTTTTGTTCAAAAAAACAAAAGTAAAAATAAAAATAGTGTGTACATGATGTTGCTAGGATCACTGGTTACTAAACTGAACGTTGCGAGAGTTGCGTTTGACTTTGAGTCGAGTCGAGTTTGATTATAAAAACGACCAAGTCAGATGCTGTTTACTATACCTGCATCTGTTGTTGAGCGACGACTAGTAAAACCATATTGCTTGTTATGCAGTATATTATGTAAACTAAAAAGCAGTAACATTTATACATTACAGAGATAGGTCTAAAGTTGTAGGGGTCCGAAGTACTACCAGACTTAAACACCGGAATGATTTTGCTATGCTTCATAACGTAGCTAGTATTACTCGTCACCAAGCTGAACGTCGCATTTGAGTTTGTGTCAAGGGGACTTTGTAAATGATTTTGCTATGCTTCATAACGTAGCTAGGGTTACTGGTCATTAAGCTGAACGTCGCATTCGAGTTTGTGTCGAGTGGAGCTTGTTTTCGTTGTTGACTTTGTAACGGGGCCACGCACAGATGCTGTCGGACCTGAATCGCGTGGACTTCCGCGTGGTGCGCGAGCAGGCGGCGTGGGCGTGCGCGTGCGGCGTGGGCGCGCACGCGCACCGGCTCGAGGCCGACTTCAAGGCGACGCTCGGGCGCGGCGCCTCGCTCGAGCAGTGGGCCGCCTGGCTGGAGGGCTGCGTGAGGGGGGCCTTAGCGCCGCACGAGCGCCGCAAGGACTTCACGGCGCGCGCGCGCCGGCTGCTGCTCGACTGGTCCTTCTACTCGTCGCTCGTCATACGCGAGCTCACGCTGCGGTGAGCGCCCACCACCCCCCCCCCCCACCCCACTCACACACGTTACGGTAGGCGGTCAACACCCCCTCTCACACATGCTGGGATAGACGGCTAACCCCACCCCCACACATTATTACGATAGGCGTCACCCCGTTGACACTAACGCTGCGGTAGTTGACGACCCTCCTCTTGCCCTCACTTCATTATCGTCCGAAGGGATACGCGCCGCGCGATTCTCTTGTGCGTATACAAGTGCGAAAATAGCCATCGAATGGTGACAAAGTGTACGTTTGCAATATTGAACTGCAAAGAATGTCTAGACTACATCGGAGTGTAGTAGAAGTGAGAAAAAAGTTTATTTAGACTGCGGTGAGAAAGTGTCGTACTCCCTCCCACTTATAGTCCCCTATATTGCATATAAACTATGTACTTGGCTGATTTTAAAAAGGCACGTTAAAGTTTTGCGTGCCCTACACTCCCTGCACAGTGCAGGGTTTAATTAATACCTCTTGTGGTGAAGAGTGGTGCACCACTCTGAACCTATTCACGTTGGCCTTGAAGACACCTACGTTGTAATAGGACGGAAAGTTGGACGCCGGCAGGTTGTTCCATTCCTTAGCTGTACAGATGATGAATGAATGCATGAATGAAATGAATGATGTGAATAAAATTAATGAATGACGGCTTCTTTGTGTGTCGCAGGTCGGCCGCCTCGTTCGGCTCGTTCCACCTGATCCGGCTGCTCTACGACGAGTACGTGTCCTTCCTGATTGAGCGGCGAGTCGCCGCACATTGCAGGCTGCCGCAGATCGCCGTCATGCAGCGGGCTCTGGTAACGCTACAACACCGCAGAACTAATACTCTAACGAACAAACACAGATCACAATTACTGTTACGATAAAAGAACACTTTGCAAAACTAATAAACTAATGAACAAGCCTACCGCAGAACTAATTTACTCATAAAAGAACACCAAGCAAAATAAATCAAGCAAATAAAAAACATTAATTAACAAAAACTAATGAACTTACTATACAAGCACACTGCAAAACAATACCATACTAACCAACATACACACCATAAAATGAATAACTAAAAACGTATCATATACCCACCATAGACAAAACTAATTCTAACACATCAGGTACTTCACAATATACTGCCACAAATCTATCTCGACCACATCACATATTTCACTATATCAAACCGCAAATATAACTGGACATCACTGACTTTACTATATTCCATCATAAAACTAACTCGATCACACCACAAGCCTAACTTGATCCTACTTTAAATATAAATCAATCACACCATACACCTTTTTTTGTCAAACGCGCCACATTCTCACTAAATTGTACTAAAAACTAACTTGACCACACACTACAAGTCTTACTATATCCTAATTCTAGAATGAAGTAAAGTAACAACCTATAAATGTCCCACTGCTGGACAATGGCCTCCTCTATACAGAGAGTATTAGGCATATTGTGCACCGCACGACCCCACTGCGGATTGGCAGTCTTCACATATCTTCGAAATGTATTTTTCTTCGTTAAATCTACCACACCAAAGTCTCGCCAGAGCCTGTAACGAACCCAACTCTTCCACATCACAAATATTGGTGAGATCGGTGGCTCGTGTTCCAGGAGGAGGACGAGGAGGTAGCGAGGGAGGGGGCGCGCGGTTCGGACGAGGGCGGCGAGCGGAACGGGCACGGGGAGGCAGACGGGGAGGGTGGCGGGGCCAAGGCCGAGGAGAACGAGCTGGAGCCGGAGCCCGACCGCGACTGGGACTGGGACGACGACGACGAGGACGAGGACGAGGACGCGCCGCACCAGCCCGGCCTCAAGAGGCCCAAGCTCAACTAGGCGAGGCCAGGTGATGGCCGGCCGCGAGCCCCCCGCTGTCTTCAACACTCACTCCGCTTTCCACCGTCGTTAAGGCCCAGTTGCCCTCCCTCCCCCGCCGTTAAGGCCCAGTCGCCCCCTCTCCACCGCCGTTAAGGCCCAGTCGCCCCCTCTCCACCGTCGTTAAGGTCCAGACGCCCTCTCTCCACCGCCTTCAAGAGCCAGTCTACCCTCTCCGCCCCCTACAAGGCCCAGTTCTCCATAATATCATTACTACCACAATTCTTCATCAAATTTAACGGATCAATTATCATTTTTTTAAAGAACTTATAATGAATTAAAGATTTGAGATAAATTAGACTGAGAGAAAGATACCTAATTCTCATTGATAAATACTTATCTGCACTTTATTATTTATCATTTTTAGGGTTTCGAAGCTAAAGAGTAAGACGTAAATACTAAAAAACTGGACAAAAAAAATTAAGTGACACTCCCATACAACAGACATGATTTTTTGTCCTTTTTATAGATATAGTGGTACGGAACCCGTGCGGATTGCGTGCGCGAGTCCGACTTGCACTTGGCCGTTCTTTTTATTATTCTTAGTTTATTAATTTATTTAAAAAGTGATAGACTGTTGGTTTCTTTTTCTAGGTGAAGTGAACCAAAGTCAAATCAGAAGATTTACATGACCCTCTCAGACGTGGAGGATTTTTCTCTATCGAAAGCTAATATATTCCTGATATAATGAATAAAAAAAAAACTAAAACATTTCCCTATGTATTGGATGTAATACGAGTCTAGTCAGAACTAACCTAAACAATGAAAAATTTTAGCATCTCGAAGAAATCCTTCGACTGTTTCAAATGTGTATCGTAATCATATAATGTTGCATAAATATATAACTAAATGTGTAACTAATATAAGTTATTTCACACTGTAAACTGGCAATCAGTAATCTTGGCTTATTTGTGGGAAGATTACTTCAAAACTGTTACAACTTTTCGTCTATTATTTAAAGAATTATTACATATATGTACTCGTTTGTTGTAAAAGTAAATATTCGTCTAGGATAAGAGTCATCTGTTTATAACACTTACGCTAATGTATTATTCACGTTTTACATATTATATTTAAAAAAAAACATGCTTCAGATAGGATTATGTATAAGATATTTTCTTGTAATGTTAAAAGTGTAAAAAACTATCAGGGAGGTTACCATGTAAAATTGCCAAACAGCGGCTTACCTATGTTGCCATTGCAATTTTCGAAAAAGAAAACGACAACAAAAAAGATGCGTTCTGAATTATATTCCTGTAAGTACACTGTATGAATAGCTATCTATGTCTGTAATTTCATGTTCGAAGCACACCATAGATCTTAGTTTGTTTTTTTGTACACATTAAAAATAAACAATTTCTTATTTGCTCATTCAACGTATACGAATGTATTTAGTATAAAATACGGAGATTGAACTTTGATTGCTACTAAGCAAAGGTTAATGTTTTGTCTGAGGTATTTTTATTTTTTAAATTGCTTGACCATTTCAATAGTCTGTGGGTCACCCAAGTTTTCACTCTATGGCTTTTGCGTCCCATCTTTTCTGCCCTTACGCCATCTGGTCTGGTGTAAGTTATATCTCTATGTATTTGTATAGATGTATGCGATGGATGTTTATCTCGTAAGTTCTCGCTCAAAACTGTTTTGGAATCGAATAAACTGTAAGTTTGTTCATAATTTCCAGTTGTGTCTTGTCGTAAATTAAAAAGTCTTTGGTTTTCACCAGGTTAGGTGTCGAAATCAGGCCTGACTGTGCATACCAAAAATTACTTCGTAAACTTATCTATTACGTAATTTATTTAATTGAGCACATATGACCACATGTGGTTAGTTATTTAACATTTAACGTGTTATATTTTTGCGAATTTAATATTGCATTTAGCACTATTGTCGTATAAGTATGTAGTTGTTATAATGTGTATATTAGTAGATTCACTTGTCCCCAAAGTAACCAATATCTTTATTACAAAGCTCTGACTGCCTCTTTCACTCTTAAGGCCTCTCACCCTTTATTTCTTCTCTTTCACACAGCTCGCGTAGCAATCCTGTGTTATTTATAGTAAACGAAAGCAGATAACGTATTTTCATTACAACAAATGCTTATTAATAACTTAAATTGCTTTAAAAATTATCAAAATACATATATTGTAATACATTAAATAATAATATGCCGTAGTAAACACTGTGGTCTGCTTTATTACCTTCCCATTAGACTTGCAACGGGCAGGCCGGGCGGCCTTCGTTTCCGAACAGCCGAATATTCGGCAAAAGTATTCGGCTAGCGCGCGGCGGTAAAACTTGTATCGATGTCATTCTTTTTATATTTGTTTAATGTACTTTTACCTCTTATACGCTATTAGATGACGCCTTGTACTAGTGTATGTTTGATGGTATTATAATATATACGGCAGGTTTTAAATGTGTTATTGTGGAGTATTTGCCCCTTTCCGGCGTATGTAATCGTGATTAGATTTGTATAACCATTCCATTGATAGTCGCGCTGTATTTAGGGCCACTTCACATTCCCTCAATATCTGTTGTTATTATCGGTGAAGGCGATAAAATAGAGAGCAGTTAACTTTTAAAAACTGGTAAATGCTTTGGCAAAAAGTTCTCTTATGTGGAATTTACGAATTTACCTATTTCGCCCCGTCAGATGTCTTAGAATAAAAGTTTTATTGTATCCATGTAGGCTTGGAGTCTATGCGACGTGGAATTTAACCAATGTTCATTGCATTAGGTATCTGTTGTTAAATAACTGGATACTTAGGTTAGCATCGGCTTAAATTCGTGTGACCGGGGCTTTACCTCGTGTAGGGGTGTACCAAAGCACAGACGTAAGAAGTTACAACAGTTGCAAATTATATGTAATCGTTGTTTCTGTGTAGCTGTATCGATGTTTTTAGCCTTTTTCTAAATGAGAATACACCACAATCTCATTATGAGATCGCTGAGACGACTGGTCTGATGAGTTGTGGCTTCAGCGGTATTCTCCAGATTTAGCGATGTGACGAATGACTTCACGATAACGTCACTCGCCGATGCCCAAATGGTTGTGTTTCGCAGTTTAACGAGGCGTTGTGATTGGTCCAACCAAAGTGGTGTACATTTGTTTTTTCTCATACATAAAGTATCGTAGATGTGGGAAGATCGTGTCGGTTTCGTGTCGTTAAATGTTCGTCTCGGCTGTGGGTCTTCAAAACGACCTTTACTGATCTTTCGTCCGGGGCAGTAAAAATATATGCTACAGCCCTAATAGTACTGATATTAGCCGTAAAACAGAGATACAGAGAGAGAATCTGAAAGTACTACTATTTTGTTTTTATCTTAATAGAGAATTGATTACGATGACGAGGTTGTCAGCATATTATATATAAACTAAAAAGTGTAACGTACATTATTTTATCATCGTTGTATAATATTACATAGTTTGCTTAAAAAATGCTTTGCGCAATTGCGTAGTTGTATTAAACACAGGGACAATACATACATATATCGTAAGCACATGTCAGTTCACCAGTGCCTACGAGAAGAGATAAGTGTTATACTCTTGTATTAAATTTATTTCTATTATGTCTAAACAATTAATGATTAATTAACAATTAATCTTCTCCATCGATGTTTTCGTTTATATTTCAACATTGCATAATGTATTTGCACTGTGTTTATTCTGCGATAAATATTGCATACGGAGCTTTGGAGAGAGACAATCGGCTAATTTCGATTTTGTAGAGCGTTGTCTCTGTCACACACGTTACTTGTGTGACGCTGACGTTTGTCAGTCTTTGTACAAGTGTGCGATAGAAATAGCGTTCGGAAAGTAGCTGACTACCTCTTTTCAAACGTCGATGTGCAACATTTTTCTAAGAGTTCTCCAAGTCGGTTTTAGGGTTATATGTGTCTCTACATCGGTGTCATTTCGCTGTGAACGTCACTACGTTTTACGAAAGTTGTGTTAAGTTTATTACGATACATATTCTATAGGTAGTTTATTTGCACGGTTAGATGGTTAATTTTTACTGTTTGTATGCATTTCGCCTGACCCACCTATTGTAGTATAGTATTATGTACTTACGTTTTCTCTAACTTGGATGAAAAGCTTTTGATGGTTATAGAATCCCGATGTTCACGATTCAGAAAGTTTCTTCAATGCAACCTGTTCAATTATTTTTTTTATTTACAAGTTTGTATACTTGCTGTACTCTTCTAGGTAAATGGTTATTTTTAAACGATTTTTCGGCTTGATAGCCCACAAATTACACCGTGAACAACTATACTCATTAATGTTGTTTATATATAAGTATATATTCATTTTTAAATTATAACTTGGGAAAATGTGTGGAAATGCGCCGCTACAGTGACGTTCACACATGTGTTTATGTAATCGAAACTATATGTAAACTTGAAGTATATAAGGATAATTAGAAAGTGGTTGTTCACGTGCTGGCGGCATATAGCTGCAGTTAGGCTATTTTATGTACTAATATTAGAAATGTGTAAGACGTTTCATACATACGAATTATCTATGACACGATTATCAACACTTCGACAATGTTTTCTTGTGTATGTCGTAAGGCATTATCTTATTGCGGCGTTAGTTAATTTTTGAAAAAAAAAAAAACTCCGCTTCGTTTGAGTATAAATTTATTTAGATATTGAGTTACAACGCAATGTCAACACTGACGTCGATTTACATTCTGCATTGGTTCATTTCTTAGTGGTTTAATCGGATTAAACTTAAAAATATTGACGTTTTATATATTCTAACTGTATATTCATCAATGGAGGTGTGTATCCAAGTCTTTCTTGATTTTTTATTTAACATATCCCAATAAAACTTGCGGATATGAAATAAGTCTATCATGATGAGAAAAATTGTTACCACCTTTGTTTTTAATTACTATCGAGTATTAGTCGAACAAGCGGATAGTGAAATCAACCTTTATCCAGTTAAACTTTCACATGATTTTTTTCAGATCTTAAATTTTTGTCTTTCTCAAAATTCTGTCGCTCACAAATTCAGTGTGTACTTGGAGTTCAGTAAAGGTAATCGTTGTTAGCTCGTAAGTTGAGCTAAAGATGAGTGTTGTAAAGATGAATCCATTTGTCTGTTGGGACGACGGTATATGTAAAAAAAATAAAGCTAGTCATGTGTTTATAATGTGGTTTTATTGACTGTTATATATTATTTGTCTAGAATTTAATAAAAATAAAGGATACACTTAGAAGAGCCTAAAGTAATAGCCTATACATGTCCCACTGCTGGGCAAAGGCCTCTATACAGAGGGTATCAGGGCATAGTCCATCATGCGGCCCCACTGCGGATTGGCGGACTTCACATACCTTCGAAATATATATTTTTTTGTAATTATTTCGAAAATATGCAGGTTTCCTCACGATGTTTTCCTTCAACGCGGAGCACGTGATAAGTCAGCACTTAAAGTTAAAAACTTCATTGGTGCCGGCACCGGGGATCGAACTCAGGTTGCTCGAGTATATTGAATTAAAGGCGAGCGCCCGGACACTGAGCTATCACGGAAAAAAAAGAAAAGCCTCCCTGTATATAAATGACGGTTACGTCTGTCAGTGAAATCTGAGAATAGAGGCGGCCAGCTAGCCCCAACATATGTACATTGAATAAATAATGTGCAATTTATTTAGTAAATTTTTCTAATTAATAAATATTTCTTCTTAATTGTACATTTATTAACAATAAATAAAATCTTCAGTCGGCCATATTGTGGAATAAATAACCTACTCCCATCAGACCGCCACTAACTACTTTAACCAAATGACAGAAAATCAGCTTTAGTAAATTCAAAGCACTTTTTACACCTATATTAGTCTTTGACGTCTAGATTTTTAAAAAGTTTGAAGAAAAAAAAATATTTTGAAAGATATCTGCCAATATATAGTTGGCTCGCGTGGCGGCTAGCAGTAGGTAGGTCTTATAGCTGTTACTTATTTAAAATTTATGTCTCGGAGAAAACACTTGTGACTATGTCTTCTCATATTAGTGTTAAGTAGTATCAGTTTTTGTTTCCTGATGGTACTACAAAAAATAGATAAAAAGGCTTATTAGATACCACGTTCAGAATCGTTGGGAAATCTGAAAAGGGTGAAATAAAAACAACAGATGGGTTCTCATAATAAATATTATTTCAACATCCCACATATAGCCTAGTTAATATACAATAGAGGCGGTCTCGGCGACAAATAAAAATCGAAACAATATTCATAGAGAAACGGAGGCTACGCGTCCGCTGAGATGTGGCCGTCCTCCGAACAACGAAATCTATCCGAACGTGAGAAAACAAACACCGTACAAAAACTCCAATAGAAAGATCTATTTAAAACATCGACTAAACGACTCTTACTCCGCAACTTGATTCATCCCCGCAAAGTGGGTTCTCCCTTTGAGTTTTAAAATTTTGAGCAGTAGAAAAATATCGCGATAAGCTACAACTCGGCACGTTCAACAACAAAAATTGCCAATTTCATTTGAACACGAACGAAGGGCCATAATGAAAACATTCGACAAACACATCGATATAATTAACTAATAATAATAATTATAACATTAAAAGCGCAGATTGAACAAGTCTTCGAATTGTGAGCATTTTTAAAAGATCGATTTGTCTTTTTTATGCACCCATAAGGTTACACTATAGTACGGCCGTGATCATGTGACAGTCGTTAGTAGGTAACAAAGGAATGTGCCAAGACTTGCGAAATAATCGACATTTAAACTGATCGCTGCGTACTAGCGATATTTGAACTAGTGGGATGTGCGAATCATACAAATTATGATTACTTAAACTGATCAAAGTTAGTAAATTATAAATTCTTAGTACGGTTCGTCGATATCCACTAGCAACTCACGCACATCCCTATTGTGTCCGTAAGCTAAAATAAGGTACGGGACGTTTCATAAAGGCGGTCGTACTATAAGTTATAATATTTCTTAATAAAACCAATAACTAAATAATAGCAACAATCGTTTACTAGCAAAACGAAATGGCAGTACCGTACGAATAGAACAGAGCAAGTTATGGAGTAAGTATACGATAGAGCTCGACAGAAGAATATCTATACAGAAATAAACTACTCGCACGTTGTAAACGAGTATGCTAACATGTATGTTTGTGTAAATTTAATTTAATATAGTCCGTGATAATATTCAGTGATTTGATATTTCGTGTCTCGTTTCAAAGTTCGCGCTCGACTAATGAAACGGAATATTGCCGTCATACGACGAAGATATGTGTTAGATGAGTTTATTTCAAGTCAAATCAGCTAAGAGAAAAGGGCGGTAGTGGCGATTAAAATCGGGCGGTTCCGTACATAATTATAGTAAAATATAATCAATTTAAAAAAAATTCTTTGGTTCGATCACGTAATTAAATTTTTTAATAGCTATTTACACTAAACAAACTTTAAAGGGGTTTTTTTTTTCTGTCTACCTCCAAATTTTTCTATATTTTTCTTATATATTTTTTAAACGATTTTGTCATACGTATATGTACCAACAACCTGTGCCATTCGGCGGTCAAACAAGAGTGGGAAACGATGTGAGATATCTCGTTCTCCGTGTAGTGATCTTAGACGGGTGAGGGTGATGGGTGATGGGTGATGGGTGTTGGGTGAAGGGAACCGGCCCGGCGTGTGTGTGTGTGTGTGTGTGTGTGGGTGCTTCAGAGGGCGAGTGCAGCGGAGCGCTTGTCCCGGCTCTTGTTACGCGCCAGCTGCCTCGCTTTGCACGCCGCGTTGTTCTGCAAGTGCTGCGGACACAAACGTCGCCTCGTCATTATCTTGTATATCTATTTTGTGTATAGGCAAAGCCGTACATTTTCTATTGTGTAACAAAACTGCGATCATGTGGGAATCGAACCCACGACCCATGGCGCCGAAGCCAATATCATGGCAGTTGTACCCTTGCTCTTAAATGACAATTCTTTACTATGTATAACTCCATTTTTGATTACTTAGGAAGTCCAAATGCCTCCAATGTGGAATAAAATCGTTTTGTTGTAGAGACATTCGGAATTTTATGGTAATTCATATGAATATTTATCAGTTTCATTCAATAAAGTCGCATTTAAAAGACAAGTACAAAGAAACATTCTGTGAAAGAGAGATTGTTTAACAGTGCAGAACCAACAAACTCAAATTCTTAAAAGTGATTTAAACATTGAAACAAATTAAGCGTTTTTAACGAAAACAAAGCAGCCTTCAACACGGGGAATGAACAGGAGAAAGAAACGCCGCAGCTATCCCCTTCTTTGTCATCTTATCCCCTCGAGTCGGTGCGCAGGGGGGCCTTAACGTAGAGCAGCCTGTCCGGTCATCGGCCAGTGTGCAGGGGTCTTAATATAAAAAGGGAACCACACATCCGCTGCAGCCTGTCCAGTCACCGACCAGTGTGCAGGGGCCTCAACATAGAAAGAGAAGCACGCCCTGCGTATATGCCTCAGTGTATAAAGGGGGGCGCGCACCCGCTGCAGCTTGTCGAGGCGGCGCTGCGGCGCGGCGAGCGGCTGCGCGGCGGGCAGGCCGAGCGCGTGCCTGAGCGGCGGCGCGTGCGGCGCCAGCGCGGCCAGCCCGCCGCGCAGCGCGCCGGCCAGCGCGCCGTACGCGCCGCGCGCCGCCCACCCGCCGCACCGCACCGTCTCGGCGCCCACGCGCACGCTCAGCTCGGCCACCTCCGCGCCCTGCGACGCATGCACGCACACGTTGAGCTCTGCTCTTTTTAAACGCAGCTACAGAGTTATTATTATTGTTCCATAAATCTTAGGATGTATTGCGAACATCAATATCACATAGACAAACACCCGAATCAAGGGATTCTGTTCTTATCTTTACTACAATTAACTAATACTCATTGTCCAAAATAACTACTTCTGTCGCCTCGTTTTCCAGCTAAATAAATCGGTCGAAATTTACATCGAAATTTTGTAACTTTGCTTAAAATAGAATCAAATAACTTTGATTCTATTCTAAGTTCTTACAGTAGTGTTCTAAAATTTCCTTCCCCAAAGTTCCTTTCATTAAAATTTTTCAATTATTCATAAAATTCTATTTCAAAGACTGAATCGAATCTAGCTTTGTTTTCTATCATGTAATTAAAGTCAAAGAAACATGTATATATCAGCAGTGGAATGTACAGCATAGCCGCACCTCGAAGTACTTGAGGATGTCGCGGAAAGTGGCGCGCTGGGCCTTGCGGTCGCGCTTGGCGCGGTACTTGTGCGGGTCGCGGGCCAGCTGCAGCAGCAGCGGCACCAGCTCCTCCTCGGGCCAGGCCAGCTCCTCGTCCGCGGTGCGCTCGTGGGCCACCGCCAGCGCGGCCCCCGCCGCCATGCGCACCTGCGACACACGACGGTCGGTGCAAACCTCCCAACGTTCCCAAGTCAGAGGTACGAGAAGGAAAGTTATCCGACGTCAAGTGACGACTACCGCCAATAAAGTGCTCTTCGGTTACCTCGCTCACCAAACGAAACACAGTAATATAACAGTTTCACTTCACATCGGTTTTCTGTGTCTACCCAGGATGGACCTGCCCATTCGTACAGCAACGTAGACTGTCACGTGTATACCCTACCACAGTTAAATCATCCATCTATGAGCGGCAATAGCCGGTTAATATACTTTTAAGTGAGTGGGCTGGATAATCCATCCAGATACAATACCACAAATTCACAGAAGACCGGCGTGAAGTTAAAGTGTAACACTGCTGCGTTTCGTCTGGCGAGCTCGCTTTGTTGTCAGGCAACGCATCCATAACCCTACAGGTGTTATCACTTGACATCAGGTGTACTGTCACCTCGCTAATAAAATAAAAACTTGTCGACTCACCTCGAGGCTGCAGGCCTCCAGGAGCTGCACGAGCCGTCGCGGCGACGGCGGCTGGCTCCGGAGCAGGGCCGCCGCGTGCGAGGGCTCCAGCAGCGAGAGCAGCAACGCCCAGCCGTCCAGGGCCGCCGCGTGCCACGAGCCCTCCTCCACTGCGGGCCCCGACACCTTCACGGTGCTGTCGCCCTGGCGATGCGATGACATTATTACTTAAGAGCATTGACAGCCCTGCGGTACAAAGAGTTCGTAACCCTAGCGTAAGATAAACAAAGTAACAGCGTATAAATGTCTCATTGCTGGGCAAAGGACTCCTCCGATAGTTATGACCGATAATTTACTGCAAATCCTAAGATAATTACTTTTTGATTCCTTCCCCGATGATTGATTCCTGTATGTGTATGAGCAACAGGTGCAATTTTTTTTCTTTATGATAGTAAACTTAAGTAACAGACTATAAATGTCCCACTGGTGGGCAAAAACCTCCTCTGTACAGAGGGTATTAGATTCATATATTTTCAAAATATTTTTCATTTTGTTATTATTACTCCAATTATGCAGGTTTCCTCAGGATGTTTTCCTTCACTGAATACTTTCAAATTGACAAAACTGAATTTACTTAAATGAAATAGAAAAAAGGATTATTTGAAATGCTGATGACTTAGTATGAACAATGAAATAATCATTCACTGTATGTGTAAACGACTTCAAATGGGAGCAATGGACTTGGGAAACCTTGAAGATATGACAAAGGCATGAGTCATATGTAAACACTTAATTTTTGGCATGAACATACACCATTGGAAAATTTTTCAACTTAATAAAGTTGTTGCCAGCCGATTATGGAATGGCCTTCAGAACCGGAAAAATGGAAAAATTTTATACTCTGTTAAAAGCAACTCATGAAAATAGATAGTGTCATATAAAATAAATCCGCTAACAAGATACAAGGTCGTCGTCTTATATCTTGTAGGTGAAGTAAGCTCCATAAATCAAAAGTATGCCCTTGTTGGCATGTAGTGTAAACATATTACAAATCAAGTAGATATTTATAGTATGCTGCTAAGGAAAATTTATTGATGAACATTGCTATTTTATAAATAAACCGATATTTAACGTCTTCCCTTAAAATTAGAAACAGGAGGATGTTATATTTTGCAGTTATGATAAAGAAAACATAACACTTACATTATCAAATACAACTCACTATCTTAAAACAAGAGTAAATAGAATTATTATAACTTTGGTTTTAGCCGACTTACTTTAAGGTAGCTGCCACTGAAGATTGTCTCGTACATACGCATAATCTCAATGATTTCAGTGAGGTCATCTTCCAGTAGGTAGCAAAGCACCGCAAGTGATGCACAGCACTGAGAAAAAGTAAACGTCTTTTAATAACATTTTGCATTGAACACATTAAAGGAGGTTATAGGGCAACATATGATCTTGATCAACTTTGAACAGATCTTATTGGGGACTAAGCAGTTGATACCCTAGTTTGAATAGATTGACATTTTACATTAAAGAATTTTAAAAAATTTCTTATATCAGCAATTCCAAAGCATATTTCCAACATGGAGCCTCACTGTAACCAAAACTCATAGCACCCATGTGATTCAACCACTTGCAACATCCATGCATTGTCAAAAAATGTATGTAGAAATTTGATCATCTAAAAACTGATTTCTTTATTTTCTAAATTTCACAGTATCAGTATGGATAATTTCTTTAGATTAAAATCATTTCAAATTAGTATTTTATTAGAAGTACACATCATCATCAGGAGTACACATCATCATATATTAATGTATAGAATTTGTGAAGTCACTCAAAATCCACCAGACTCACCTCTGTCCGGGTTTCGAGCGAAGCAGACTTATCTGTACAGGCGGCAAACAGCGCTGGTCTGACCTCCTTCATAAAATCCTCTGTGCCCTCTTCACCAATCTGAGAATGATATCAGCTATGTTAGCATGAATGATTTGTGTGGAAGGGGCTGGGTATTAAGTCCCAAAGACTGTCCACTGCATTTAGAAGTGCTATTGTAGTCTTCCTTTTGAAAACATTGCCCCTTAACATTAACCTATGTTGCAAGGACATTTTACATACATACATTTCACATGGACAAACACCCAGATTGTGAACAACACAATCTTGTGTGGGAATGGACCCCTGGCGCCAAACCCAATACCTTGGACAACTGTGCAATGGAGTCATCAATATGTTAGCATACATTCTTGGCATAATTTAAGTGAGCAATTCAAATTGAGTAGTGGGACCATTATCAATGTTAGCAGAGACAGTTTAACTTTTTCTAGGCTTTGTCTAGGCTTCAGTTTTTATTTATTCTTCTCTAAAGAATCTCACATATTGTTGAGCATTTTTTATTTCTATTTATTACATATGTAGATATCCTCTCTAGGTTTGAATCCTAATTGCATGAATACATAAAATTTAAAAACAAGCATTCTCATTCAGAATTACACACGTAAAATGATACGATTACGTTATTTTGGAACTAAGTTGACCTTCCTGCTATGAAAAAAACAAACCTGCTATGACATATTATAACATATTTTATAATAACAACAATACAAGTGAGTTTCCTGGTTTGAAAAATATCACTATGTAGCCATAAACTTTATATGAACAGTGTAAAACGTAACATAGACAAACACCACATTCAAAAACATTGCTTACAACAACACTATTGGTTGATCAAACAGAAACCAATGTGTTAAACAGTGTAAATGAAAAATTGACATCTCCATTGAAAAGTAACATGGAAATATAAATTAGACAGACAATACAAAAACTAAATATGTTGTTGTCAGAAGTTATTATGCTTATAAAGTTGTTAAGCTTTTTCAGGCTATTTAATATACAGAGTACTAAGTATGTCCAAAATTTTTATTACATAAATCGATATTTAACATTTTTTATTGAATTATTTTTATTTTATTGAATAATTTTCATTGAAGCTAAATTAAATAATTAAACAATAAACTAAAGTAACAGATATAATAACCCCTATAGAGAATAGATATTTAAAGTGGTGTTTGATAAGGAGTCTTAATATAACAAGTGAAGCAAACAAGTAACTTTATGGTACCCAAGAGAGGATACTAGGAGACAAAGGCATCGAAAACAAGATGGAAAGACAATATCGGCCTAACCCTGGGGCAATATCAGAGCAGCAGAGGATAGAGGCTATGACAGGAGGCACACCAAAATGCGAGACATACTATAACGGATGGAATTTGAAAATGTCTATTGTCTATAAATTAAATAATCCACAAAACATACCTGCAAAGCTAGTAAGGAAGCGACGTTAGCAGCTCCACGTTTCTCTCCATCCTTCCCACGGCGCAATGCGCGAGATATGTGATCAGCCAATGTTGCCCGATGATTGATAAGAAGTCCGGCTAAATAGCGCCGTTGCAGTGCCCCATGCAAGGCTACCAGTGCAGCGGCACGGGCTGCATTCGCTCTAGCGTTCAGCGCTTCAATTAATTCTAGCACCTTCTCTTCCAGTTTCTCCTGAGCATCATTTTCTGTAATTACAATGTTTGACTCAGACGGTTTGTCTTATGTTTATGATAGAAGGTTGACCGGTAGAGAATTTCTTTTGGCGCGATTTGATAAAATTATGAGCGTAATTTTTAACAATGGGCGCGCACACCGACAGTCAAAAGGCGACGTGATGAAGTTTGTTGCAAAGCGAACAATTTCGTGTTTTTACCATGGCAACCATAACATATGATTCCAAGTTATTTAATTAAGCCACTATGTACCAAATGTTATTTTATGTCTTTTCACAAACAGTTTTGGACACAGGGGATTAAATTTTTAGTTATTTTTCTTTTCTTAATTTAAAGAAATATGTCTTCTTATGTGCATAAATAGGTACACAGCATTATTTTTCTAAAATAGAGTTCACATTGTTGTTCCACTCTAGTGTATGTTGGTAATTACTGCATTGATATGATTGAAACATAAACTATAAGCAATTTACCTGTTTCCTCTTGGTTGCTCTTCAGATCTGATTGGCCTGATATTTCAGAACAATTGTCTATGGTCATATCTATGCCTGCATCTTCATCTGAAGAATAGGCCTGCTCTGTTCTTTTATGTTCTGTAAATTTTAATCTGTTTAAATTTATTAAGTCCGAAGTGGGTACAGATAGCTAAACTTTTGTGTTCACAAACATGACAAGCTGCTATCCTTGTTGCCATGCACTAGACAAAATTTGAAACAAGTTTTCATATAACTGCAATAGAATATATTTATTTAACAGCAATAATAATACACATACAGCATGTCTTTGCCACCACGACAATAAATGAACACATGTCTAATGCTACGTGCCAATAATCATAAATCCATAATTAAAAAAATAATTTTCAAACAAACTAATTAAGTAAAAAAGCAACAAAACTTGTAACATTCTATACAACTTCATTCGTTGCCACAGCGCCGCATTACAAGCCTCTCCTACTAACAGTATGTTTTGTCTCTTTTAAATTCATTCAACCCATTCATATGCTTTGTGACCTTTACAAATGTACTTTACATTAAAGTTTTATATGTAAGGGTGTTCTAAAATTGTTAGTTTTGGAAAATTTGATAACTTGTTAAATATTGATGTTTAATGAATGTAAATCTTTAAACAATTTAAAACAAGTTATCCTCTACAATTGTGTTCATTTATTGTCGCGATGGTAAACACACTCTGTATAAGCTGTATTAAGTTGATGATTCTGGCAATGTAAAGGTTGAATAAATCAAAGAGAAATGCCCGGTTACTGAAACACTAATCATCATAGAAGTCAACTAATCACCTGTCAAATGGATTTTCATATGTTATTTTAGTTTCATTCTGATCTTTAAGAAGATCTTTCTGAATTCAGAGAGTTTAACAATCCTTTTGGTAACTTGGATAAGTTTAATGTCAACCTTTTGTTAATGAAGTGATATCAATTATAAGGGTCAAAAAGATATGAATTAATTTTACAGATGTAAAAATTTGAGGTGATTCTTTGTAGATTACAAAATATCATTAAGTACCTAGAAATAGATTAAAGATTTATTTTTTTTCTTTTGTTTGGAAAACAAGCATTTACACGTGTTAAATTTACTAAACAAAAATGGTTTACAAACTTTTTTATCATAGTTAATTTTTATTGGTTTGTGCTAAAAAACAAAATAAATTTAAATACCATTCACACATTACATACAAATTGGATTTTATAACATTAAGATAAAAATATTCAATGGTAGAAAATTGAATGTTTTCCTGCAGGTTTTATTATTCAATTACACAATGTTCTGATAACATTGAAAAATACAAAGCATCATTTTTTACATTTTATTTGTAAACACAAAAATTATATTAAATTATTAATTAATGTAACATATACGTTAGCGATATAATAACAACATTAAATATGGAAGAAAGAATTACATAATTTACAAAATCAGTTAATAAATCAAGGTCAAATAAAATGTTTTGTTTATTAGGGCATTAGCCGCGATTTAGGAATCTAATATTAATTCGGAAGGATTACACACGTGTGGAATCTGTTATTATGAAATGTAGAAAGTATCTGTTACGTCAAAAGCTTGCAAAACGCGGAAGTTAATTTTTGAAGGAAGTTTTTTTAATGAACATATGGCTTCTTGGCTCAAGGCATCGCTATGATAATATCGAATGCGAATTATGTACGATACGTGGACTGTCATTAGTGCAGTTTCGTGTTGTGATCACAAGGTCGCCGCGTGATCTCATTCTTGGCAAACGGCAAATTCCAGACAGGGCCGAGCACAAACTCGAAAAACAATAATCACCACATCATAAAACATAAAAACAAAACTTACCGTATTTACCCTTTTTCTTTCCTTTTGGCATCTTGATTTTGGAACGTAAGTAGTTGACTGCAGACTTCAACAAACAAAAATGTATTCACTATTTTTTTATTTAACTAGGACTATTTCTCACTTAATCAAGAAGGAGAAAAGTTTATTATATCAGTTCTTACACAGCAATTTGGGCCCCGAATATAACATAAAACTAAAATTTCAGAAAAACTTTTTAACATGTTTAACCGTGTAACATGCACACACGACTCTGTTCACCGATGCTTTGCGCAATGCGCTTTGTCAGCCTGTCACTTTTGTATCAAACGAAGGATAATTTCGTCATATTTTGCAAGGTATTGCCATACTAATTTTTAGGCAGAAACTTTTAATCGAATAAGAAAATAGTCGACTTGTATTGTTTTGACATTTAAAATGTCATCATCATTACAAACTTTTATTTTATTTAGTGTGCAACTAATTAGTTTTACCTTATTGATTTATATAATTATATAAAGCAAAATTTATTAAATAAGTTTGAACTTATTTAATAAAAAGCTTTGAAGCTAGGTCACTATAATTATAATGAGTGTTATAATTTATATCAGCTGTTATTAAAGACTTGTAAAATAATTTATTTTATAAACACCTATGAAAGTAACTATCGGTTTCAACTAATCTCCGTGTGTTGATAACAAAATCAATACACACATTCTGAGCTTACTTTTTTTTGTGCTTTTTCAATCTATCCAAATAACGATATGATGAAGTTGATTGTGGGTCCCATTTGTTTATAGACAGGTGCAACGTGGGTTTTGTAGGGTTGAAGTCGGTACACGTTTCTGACTGCGACGCCCACATACCCTCCCACTTTTATAGTGCTTATCTCTGCATTTGAAAGAACTTACATACATTACATATTTAGAAAAATTGGACAAGAAGTTTTTAGCCGCCGTGGAAATCGATTTCCACGGCGGTATACAAATGTTAAGGGTGCGTTTAAAGATTAGCAAGGTTTTCGGTTAAAAGATTAGCGCTATAAAAAAACCTTAATATAAACCTTAAATTTAATCAGATTATTGTAATTTCGTGTGCTGTAGTCATGATAATAAAGGACTAAGACCAAGCATTGATTGCATCTTATTATTTTCCCCTCCGCTGCATTTCCGCGCCCCCTATTAACAAACGATGGACATTTGGACAATTTGACATGACCCAAGGGCCACACAAGTGAAGGTTCACCATCGATAGTGGAACTTATCTAGAGCAAATAATAAGGTTAATATCGTGATTTAGTCACTAGAAATACTAACGTCGAATAATCTACGAAAAATTAGCTGTAACGCACCCGTAGAAGATAAACGCCCTAGCTCAGTAAAAACTTTGTTCAGAAGATATCTACGTTATATTCGGACACACAGACCTACACAGACAAAAATTTTTATTCCTTTTTGCTGTACGTAAAATTCAATTAGCATTTTCGCAAGTTTCGTAATTAACTATTCAATGATCAAACGAACAGGGATCCGCTGGGCGGCGGGGAGAAAATTAAATTATTTATTGCGCGCGTTAATGTATCGTCCGAATTGTTTATTACTTTTATAGGTCGGCGTAATCTCGGATGCACAGTTCAAGGGGATGCCGGATACATTCCAAAAGCTTTAACCAACAGACTTGTATATATATATATCTCGATTCTTTTAAAGCATATTATCTAAGAAGTAAGTGAAGAGAGTTGTTATTTTCATTGATCGCGATACATTCCGCATATACTACGGAGCGCCGCCGGTTGCGCGACAATACTATGGGTGTTCGATGACTTGAAATGGTTTCAAGTGATTAGCGGGGATAATACTGTTGTTTATTTACAAAGAATTTGCCAAAATTACTCTAAGAATGGTTTTTATTTCACTATAGAAATAAAATTTTAAATCGATTAGTCAACAGTTTTTTTATGGCAACAAAATTTTATATTCAAAGAGTACTTTTTATCTGATATGATATATGTATATATTTAAAATGTCGACAAAATACCATACCGATTTTACTATGTGTCATGGATTAAATTGGCAGCGCGTGGTGAAATATGAATTTCACCATATTATTAAACGAAAAATGTCATGATGTAGCTAATAAACATGACATATGGTTCAGAAAAAAATAAATAAAGTAATGGTTATACTAAGGAGGTTTATAGTGTACAATATTCTGCGACAAATCAAAACTATTCACATGTTTTGTTTTGTCGCAGATATGGTAAAGTACTAAATACTTCACTTACTTAATATTGGGTTCAAAGAAGACTGTATAATATGCCAAAGGAGTCTGGAGTGGAGTGGAGATGATAACAGTAAAAAAAATTTTGTTTTTACAATTGTTGTTTATTAGGTTGTATGTTTGTAGAATATTGTGTATTAATGATATTTCCCTAATAGATTGAATTATGTACACATTTACGTATACAAGAACCATGTAGAGAGAAAGTATTCGTTATACCACATTGTATATTACAGCGAATTAATACTTTAATGTTCAAATAAATTTTAAGTTTTTGCCTTCCTGATGACTCGGTGCGCAGTTGCTAAACTATTGGCTCGGGCGCTGGGGTTTGTGGGTTCGATTCCCACTCAAAGCAACTATATGTGGCTCTGGGGGCTTGTCGTGGAAATCTAGCCAATACCATTAGTAATATGGGATAAGGGAGTAAAACGAAGAAGAGGAAGTTTTCGCTTTCTTGCCGTAGCCTAAAATTCGTATAAAAGTTACGTTAGGAATGTTGAACAGCGTAAGCGAAGTTGGGTACCAGGACGATTTCTCATCAAAATATGTATTAAAAAGTATTCTAATAAACAGTTTAATTTTCACTTTTAGGAGTGATATGGAAAAAGTAAAGGTCTGTTGTAAATTTATGTCCGTCAAAACGGAAGGACACAAACCTTCCTTGATACCAAATAAACTTTTTGTTAATGGAAAAAGGAGGCAAACGATCAAGCTGGTCACTTGATGGGAAGCGATCACCGCCGCCCATGGACACTTGCAACATCTGAGTAGTTACAATGGCGTTGGCAGTAGCATCAGGTGAACTGCAACGAGCTGGCAGTTCACCTGATGTTAATCTGTCCATTTATTTCCAACACCAGTAGGGTTAAAGATGCATTGCCACCCTTTAATAAAGAGGAGCTCCGGCTACCTCACTAACACTTTTCGGAAGCCTGTGATTGTGGTGCCACCAGGGCGGACCTGCCAATTTGTGTTAGAAAAGGAAAACACATTGAGTGAATGGGGGAGATTTAAAAACGTGATTTAATTATGACGCGAGGATCGATGACGATTGGTAGTACCACGCAGGAAGTACCCTGCTGTTGCAGGGCAACAACTGCGTCTGCGTCGAATGGGCATGCTCGGGGAAGTACGAAGCCCTGGCAACCCATCGACAGCACGTCTGGTGTTGTAGAACCATGGGAGGGGTTAATCACTTAGCATCAGGTAATGCCTGCTCGCTTGTCAACTTTTCACATTAAAAAAAAAGAATTGTGCCCTAACCATACATTAAATAATTGCTAGGATGCGCGCCTTTATCACTGAAATATTTTAATTATTGAATTTGTTGAATTTTAGCACAATGTACAACTGCTTTTGTTTGATATAAGCTATCAACTTTATTTAGAAGTGTGCATGGAATCCCAGGAAAGTTACAAGTGCATTGTTAACTTTTAAAATGTTTACCCAAACCATTAAACGCAACAAAGAAATAAGAGTATTTTTATTTCAGGTCAATTTCACCGATTGAGCCACTTTATGGCTCTAACATCGTTGTTTTAAAATAGTACATGGTTTAATGAAACTAGTTTACGGATTTTATCGCTAATATTCCCGTAAAATCAATAAAACAATATAGTATTACTTAGATTTAAAAGTTTTGGTATTATATAATATATTAGATAATAAGGTAATGGCGATGCAAATGTCGTTAAATTATCAGTGGCCCTTTTAATACAAGAATGAAAAAAAAAATGTTGATTGGTCACTGATTTAGAGTAATAATAAAGACTGTGACAGCGCCTCAGTTTTATTCAGCTAATCACACTCATATTCTTAAGTGAGGGGATAAGTTACTTTTTAATATAAAATCTATTGTAACAATAACTGATGTAACGGAATCAGGATGTTGATACTTCATTTAATGGGATAAGTTATTAGATGAAAAGTAATAAAATTAAGTACTTAATTGAACGAGGAAGGGAAAAAATGAGAAAGTCGACAAGTTTATATTTTAGTAACTTATATTGTATACAAAAAAGTCAAACGATTGATACATCAACAACAATAAATCCCATCTGTATTTTATCAAAATATATAAATACATATCACGCAGGAACACTTCTTTGGCTTCTTATATCTTCTACATACTTGTATGCATGATTGTAAAACCCAGTTCAGAATGCTGGTTGTAAGAGGTTTAGGTTTTTAAGACTTATTAATCGCCATGTCAAATATTTGTGACTAAAGAAGCTTTCTATCAATACAGAAAAAAAGCGTTGTATGCTTTACAATCATGCACTGTCTTTCACTTAAATAAACCAACTATAGGTATAATCCCTAACCAAATTATAATAATATCAGACACAAAAAGACCAAGCAGAACTGGACATCGACTGCTGGGGAGTTATTCCGCTGCTCTTGTGCCCTTTCGTCTTTCTGGCTGGCGGCCAGGTCCTTCCACCGCGCCTTCGTCTCCTTCGAGCCGGACAGCTTCCCGTACCTGAACTCGGCGCACTGGACAGTGACCATCGGCGGCACGCCCTGGAATATCAGGCGCGAGCTCTGCCGTTTCAGGGTCGCCGATCCTCGCATCTCCTCCACCTCCCGGCCGTTGATGTACCAACGGATTTCGGCGTCCGGGGCGCCTCGACAGTAGGCCTGGATGCTCTCGTCTTCCGTGTACTCCTCGGCGAGCCCTTCCAGCAGCGGTCTTCTGTGCTCGTGCCCGTGGACCTCCATGTAGGCGGTGCGCGTCTCGAACTTGTACGGCGGCACGTCGCGCTCGATGTCGCACCGGTACAAGCCAGTCGCCTCCTCCGTCAGAGCGCCCAGCTTGAGCCTGCACGCGGTCGGCCCACACGCCACCAGCTCCACCCTGCCCACTCCCAGTATCGGGAAGGAGCGGGTGCTGGGCGCCGCGCCGGGCCTGTAGCGGAAGAACTCGTTCGGCCCCTTGAACCAGTTGAGTAGGGTGAAGTTCGCGTCGTACTGGCACTCTATCTCGACCTCCGCCTGCCCAGGGGGCACCACTTGCGGCACCGCCAGGTGGGTTATGTTGAACGGCCGCGAGGCCGCCCCCGTTGCCAAGAGCAACAGTGCGAGCGGCAGCATGGTGTCTGGACGCGCGCGCGCACCGCACTGCCTCTCTCCCGGATCGACGCCGCGTTTAATTAAACGCCTGATTAAGGAGCAACAGCTCCCTCGGTTAACCGTTCCCCCGCGACACCGGCCTTTTTTACGCCATTCCCCAATTGAAAGACAAAATTTTAATTGGAGGAGGGTGGCCCGTAGTTTGGAATGTCATTATTGGGATAGGAGAGTTTTCAATTAATGTCTGTGTTACAACGAATCTTTTTTCATTAAGTTTTTAGCGAGACAATCGCTTGTGCAGCCCATACCGTTTGTTGGTACTAAAAATAGACGTATCAATATTAGATTGAAACCGTTTCGCTTGGCTGGGAATTTATTTTTTACACATCTGTAGGTAGGAATAACGATGCAAAAATGTCTAACCAGATTTTTATTTCGCCGTAAATGAGTAATTGTGTTATGAAATATTTATTTAAACGTGGAATTGTTACACAACAAATGACCATCGTCGGGTTCATTCGGTTGTGTAAATGTGTTATGATTGCTACGAAATGAGAAATACTTGAAACTCACTAAGACATGAATTGTTATATTAATATTACGCAAAAAAAATAATGGTACCATAAAATGTATTGAAACTCTTTATTCTTAACTTTCATTGATCATTGATATTAACAGGATGTGAGTGTGTTTATCTAACACGAAAAACTCTATGGAAGTACAACAGAAAAATGCGTTTAATTTTATGAAACAACACTAATTACACAACAAAAGAGACTTATTATTTTTATTCTATACATCGGTCATAAAGCTGTCAAGTGGAAAGATATTTTAGTTAATGTGGGACCTAATTTATGGAATTTAATTTATTTTTGAAATTTTTATTTGTCAACTACAATTTTATTGTGAATATTATAAAATTGAGAAATTTGTTGTTTAAAGTTGTCAATTGATATTGGCGGAATTAATCACAATTCCGCACACAAAGCAAGCCATTAATAAAAAGAAGTGGTAATTTATTGCCATGCGCATTGACGGGTTGAAGGTGGCGGCAAAAGTGGCTTATTGTTCGAATTACTACATGTGTCATACAATTTCGCGGGCTTAGGCAACACGTCCAGTGAATACCTTATATCCGTTTCGATGATTATATAAGAACTCCTGAGATAAGTTTGTATTGGGAAATATAGATAAAACGCGTAGAATTACAAATTTGTTAGCAATAATTAATAATCGTGCGGTGGCATTTTTAACTTTACTTAATGTTTTTTGATCTAAATATCTATCATAATATTATCAATGGTTAAAGATATATAATTGCATATGATAAAAAATATGTATTTCTGATATCGTAGTCTTTGAAACTTTGAAGAATCTCATCTTTGTGATAAGTTTAACAAAAGTTTAACATTCAAAATAAAACTATAACCAATGGTTCCCAAGCTATGCTTGCTTCCCGCAAAAATAATGACTACATGTGACGCAAAATGACTACATTTTGTTATTGCTTAAAGTTTATACTCAATGCAGATGCAAGTTTATGTTCCTTTTAATTGGTATAAATATAACATTCTTTTTTCTTTATTTTCACATTTCCCTTACTGCGGCATAACATAATCCTGTGTTGTAAGGAAGTTTTACATAGATAAATTACACGTGGATAAACACCAAGATCCGGAACAATTATCCGTGGTCACACAAATAGTTGTCCCGTGTGGAAATTGAACCCACGACCCCTTATACCTTGACAAGTAGTAAGTAATACCACGTAGTCATCAAAATTTAAAAAAATATTCGATTGATGTATTTTGATTGTAGTATAATATAATTCGTGGAAGAGAAAGAGCAGACTTATGTCTGAACGAATCAGTTGCGGAATAAAATCGCGCTACTAGTGATGTTTGCGTTGAAGGTTATGGTATTAGCTTTTTCCTACATAAATAACGGAAGTAGCGTTTGTGTCATGGCGGATCATAGTTTTGGCGGGAGTCGGTTCGGGTGCGTTGATTGTCGCTCCCTGGCCCACGCGCCTCGTCTCGGAAACAAGACATTACAATTTTATTAGCGGTAATCGTCTTAAGTGTTATCAGCCTAATTGAATAATGCATCGGCATAGGAACGAGCGACTACTTTGTTTTATTGTGCAACTAGCTTTTACCCCTGGCGTCCGTGTGGTTCTTGTCGAAATTAAATACTTCATTTTTATTTATTAAGTAAAATGCGTACAATACTTTGTCCCATCTAATAATTTATCACTGATTCTAATATAAATCAAATTCTATAACAATTTATACTGATTTGATTAATTAGATTTTTTAACGAATAGAAATGCCTAAATTTTTTTATTTTATTCTTTGTCTATGCAATTTATCTACGTTTTTGATTTTTTATCTGTAATACGTGTATTTTGTCGGCATATTTTATTATTTTGTCATATGTTATTTTGTATAAAACCAAAGTAATACGATAAAATTGTTAACGAAAATACAGTTTTTAATATATATGTATAAAACAATGGTAGATGTAACAGGATACGTTCGACCAAGAAGAGGGGCGAGTGACTCTTGAATTGATTCAAATGACGCATTCTGATGCAGATTGGTGGTCACCTTTTATAGATTGTTTAACGCTTCCAAGAACTGAGAAGATGATCGTTGAAGTAATTTAAAAGTGATTTGGAATACTACGCTATGTGAATTGGTTGCGATTGATTCATAAATTCTTTAAATTAACTTGTATTTTTAATGTATCTATTTTATTAATGTTTTGTCATATTCGTATTACTACCAGACGTATCTACATAGACAGGATAACCGTCTGTAAAGTACATCCATATACACCCGGACACTGAAAAAATACTATGTTCATCGCACAATATTTTTCCAGTAGTGGGGATCGAACCCACACCCTCTGGCGCAAGTGGCAGGTTCACTACCCATTCATCGGGTCGTAGTTTAAAAGACAACTTTACTTAACTAAGACTTTTTTTAAAGAACATTAAAATTAACTAAATATTTATACTTACATAAAATTATTATGAGAAAAAACACAGCCAATATTTTGATATTATAAGCTTTTTACCTTGAGAGTTTACTGGTTTACTTTGGATTTGTGTGTGAATTTCCTCAAAATTTTATTTAATTCTTGCTTTTAAATCGATTATTGACGTGGAGTTAAAACATTTCACTCAGATGAGTCCTATTCCCAAATGTCGATAGTAATCGTATATGTTTGGTATTCAAGTTTTCGGATTTATTGGGGCCGTATATTTTCAAAAGGTTGTCAACGCATCTGCAACCCTCGGTTGTAGCAGATGTCCATGGGCGGCAGTATTCACTTAACATCAGGTGAACCGTCTGCTCGTTTGACAACTTTTCACATAAAAAAAAAATATTATTTATGCTCTAAAAAAAAAATATTTTAATTTTATGTATTAAATTGTATTTTGATTTGAATTTCGTACATATTAAATGAAACTCCCGACGCGCGCTGGAAAGTGTTCGAAGCGTCGGGAATTATAAAAGCAAAATTAAAAACGCGATTAAATCCGCATAATAATTTTATTTAATAATTTCTGGTTACAATATATCTACGTAACAAATGTTATCACGTTTAAAACTAAAATCAAGTCATTATTTAAATGTCTGGTCAAACTATTAAGGTGTAGAGTCGTGAATATAAGAATGTAGGTACCTATGTTGTTTTTAGGCATACTAACAGGCTGACGAAATCTTCCACTGTGAACGTCAAAAGTCAATCAGTTCTTCAAAAACGTTTTTATTAATTAACCTTTTCATGATTGAAAAGAACAACTGCGGTCATCGTCAAAGTTGTGATTTTATAATTTAAAGTTGATCCCGAATAATTCTGCGAATGAAGAAAGACAAGAAAGTTTATGATTGCAAGCAGTTTGTATAATGTGCTATTTTTTGTTAGTCGAATTATCTCCTTACTCATCCCGGCTTCGCATGGAAAAAGTTACTTTTTAGTAATAGATATGTAACTCAGTAATACAAATATGCAATATTTAAGACCGGGTTTAATTTGTGTTCGGTATTTCAGTTTAAAAAACACAAGATTTTTTCACATATTACTTACAAATAAAAATAATGAAGAAATTTGTTAAATCTGTTTGGCATGTTCCTCGCATTATTATAAAAAATCCGTTTTAAAATTAATCGAACCTGCAGTGATGGTTTAATTTATCGGAATATACAGCCGGTTTTTAGTGTTAGATGATTCTTTCTGACATGGACGCCTTAGCTATTTTTGGTTAGTTTAACTGCCTTAGTTAGTTTTGGTGCCCTTAGTATCGATTTCTTCTTCCATACATACAGGTGGTTTTAGTAACGACTGGGTTTTCATTTCGTTCATCATATTTGTAGAATAAAGCATTTTCACTAGGTTTCGAAATTGTATTGCAGGGCACTTATACTATCATATAATATTATGTGATATCTATACAATACTTTTACGTTTATGAAGCTCTACCACCATCTGCCAACATATGGTGTGTGTTGATTTTAGAACTTGGGAAATTATTTTTGGAATAAGTCGTTGTTTTTGCTTTGTTTTGTATTATTGTTTTGATTTGGGTTAAACAATTCTAATGTAAGGATTGGGGCAATAATATAGTAACAGTAAGCCATTTATTGTCCTACTATCATTTCGTCTATTCGTTTTTCAGGCTGAATTAAAAAAAAAAAAACTATTACTAACTGTGAATAATATAAGGAGTAATAAAAACGAGGTATTTTTATAACATTATTCCTTTATCGTAGTGTTCATCAAAATGATAAATGGTAATTAGGAAATCCCAAATGTGTCAACTAAATTATACGTGCTTGGGGAACATACCGTCAATTTGATAATTAAGTATTAATTACCCATTTGTACCCTAATGCGGGACATGATGGTAATCTAAAATGTTAGGGTAATTTAATTTGGGTAACTTGCTATGGAATACTTTTTTCTTATAGCAATACTACTGCCATCTATCTGTCCTGTATAGTAAGTTTTTA